TATGACATTCCAAACACATGAATTCATTTGATTCCAAACAATTTTTTTTTTTATCCAAGATAAGCCTGAGGGCATGGCCGGACAACAAGATACAAAAAACATAATAATAAAGAACGGTAGTCCGTATGCAACCGGACTCCCGATAAAAGAGCCTGTTATGCCACTAGTGGGCAGCTCTATGAAAGCTCCAAGGAGCGAAAAGATACGATACTGACACGGGGACAAGAAGAGAGAAAAAACTTCCTGTAAATGGCTCCGGCTCCGGGAAGGGAAGACTTCCTCGATGGATCCATGATGATCAGTTGAGAATCCCCACAACATGTGACAATCAAAACATTATGAATTATGGGTAAGACACCATCTCGTAGCATCACTAAGTACAAGTAATTTTGATATATAAATATTGATAATATCCTAATGGGATTTAACAAAAACAATTGAAAGAGTTCCATCACCTTAGAAGTCGATGGAGTGTGTGGACATTCTTGAGAATTCTTTGATATGATTAAATCATATGGAAGAGGTAGACTCGAGACTAGCATTGTCACAAGTTGAAGATGCGCTTGATCAAAATAATTGAACAGAAAAAATAATGAAAGCAAATAAAAATAAAATACTAACCTGAAACAAAAAGAAAAATGAAATAAAAGAAGAAAGGCCGAGGCTACAAAAATAAAGAAAGCAGGAAGGTAATTGGTGATCTGAATCGCGGAAGGAAAAAAAAAACTAAAAATGATAACAAGTAGAGGAAGTAAAATAAAATTAAAAAAAATGAAAAACGGATTTCAAATCAAATCTAATAAAAATTAAAGACCAAATCAATAAGGGAAAACCTAACCTCTGCCGCAAAGGAAGCAACTAATTAATTAATAGAGAATTAAAAACAAAACAAAAAGGAAAAACCGTCAATCTAATTAAAGAGAATAGGAAGAAGGAAATAAAGTAATAAAATTCAAGATAAATGAAGGCTTAATTAACGGAATTAAAAAATACCAGCGCAATCAATGGCTAGCTCCACCACCGGCGACCACCACCCCTCGTCGACGGCAAAGGACGTAAAGTACCGGCTGAACAAAGAGACCAACGCAAAACCAGAAAATGGCCAAGAAAGAACCACAAGGATTCCATCTCATGAACTAGACTAAAACAGGGGACGCTGAAACAGACGAGAAACAAAGACCAAGAGCAGGGGAAAGCAACTATAATCAGAAGAGATAATACAAAATAATTAGAATCTGCCACTATTGATTAGGACTAGTAAAAAATGAATCAGAAGAAGTTCCACCAAGGGAAAGCCATAGAGACGACAAGCGTCTAACCAAACCAAAGCAGTGGTTTGAAAGCTCCACCACCGACGGCGGGATTGTTTTCCAATACGGATCTTAACATGCATCACAGATTGCAATTGAAATAATGAAATTGTCAGGAAAGAGGAAGAGCTTTTGGTGGCAGAACCTTCATCAGTGTTCGATGAAAAAAATCATCAAAATGGCAGCTCGCACCAGGAATTAAGCCCAAAAATGGACTAAAAGTTCAAAGGTGTGCGATTTGCGAATACTAACCCTTGGAGTCAAACGAGTTTGCCGAATTCCGATTAGATAATCGGAGGAGGTGGCTTCACCGGTGGAACGGCGGCGTAATAGCTTTCCGAAGCTGTAGAAATCGGCAACAATGGCAAGAGGAATCACACGAATATCTGATTGATCGATTACCTGGGCAAGACGGCGCGGGAGGCGAGCTCGATGTCGCGGATCTTGCGGCCTGGCATACCTTTCGATTCGAGAACGAAAAGCGCTCCGGCGTCAAGCTCTGTCTTACTTCTTTTTTGCATGTGTTTGTTAGCGTTTGGTTGGTGAATTATTCCCATTAATATATGGTAGAGTTTTGTGTACTTGATGGTACAATTTGTTTGAGCGTCGAGTAATTGATGATAAAATCCTCCATTAATATATGGTAGAGTTTTGTGTACTTTTCTCCATTTCAAATTTCCTGCAACGAGAGTGAAAGTAGGAAGGTCATTTTTGTCTTTACACATTTATTATTTATTTCATATAAAAATAGCAATATCAAGATTTGAACCCGGGTCTCTTCAAACAAAGATAACAATCACAACCAGTTACACTAAACAAATTTATTGCATCATTTTTATACAAAAAATAGACAAAGTTAATCTCTGAGAATCAGAGGACTTTTTCATCATAATTAGCAAGCTCACTAAGTCTACCGTATGTATTTTTATCGAGCTTGATACTTCTATTTTCATAGTAGAGTTTCATGTAATTTTCTCAATTTTAAATTCCCGCTCTCTCCTTAATTTTTGCTAAAGGTAAATGGGTAATTGGCTAACATGGAAGAAACTAAGTATGTAACTACGTGTTGTATCCTTGCATTTTTCAATTTAAATTTAAATTTTGTGTTTTTTTATCTTTGTTCTTTTCTTTCTAACTTCCTCCGAAATTTCATCTATCGTGCAATAGTTTGCGCCTTTCACTTCCCAGTACAAGACTGTCATTGAAAATCAATCTTCACGTATCTCTTGGCACTACGGTTTTATTGTTGGGGATTTTAAGCTGGGCGAGTAGAAGATTTCAACTCCGATATCAATTCATGGTGAATAGAATGGAGTTCATCAATAACTGAAGTTGTAGAAGGAGGATTAGAAATTGAATTTTTGGTTGAATATATGCCTCTTGAGATAGAAATTTGGTTGTGCAACGGAGAGTTGTGGCTATTGGATCTTTAGGTTTAAAAGAATCAACGAAAATGGGGTCAATATTGTTTCTAAAATAATCAATATGCCTCTTGAGATAGAAATTTGGTTGTACAACGGAGAGCATTGAACCCTTTATATAGGATTATGAGGTTTAAGATTTAGTTTCAAACTATCTATGGTTGTGTGAGAATTTCAGTGAGCTTTTATACTCTATATTTCTTGACTGTGAAAAAAAACTAACCAATAGCATTTTAACAGGGACTTAATTAACATTATGAAAATGGGGTCAATGATACATTTTTATATTTTATATTCTTAAACGATTATGATATTTCTCCGAATGTTCGACCTATATATTATTTTTTTATGTATCATCTCGAGCGAATGATTATCAATAAGATTAAACGGGTTAATGGACTTAAAAGTAACGTAAAAATACAAATAATCAAATATGAGCATTCCGGCCAAAGGGCCTGGTTATAAGCTAGTAGATAAAAGAGCAATTTCTTAACCGAATATGACAATCCCTAATTTCTAGTTCAACTTTGCCTTCAAAGTTGGTCCTGCAACCTCACTCTAATGATCATGTCAGTTTCTGACATGTCTCGATACATTTGAGACGGATATTACTACCATTATTTGTAGCATGGAGAAGGCATGAGTACTACCATGTCCCGCCCAACTCATTCTCGACATGTTTTATCGTGATTTGCCACAATAATATCTACTTATACGTATGGCTACAAATGGGCCGAGCTATTCGCGTTCTCGACATGTTTTATCGTGATTTGCCACAATAATATCTACTTGTACGTATGGCTACAAATGAGCCGAGCTGCTCGCGAGCAGCTCGGTGTTTGACTCGAGAAAAGCTCGTTCTAAACTCGGCTCATTAATAAACGAGCAGAACATGAGCTAAGCTTTGCTCAGCTCGTGAAGCTCGCAAGCTAGCTCGACTCGATGACTTGTTGAGCTAAACTCGTGAGCTGGCTCGTTTAGAGCTCATGATATGTCTGAACATGTGGCTAGAGAGCCAACTCGATTACCGACTTATGGACGAATCAATCTATATCTTATGATTTTAATTTATATGTTTATTAAATTATATATCTCACCATATATAAAGTTTAACACATTGAGTATGTGAGCAAATATATCTTAGTTTCTACTTTAAAAAGAAATTATGTATCATAGATTGCTTCGATACTATTAAATAACATGATTTTGAGTAGTTAAAATTTATTAACTCAATGATATATGATACCAACAAAGTAGAATATGAGATTAGCTAACAATATAAATTATTTGTATAATGATATACAAAATGAAGTGCCAAATAATAGTCAAGATTTTAGTAAACAAGCTAGTCCGAACTCGACTCGGCTCGTTAATAAACGAGCTGAGCTCGAGCTCGACTCGTTTATTAACGCGCCGAGTTCAATCTGGGGTAAAATTCGACTCGGCTCATTTGCAGCCCTACTTGTACGTGTTGCTCCTCTTCTAATCGATTTTTTCAAAAATAATCTCCCCCCAATAAAACTACTAAATAAGTGCGAAACTCCATCTTTCCATTAATTAGAATTAATTATTCAACCGTTTAATTTTTAGAGGGGTGGCTCTTTGGATAAAACCATGTTAGATCTATTGAATGTTGAGTGTAGAAAGAAAAGTATTTAACATATCATATACACTTATGAAGCTCCCACTTTGAAAGTTGTTGTTGGGTAAAGTAAAGTAACGAGAGAGTATGATGATCACTTTTCTTTTTGCTTCTCCCTTTGAATCTTTGGCCATCCATCTGCCTTGATTGCTGGTTTAGCTCCAAACCACCTTTTCCTCTCTCTCCTTTTGCTTTCTTTCAAATAATGAAACGGTGGCGCATATCCAGCATCCCTCCACTTCCCATAACGTACAATCGTGTACGTAGGTTACTCCATACATAAAACACATCCAATCAAATAATTCCACCTATTATTTTGTTTGATAATTTTGCTCCCAGTTACAAAGATATAATTCGATCCACATGCCATTATCTAACAAGACCAACTTCACTTTCCATGGTTAGTGATACAATTTCTAACTTGATTTGCACGACTTCGATCTGTCCTGACCTGTTTGGGGGAGGGAGTTATCCGTTTGATAATCACGTGGGACGAGTATGGCGCGATTCTTTCGACCTGCTCCATCTGCCTCACCTTGTTCTCGATCCGTTCTATCTTATATGGATTTCTCCTCTTTTCGTCGCTCTAAAATCAAAAAATATATATATTCAATCTTTCAACTATTTAAACTCAATTATTCATTCTGCTGTATTTCTCATTCGTTTGTGAACTTCTTTATTCATATGTTCTTGTTAAAACTTAAATATCGACATTTTCACCCCAAATAACATATATTAATGAGTTGGCTCGTCCCACCCCATACTTACACGAATATTACCATCACTACCAATCCTCCTTTAAATACCCCTCCCCTCTCCTCCCCCGTCCCCCCACACTCACAACTCAAAAACGCTTCTCTCTCTACTGTTCCCTCTCTCTCTAGAAAAAAAGGCTAAACCCCATATACGAAGAAGAGGAAAGAAACAAAAAAAAAAACAATCATGGAGCCGAAAACGCCGGAGGAAGTAGCGAAGAAACTGTGGCACATCGCGCGCGTGGTGTTCTTCATGCTCCGGCGCGGGATCTCCAAGAGCCGCATCGCCGTCGACCTCGGCCTCCTCGCCAAGCGGGGAAACAAGCTCGCCGGTAAAGCCATCGCCAACTTCCTCACCTTCAACGGCCTCGGCGGCGGGACCCACAGCCACAGCCACGTCAGCACAGCTCATCACCATTATCACAACAAGTCGTCAAGCTTCCTCTTCGGGTGCCGTTCGAACGGCGCCGTTTCGTTCGTGTCCCCGCGGGAGTACGAGTTCAGCTGCAGCAACAGCCCCGCCCTCAGCTTCTACCCTTTCCACAAGCGCCGGAAGGCGGCCAAGTACGACGACGCCACGACGGTGGCGGCCGTGCAGAGGATGCTGGAGATGCTCAACCACAGCGAGGCCTCGGCGGCTGCGTCGCCGATGATGCCGGGGTTCGGGAGGAGTCCGGCGACGGTGAGGCAGCTGAGGATCACGGACTCGCCGTTCCCGGTGAAGGACGAGGGCGGCGGCGGGCAGGTGGACAGGGCGGCGGACGAGTTCATCAAGAGGTTTTATAAGGACTTGAAGTCGGAGAAAGCGACGGCGGCGGCGATGGATCAATCTCCTTACCATAGCTTATGGGGCCGATGAGGAAATTAAATGGGAAAAGGATGGGGAAATTTTTTGTTTTTTGAAAAATAATTTGTTGACAGCCAGCCATGCATTGAAGCCACGTTGTGTTCATCTGTAGCTGCCGCCTGCCGGGCCCAAAGGTCCATGAAAGAGTCCGTTACCGGTTAATTTCTTCTGTCCACGGCTGCTAGAATTGAAGAGGGAGGAATGTTTACGTGGGCATCGGGTTGTGTTTGTGTTGTGTTTATATTCGTGATTAATGAAAATGAAGAAAATAAAAGAGAGAACGAAAAGAAGGAGAAAATTGGGATAATGAAAGTATTCATTCAGAATGGTTGAGAAAATTAACAAATAATAAGAAAGAAAAAAAATGAAAGTATAGCATGTTTTATTTAACTTTTTTTTAATTCTTCGACCATTTTTACTTATGGTAGTAAAAAAAAAATTGAATATGTGGAGGAATGAAAGCCAAAAGATATAAAGACGCTAAGTCAAGATAGCCCCGGATAGCTAGTTAACGGAGGAAGTCGAGAGTGACATCATATATTAGAACAAACCATACACAGGCTACTGCTAAAAAAGAACACACTCGGCAGAGGAGACTAATCCAATCTTGCTGCAATTCAAGAGATCAAATCGAGGTCTTGTTGCACCCTCCGCGGGAAGCTGACACTTATTACGTATTTGCATATCATTATGTCCAAATTCTAGGGAGGATCATCTAGTTCATATGTACCGAAGGGATAAACGAGATTGTGCTTCGAGATCCAGTCCGCAACTATATTCACTTCATGTACTTCGAGATCCAGTCTGCAACTATATTCACTTCATAGTACATGTGAACCAAAAGAACCACCCAACCTTGCGATATCATACGACCAACAGATCCTAGAATGGTGGCATAAGGATAGACACCATTTGTTCGCTTCTCAATGAGGTTAAGGGCTAGCTGGGAGTCAAATTCAAGGATAAGGTATTGGCTAACTCAACGCCAGACAAGTTCTAAGCCATGGAGAATCCCCCAGAGTTGAGTCAAGAGTGCTGACCTAGTCGCCGATTTGTTGCAGAATCCTCCCATCCAACCTCCATAGCAATTTCGCAATACACAACTAGTCGTGGCTAAACCCGAGTTACCTTGACAAGCTCCATCTGTGTTCATCTTCATCTAGCTGTTAGGAGGAGTTGTCTAGCCAATTAGCATTTCTCGCACAGTCGATGGCTTCTAGTATCAAGATTTATACCTGCTAAATTCCAAGTCTTGCACCATTCTTTTCCCTTTGCAAGAATATAACTATGGAGAGTAAGGCTGGCAATTTGATACCTTTGAATATGTGCTCATTTTGTCACTTTCAGATATATATACAAAAGAATTAAGCTGAAGAAGGAAGCTCACTGCCCTGTCCAGCTTCCCTCTGTGGCATCCAAAAGGTTCTTCTTCAACTAGTCTTCATGGCTGTCATTGAAGAACTGCGAAAACTGATCAACATGAACCATTTTGGACCACACATAACTAGTTCGAGCACAATCCCTCAAGCAATACAAGTTTGTCTCTGCCACACCACTGCAGTTGGGGCATGAGTCATTTTGTGTCGAATGGTGAAGCTTCCTGATGCTGTTGGTAGCCAATTTGCCTTTCATCGCCAACCAGATGAAGACACACACCCTCTCTGGGACTTGAAGCCTCCAAATGTTCTTCCAAAGCGATGTAGAGGGTTGTAGGTGTTGCGTGAGCAAAGCTTTAAAGGTCGAGCTCGTGGCGAATTGGTCGTTGCATGTTCATCTCCAAAAGATTTAATCCCTTTCTGCAACTAATTCTTAGCCAACATAGCTTTGTTAGCTTGTCGAGTTGGTCCAATCCTGGATCCTCCAAGATTCCTAGCAAGGGTCATTTGGTCCCACACTATAGGATAGAACTTAGACTTCCCATCATCCTCTCCCTAAACAAACTGTCTATTGCTCTTGTCAAGGGAACTGTAGACAGAAACCGAAAGTAACTATGTGAACATAGGATAAACACTCATTGAGGACGAGAGCGATCTCACCAAAGTGATCCTTGAAGCTAGAGAGAGATGTATGGTTTTCCAAGGAGCATGTTTCTTTTGTATACGCAGACATATGCATTTGTGTCCAGCTTTGGTGATCCTCCCATTGATCGTGTTGATCCCGAGGTACTTTCCAAGATCAACCGTTAGCAGAATGTTGGCTTTGATGCTAAATTGTTGAGCCATGTCGTGAGGAATGTTGGCTTTGGTGACACCATCATAGCCGATTTATCCAAATTAATTCTCTGTCCAAAACACATATAAAACTCATCAAGACACTGTCTAAGGACCTGAATCTGACAACTTCAGCCACTACAAAAAGAATGAGATCGTCGGCGAAGAATAGGTGTCAAATTTCAGGACCATTAGGAGTAAGGGTCAAAGTTTTCCAGTTGTTGGTCGCCATTGCTTGTTCGGTCTAGGGAGCTAATCTTAGGAGTATATGGACGACAAATTGCAAGCATGAACCCTTTTTTAACAAACAATAAATATTCAAACTATTGATTAGGTAATCTACTATTAAATCAGTTAGTGACTCTCGTGATTGTGATGGAGAGCGGCGGCGACACAATGTCACTAAACGTATTTGCGACAAAAATGAAACTTTTGTGATGGATTCACATGTGATCACAAATGAGTATCTTTTTTGTGAATGGTATGTTCGTGCATAAAATTAGTAGAGGGGTACGTTTGTTAATTTCCAATAGTAGAGGGGTACAAAATGCTATTAACTCTCATTTTTAACATGCATCAAGCCGAGGGAATACCCTTTTTTATCTTGAGGACTTGTACTCCAAATGTCTTGTAAAGTATATGTATATATTTTATTAATTGACTCATATAAACTGATAAATTGTGTCATAACGTGCTTGGTGGAACTCTATTAGCCAAACTGCTGCGATAATCAAAGATTCCTTGCCTCCTCAGTAATGTCCATATCACATGATATTGACAAACTCTTCTTACATGTCCAACATTTAAGTATATGAATGCTAGGAGACTTTTGTAGCCACTATGTCAAAATCTTAATAATGCAAATGGGTCTTTTAATGCTTTTAATTTCTGAAGTTGTGTGGACACCAAAGTCCACCAACTTTCTGTACAAAATTACAGACCATTATTATTATATAGCTCCACTCACCATCCCTTTTCAGCTTTTGTTTAGACTGTAAGTTGGCTAATTAACAGACATACACTTGGAAAAAGAAAGCAAGCCATTTGGGGAAATCACAAAAAGAAGTTCAACTCACAGAAAAAGCCCTCCCATTTGGCCATTTCCCAAGACCACCATCTTTCAATCCCTCTCATTGGGCACAAACTGAAAAGTTTGTCGAAGAAGAAGAAAAAAAAACTAATAATTGGTTTCTTTGAATATGTTGGTATTAATATTCGAGTTGTTAAAAAAGTTTAATCATGGACCTTATACTATTTAGTATTTATTAACACGTCTATTCCATTTATATAAAAGGCAACTCATATGAGTTTAAAGTTTGTACATGTTCGAATATCTTATGCTTAAGAAATGGGGTCGTCGAGATTCGAATACGAGACATCGAAAACTCTGATTTCATATCAGAAAATTCGGTCTCGAAAATAGAAAAAATCTATCGGAAAATTTGTACTTAAAAATGGCGATGAACTATACAAAAATTAACATGAACAAATTATATTAAGATGATCATAAATACATTTTTAAGTAAAAAACTCGAAAAAAAAGGGAGGTCCCCAAATTTGGAGATGGTAGCATTGGGGCAAAATGATGAAAATGAGGATCATCCCCAAATTTGGGGAATAGCATTGAAGTTGGTCTAAGAAATCATATTTTTTATCTTTGAGTCATGCACGATTATTAGGATTGCAAATGAGCCACCATGCTCTCGAATGGCTCGGCATTCAGTTTGAAAATAAATTATTCGACTCGACTTATTTATAGTCCAACAATAATAATAGTTTAATTTCCTTATTGTTTTCACCTTCATATTTGGCTTTGGTGGGAAAAGGGGTTTTTAAAGGGAAAGGTACCATTTTAAGCCCCCACACGAATCCTCGAGAGTCACAAGCAATGGGACTCCCTTTGCTTTGCTTTTGTTTTGCTCACTTTCACCACTAGAAAGAAAGCAGAGTGCTTATTGATAAAAACAATTAGTTTATTCACCAAAATAATAATAATAACTCAAAAGAGAAAATAAAGGAACTGCAATATATGATTGATGAGTAACGTTAAGACCGCGCTTATCCACTTAATTTTGCTTACGCATCTTATCAGGTTTCAGGCCATTAATGAAAGCAATTTAGTTACTAGTTAGTGCAAGCTAACACATTAATGACCGTTAAATTATGCATATAACGATCGATGGATAATCGTTATGTGCATGAAGTATGATCTTGAAAATCAATGATAGGCCGTTCTAATTCCAAGTTCATTAACGTTTAGAATTATTATCTGTATATCCAACAATTGTAAAACATTTACGGAACGTAAGATCCACTAACCGTGAATCACGATATAACGTGGTAACCCATTGGAGTTAGGACATATCACTGTGGATTTTACGTCTTCACATCGTCCAATATCACCGTGGATTTTATTAATTCCACATCACAAGTTCTTCACGATATGGAATACACAACGGATCATCTGTGTATTAACGGTTGAGTGGATACTGGATACTAGAACAAAATTATTCTTGAGTACTCATCGCAACAATCGTCTTTTTAAATCATCATAATCAATCAATCGATCGACTCATTATACTGAAACTCGGAATATAAGACTTCTTCTAGTGTAGTCAGTACTCATGAGAAATCAACAAGTGCTAATCGACCAGATACTTATAACTCGAGTACTGTAAAACAAAGCTTTGATTAAAAATATGTGCATGCTTTGAAAAATTTGCTAGTCCATTGGGTGTTGATTGCAATATATATTGGCAGGTGAGCTATCAATGACGACGATACAGAAATATGAAATGATACATAAATATATACCACTGTATAACATAATGTACCTAAAAGAAAAGCATAATGCTATTAATTAAAATTCCAAACCTTCCCTCTCTTCTTCACCAACCCCCAGAAACCCATTTACTTAACATTAACACCAATGATCCCCCACCACACCCATGAAGCTTTCATAGTTATTGCTTTGTACAAGAACTTCCAACTAGAGATATCAAAGCTCGGGCGGATAGTGTATATCCACTATCTCATATTCACACAAGAATCAGATAAAATATTAAAATCATATGTATATCTTATCGGGTTTCGGAGGTCCACAGTTATTCATGTGTAATAATTTCTCTTTATAATTCAAACGAACGGATTATAAAATTACACGGATACCGACATTACATAATTGAAAATGTTCAGCAATAAATTACTAGAATGAAGAAAATTGGTTAAAACAACACGATTTTATGTAAATGTTATATATGAGCAATAAATATCAAATGTGTTGAAAAAACAATGATCAGTTTTAAAACAAAACACATACGTATGTGTATAATCGAGTTGATTCAGATGGGATAGTAAGAAAATCTTTGGATTCGAGTTTTATACATTATACATTATCCATTAAAACATCTTCAAATTTGAATTTGACCATATCCAATTAAATCAAACTCGAACGAGTATGGACAAGTATAATTTTTTTTTTTTTGCCATTCATAGCTACTTCCAAGTTATTATAACATCCCAAACTTTTTTCTAACCAAGATATTATCCACTCTGGGTTTTTGCCTTGGGGTACAATTCCAAGGTGACTTCCCATAAGGTCTCCCCATACTTATTGTACTCCACATACATATAATGAGAACTCATCCATTTCACACCAAAACACGTCTTGTCAGTTATGAACAATTTCTTATTTATGAATCATGGATTTTGTGATTCGTCAATGTAGGATTTTGCTGAAGTGTTACTTTTATGTTGTTCCACCAAGCTAGCTTTATTTCTTCATCAAAAGAATGGTAAAAAAAAACTTCGTTTACCCTTTCTTTATATCTCTCAAAGTTATGGTGTTCCACTCCCACCAATCTTTTTCTCGTCAAGTAAGGAGATTGGGAAAAAGGAAGGAACAGAGCAATTACACAACTTGAAATAGTTAACGAACAAAGGTTGGGAATTGAAAGCTGAAGCCGGTGACAAAAAATTTAAACCAAGTGGTAGTGAAACGTTAATCCTCTTGAATTCCATCAAATTAATAACTGAACGCAAGCGGTAAAAAAAAAAACATCGCAAAATAACATGGAACCGTAATTTATTTCCACCTATCCCCATCACCGGTAAAAAAAATAATTAACCTTCACCTTCTCCCCGCCGTGGACGGAACAAATTAACCGGCGATGACCGACGCTTTGGGCCCGGGCCAGCAGGCTGCCAGCAGTCGATGAACACGACGTGGCTTCAATTCAATGCATGGCTGGCTGGCTGTCAACAAATTATTTTCCAAAAATTAAAATGTTTCTTTTCTTTCCCATTTAATTTAATTTCCTCATCGGCCCCACAAGCTGTGGTAAGGAGAAGGAGATTGATCCGTCGCCGCCGTCGCTTTCTCCGACTTCAAGTCCTTATAAAACCTCTTGATGAACTCGTCTGCCGCCCTGTCCACCTGCCCGCCGTCGCCTCCGCCGAAACCCTCGTCCTTCACCGGGAACGGCGAGTCCGTGATCCTCAGCTGCCTCACCGTCGCTGGGCTCCTCCCGAACCCCGGCATCATCGGCGACGCAGCCGCCGAGGCCTCGCTGTGGTTGAGCATCTCCAGCATCCTCTGCACGGCCGCCACCGTCGTGGCGTCGTCGTACTTGGCCGCCTTCCGGCGCTTGTGGAAAGGGTAGAAGCTGAGGGCGGGGCTGTTGCTGCAGCTGAACTCGTACTCCCGCGGGGACACGAACGAAACGGCGCCGTTCGACCGGCAGCCGAAGAGGAAGCTTGACGACTTGTTGTGATGATGGTGATGAGCTGTGCTGACGTGGCTGTGGGTCCCGCCGCCGAGGCCGTTGAAGGTGAGGAAGTTGGCGATGGCTTTACCGGCGAGCTTGTTTCCCCGCTTGGCGAGGAGGCCGAGGTCGACGGCGATGCGGCTCTTGGAGATCCCGCGCCGGAGCATGAAGAACACCACGCGCGCGATGTGCCACAGCTTCTTCGCTACTTCCTCCGGCGTTTTCGGCTCCATGATTTGATTTGATTTGATTTTTTTTTTGTTTCTTTCCTCTTCTTCGTATATGGTTCTTAGCCCTTTTTTTCTAGAGAGAGAGGGGGGGATTAGTAGAGAGAGAGAAGCGTTTTTTGAGTTGTGAGTGTGGGGAGGGGGAAGAGAGGGGAAGGGTATTTAAAGGAGGATTGGTAGTGATGGTGATAGACGGGTATATCAATACTCATATGTATCTCGTATTAAGTGTGAATTAGATTGGGTAATATTCGTGTAAGTATGAGGTGGGACGAGTCGATTCATTAATATATGTTATTTGGGAGAAAATGTCGATATTTAAGTTTTAACAAGAACATATGAATAAAGAAGTTCACAAACGAATGAGAAATATAGCAGAGCAGAATGAATAATTGAGTTTAAATAGTTGAAAGATTAAATATATATAAATATATTTTGATTTTAGAGCGATGAAAAAAGGAGAAATCCATATAGATAGAACGGATCGAGAACAAGATGAGGCAGATGGAGCAGGTCGAAAGAATCGCGCCCATACTCGTCCCACGTGATTACCAAACGGATAAGTACTCCCTCCCCAAACAGGTCAGGACAGATCCAAGTCGTGCAAATCAAGTTAGAAATTGTATCACTAACCGTGGAAAGTGAAGTTGCTCTTCTTAGATAATGGTATGTGGATCGAATTATATCTTTGTAACTGGGAGCAAAAATATCAAACAAAATAATAGGTGGAATTATTTAATTGGATGTGTGTTTATGTATGGAGTAACCTACGTACACGATTGTACGTTATGGGAAGTGGAGGGATGCTGGATATGCGCCACCGTTTCATTATTTGAAGGAAAGCAAAAGGAGAGAGAGGAAAAGGTGGTTTGGAGCTAAACCAGCAATCAAGGCAGATGGATGGCCAAAGATTCAAAGGGAGAAGCAAAAAGAAAAGTGATCATCATACTCTCTCGTTACTTTACTTTACCCAACAACAACTTTCAAAGTGGGAAGCTCCATAATCCATATAGTGTATATGATAATGCAAAAAACTTTTCTTCCTATACTCAACATCCAAGAGATCGATCCCACATGGTTTAAGACAGATTATAAGAGAAGAGATGTAATTAAGTAGATATTGAAAAAATTAAGTTATAACAGGTCGCTGAGAATGAGGTAGGGCAGGGTAGGATAGGATGAAAGTAATACGTCGCATGTGCCGCCCACATGCTACAGATAAGGGGTAATATATATCTGCCCCAAACAGATCGAGCGAGATAGATCATAAACTACCATTGATACGTACGGTGAAGTTGCGGATCAAACCTTGAGAAACAAAGTTGAATTTGAATGGACGAGATTCTCGTATTTGGTTAAATACTTGCTCCCTTATCGAATTTTTTTTCTTAAATCAAGGAATTTACTTCATATTACCCGACGAGAAAAGAGTTGACTTCATATCGATGATCATATATAGGACAGATCCATGCAGTAGGCTCGAATAATGTTTTGTGAGCAACTCAGGTTTCGTTTGGACAAATTTTGAATTTGAGACCTCCTACACAGTTTTGATAATTATAATTATTGGCTCCTCTATTGTAAACAAGGAATTTATTTTTTTATCATTTTACTAAGATATGTAAATACATTAGTCATTTCAATTTTTTATTAATGGCCTTTTCAGTTAGGGGTGGGCAAACGGTTCGGTAAACCCGAACCGAACCAAACCCGAATTAAACCGAACCAAAACCCAATTAATGCTATTCGGTTAGGAATTCGAAAGTAAAATATGGATAGTTCGGAAACCAGGGTTCTTTCAACCGACCGAATTTTTGAATTTCCGACCGAAATACTATAATTGCAAGCTCCAAATGGTGGATTTTTATGTTTGCAGTTGTTTTTAGATTTAAATATTTGAAATGTTTTATGACTTATGTGTTGAAAAGTTTGATTTTATCATTGATGATGCATATAATTGATATTTATTGTTTATATTAGGGGTGAAAAATAATTTAAAAGTGAGAAAATACAAGTAGCTTTACAAATTTGGTTTTGAGTGAAAAATCGAACCAAACCAAATTATAATTTGGTTTAAACCGACCGAACCGAATTATAATTCGGTTCGAATTTGGTTTGAGGTTTGAGAGAATTCGGGGACCCGGTATTCATAATTTCGGTTCGATCGAAACCGAACCGACCGAATGCCCACCCTTATTTTCAGGTACGGAGTTAATAATTTATCTCGGAAATTGGTTGAGTGATCAATTTATGAACCATCATCTAATTGAGCACGTAAAAAATATTTTGTTTGCCACATAGGAAAAAATTTGCATTTTATAAATATTTCAGAAAATGAAATTTCGGCATAGTGACTCATTGTGAATAACATTGAAATTATGAATTAAATTAAATTTATTTATCATTTTGTTTTTATCGATCAACAATTCAACATACATGTCAAAAACTGTTAGGTATGCCACGAATCATATTAGAAAAATTGTCATAAACAAAAATAAGTTAAAATTTCTCTATGAAATTATTTGATGACGAAATTGAGTGGTGAGAAATTGCGATAGATTGATATTTGCATCCCCTCCCCCCTTGCATTAATTATAGTTCCACTGGCTAGCAAGAATTCGTACCTACAGACAGAGGTTTCTTGATCAAGACTTGCTACCGCAAACTTCAATGATTTGATGTCTATAAATTCTATAACCTTACACAGAGAAAGGTGTTATCGATCCGAACGGATAATTTTTCGGTTTCTAAACAAAATGATGTAATTTTGGTGGAATTAAATAAACAAAGAAAGAAACATGTTGGATTCAAGTATGAACATTTTGATGTTGATGCGTTATCTATTGTGGAATTTATTTAAATATGAATGAAATTATAGGTAGATTGTGTTAAGATAAGATTATATAAAGGCATAATTCATTGGATGTTAATGGTTTCCCTCTTTCTCTTATGTTTATTAAAATCGGCGTAAATCAACATATAAGCCAATTATACCCTTATCGAAACACACACCATTTGTTGAACCAACATAACGACATAAATAGGTTTGATAATATTGACATGTAGGCTTTATTAATCAACCATATGTTATATAATTAAGAAAAACAAACAAATGATTTGTCGAATCTATAAATTTTTTTAAATAAAAAATAAATGAGAAACAAATTATGATTATCTGTATATAGATAAACCTTTGAAGTTATGTGTACATGAGTGTGTGTGTACGGTCATATGATATATTGTCACCATATATAATACTTTTTTCTTTATGAATTTGTCACCATAAATATTCGCTTCAATATAAAATGCTTAGCTAGCTGATAATATTAGGTAGAAATATGATTAAACTAAACATATCATTAATTGAAATCATGGAGATTGTGGCATTATACTGTCTGTGCATGGGGGCAATATAATTATTATACGACAGCAGGACATAATCTACAACCACAGCTACACAACAAAAAAACATGTTAATGGTATTTTAAGTATTTTTGTAGAACAGCTGCTTCCTATTGCTTGATGTTGGTTGTTACCTTAATGATCATTATCGTTTCTCTAGTCTTGTCGGTCTGAAGCTTCATTTCCCAGTTGGTTGATGTCTTTGTGTATAATGTTGGTGGGAGGAGTAGTATTGTACCAATTTAACATTCCAAACTTTTTTTCGACGAAAATATTATCTACTTTGTGTTTAGACTTTAGACCCGCACACTTTTTACATTCAGGTGTATAGCTAAGTGATTTTTCGAGAGGTCATCCATCCTTAGTTCTTACAGTGCACAACAGTGAGTATACGATTAACTTCAGAGTTCTTAACTCTATTAGAACAAAAAAAGCACTCGTTTGTAAATGATCCATAGTTATAGGACTTGGTTTAGAATAGATAAAATCTAAAGTTTAAATTTGTCATTAGTTAGACTCCCTAGCCACTTTTCCCCGACTTTTGTCTCTCCATGTCTAAACTAAAGTTATCGTATTAGCTCTCTAAATTTTACATTCTTCGTGAGATAATTTTCAATCATTGTCATAACTATTCTGTTGAGATTTTCTCGTTATTTTTAACACAAATAGAATTTTTAAAACACAAAAAAATATTTCTAAAATTCATTAGGCGTGCCTGGTGTGTATATATATATACATGATAATATTAATTAAACTCGTCATCATACTCATAATTAATTAATAATACACTATACTCGTCATCATACTTTTTGCTTATGTTCCCAAAAAGTTATTAATAGTTACTATTCAGTATTGTCAAACATACATATGCACGATTTTATTAATCTCGTGATTTCCAATTATCTTCCTGTGACAACATAGTTCTCTCTTGATCATCACGTGAATCTGGTGTAAAACGAGTTTAATTATCAGCAGCACCCAAGAAATTTCCTTACTAGAAAGATCACCAAAAGCTAGTTCATTATTAATTGGCTCTCGTGGGTTTTGATATTTGATAAATATGTATTGCCTCAATAATTTTGTGCTTAACAAAGTGAGTTTTGTTAATCATACAAAAAAATGCCTACCTACAAAGCTAGTAAAAAGATATTTTGACGATCAAGTTCGATGTGGGAAATTTTCAAAGGTAAAAATGTGTGTAAAAGTTATGAACCATTAGTTTTCATTGGAAGGGATCATTAGTAATGACTGAGCATGTTATTAGTATATACATTCTGCGGTCCGTTCATAAATGTTAATTATTAAACTTTCCATGGCCGATTTGTTATGATCATAATATTTAATCCTCCTTAATTATGTGATTAAGCTTTTGGCTTGTGTCTACTTTTCCAAGATAATTATATACTTGCTCTTTCATTAATTAGGTTTTTGCTTTAAGGGAAAATATAAACAAAATGGGGGGAAAAGAGAGAAAGTATTGATCTTTCCATTCAAATGGAAGCTCCTTTTTAACCTGCCAATATAGAGGAGGAGGTAGGATCTAGTTAGATCTTCAACAAATTTGACAATCAAAAGTAACAGACAACTACATATATAGTCTGAAACACATGCACGGGAGATCCTCCAATCATCTATTGATTTATTGGGGAAAAAAAAAATCTAACATGAGACTAGAATGTTACTTTCTGAAACACGAACCAAAATTTATTATATAGTTATAGTCACGGATTAAAATATTGTACCGTACCAACGGTTCGACCAAAAAAACCTTCTACAGGAGGCTAAAATGGTAGGCGGTACTTAGCGGTAAGAAGCGGTTGAACCACAGTTAAATTACTGTTTTAACATAAAATACTCTACCGCTGACTTTTTCAGTACAATCTCCGATCCGATACGGTAATTTCAATTCTTAATTATAGTTTAAACTTTAAACCAGAACAAGGCATTAACCCATTATCATTTGAATACTCCTAAATATCATATCACGATATGAACCTTAAGCCCAACGCAATGTCATGCTGAGTCAGCCCATAGGAGGCCCAGCCCATTTCCAAGGGACGCAGGCCTGAAGAGTCATTTGGTGCTAATTATTTATCATAGAAGTCCCCAAAGTTTCAACTTTCACGTTAAGGCACCTTAAAATTTAAAAGTTTCCTCGAAACCTGTCCCAGCTCTTTAATTCTCACACACTTTATTTCAGTCGCGATCCTATCTTGCCTTCCCTCTCAAGAGGTCTCACGCTACACCAAGGTTGTGAGCCCGCGGGTTGACCCGGACCCGGTTGAGCTAGTCGGTCAAGGGTTAATGGGTCACCCATTTTAGCCCGGTTTAGCCCGGAAATATGGAAAGCGTCATTATATTGTACTTATCCTGATAAATTATATCAAATCTCATATAACATATGAGTTATAACATATAATATTACACCAAAATAACATTTCGTACTTAGATTCAACATATAGTGAAAATTCACACACTTATATAACATTAATATTCAAATGTTCAACTTAGGATTCCAAAGATTGAGTTAGGCGGAAAAAAAAAATCGGAAAATAGGCGCATTTCGCAAAACAAAGAAAAAAATGACACAATTTGACATCCAACCCGATACCTTATAGCGGTCGACCCGGCGGGTGCGTACGACCCATTTTTCTCACTGGGTCAGGATCAAAGTGGGTCAACCCGCGGATCGACCCGCGGTTGACAACTTGCGCTACACAAACACCTGGATAGTTCTTGAACATTTTTTTTTTTTTTTGGTAGAATTGAACATTTTTTTTCTTCTCTCGGTTTGGGGCCAAATCACATCAGTCATTTAAAAAAAATAATTCTTCCCAGTTACGGCTCAACGAACTTCTCCAACAGCACCGAATTCGTCTTTCTCTTTCCCGAGTTCTTAATTTGGTGCTTCGCTTCTTCCGGTCGATCCCTCCTCCAACGCCATTGTTGTCTCCCGCAAGCTTTCACAAACTTGGCTCCCCCTTCCAGCGGATGGACGCCCGATCTGCCCGATCTCTTATAGCCGTTTAACTCCGATTGGAGCTCCTCCTCCTCCATCCCTCTCTCCCAATGGCTGCCTGGCTTAAGGCCGCGGAAGGTGTGGATCTCTTTTCCCTCTCACTCCTTTTTTCTCCCCCGATTCGAGAGAATGCTAGGAGTAGTTTCATAATGGCGATTGAGTTGCTGAGTGTTTCGCGCTGTGTATGTGTTCCCATTTTAACTATCCGCCCGTGTCAGTCAGCTTGGTTATGAACTTTGCTTCAAATTATGCAGTGAGATGTGTGTTTCTTTCTGGTCGGGGATGAATTGGTTAGTTGATCATTTGAATGCGCTCACTAGGCCGTGACAGTGCGTGCTTGAAGTTTTTTTTTTCTTAGAGCTGTTCCGTCACTAAAATACAATGCCAAGAATCCTGGTAGTAGGTTAAGGATTCCTGAAACAGCTCATACTTGAACAATGGTTGGCCGCCGCTGGTTCGATATGAAGTTGAAGGGTGATGATGTTTAGAGGTCAGTGAAAGAGCTTGGCTACAAAAGTGATTGAACCAGCTCTCACTACGTGAAATATGGTTCAATTGGATTTCGAAATGTCACGGTTTTCCTGATTTTACCATCAAAGCGTTGCTGGGAGCTTGCATTGGAATCCCTTGATTGTGCAGTCGAGTCGAGGACCCTTATGAAAAAGCCTCTTAGCAAGGCATTTGATCACCTGCCTGCTTACGATTAGTTAAAGGACATTGGGAGACCCTCGTATTTATAATGCGATGCACTACTCACATTTCGTGATTCCTATTTTTAAATGTATTCCTAGATGTTAAGTCTGTCTGGATATGTGTTGGGAACATGCTTCCAATTGTCAAAGAGAGACACCATCTCGATATCTGAACTTGCTATCAAGATCATAAATTAGCTATGGTGTTAAAAAGAATGTTTGATTTCTTATCATCAAGTTTGATATGTTTGCTCATTTCCTATTCTGGTGCAGGTCTGTTTGAAGTTGTTGATCGGCAGGCAAAGCTAGTTGTTAATGAATTGTCAGAAGAGAATTCTGATTCTCAGCCATCTGGTAACAATTTTAACTTAGCCATCAATCTAGTAAATCTTTGATGTGACACATCTGACATATATCCAGAATTTATACTTAAGCAGTTGAAACCTTTCCTCCTTAGAAATTAAACACAACATTGCTGATGTGCTTAGTTAAGCCTCAATCATCAGAGGCAATAGGACTAAGGAATGTGTAACATTGTCTCTTTCTTTGAATTATATGAACTCAGCCTCGAAACATAACTGCATTCAGGTCAGTGTTAGATCATCTTGAGATCCACCAGATCAACCAATACTCGATACCAATTATGTTAGAGCCGCTACAGATACTTATAAAAGCGTTTTATGTTATAAAACCTTAGTAAATATGTCATCAAATCCCTTCTCTGCCTTGTACAACTATCCTTTTTAAATTTTTTTTATTGTAAGTTAGCTCTGAAGTCTAGCATGAATGCTGAATGATGATTCTGGTTGGTTGATATACTCTTAAGTTTAGGAAAGGGGCGGGGTTTTGATGTATCGATGGATAGCCTCCATTTAAATTTTCCACATGGCTGAATACCGAGCTAATGTATGTATGTATGTATTTTTTTTTTTTTTTTTTTTGCCGTCTTTGAAACGCTTAAGCTTCTAATGGACAAGGATCTCAACAGAAAAAGCCAAAGCCAAAGCCAAAATCAAAGTCAAAGGTACGTCTTAAGATAATTATGATCCTGGTCTTCATACATTAGTATGTATGGTTATCAATATTAAATCAACATTTGTCTCCTTTTTCAGGCTCAAAAGAGGCGCTCGAAAGATGAATCCACAAAGCTAAGTGAGCCAGCACAAGAGGTGACTAATACACAAACATCAGAGGCAGAAGCAATAGATCAAGCGGCCCGTTCAGTTAAAAATGACGAGAAAGCTTCCAGAAGTTCTGTAGCTCAAACAAGCAATGAGCAGCAAGAAACTGTTGACAGTGCTTCAAGTGTATCACTACCGACAACTACGAATGAGCAAGTCAAGCATGAAGCTGACAGTGTTCAAATTCCTATAACTGTTACAGACCCTATAAAACCACCTTCGGATGGTGCGCTCCTTAATGATAAGACTACAGATGTCCCTGCAGAGAGTACTTCTTCACCATCACCTGCCAAAGAAATGGAAGTTGTCAAAGAGCATGATCCCGTTGTTGCTGTTCCTGATACCACGACAAAGGAAAATGAGGGTTCTTCAAAGATTGAGCTAGAAAAATCAAGTAAAGATTCTCTTGTTATTAATGAAAAATCAGCAAAGGATGACGAGCTTAAGGTAGAATCTCCTATGCAGCAGCAGAAGCAAGTTGAGCATGACGTTGCTGCTTCACCCAGGAAAATTCAGGAGCAACTTGAGGAGGTAAACCTTTAAATACAGGGAGTGAAATTTTGAACAGAAGTTAGGGCACCACCTTTTGTCTCTGGTACTCATTAATTACTTTAGTTGGTGTGCAGGCTCAAGGACTACTCAAGACTGCAAATTCCACTGGTCAGTCAAAAGAAGCTAGACTAGCACGGGTAAGCTCCAGAATAAATGTTACATTCATTACCATCTTCAAGCTAGACATTTCAAGATTCACCAGTTACATGGGCAGATGTCTAAATTTTTGCATCTAGGCCCATTAGTTCTAGTCCTATATGTTTTCAGTCATACAATGTTACCTAGTAAATTATCCAGACACAACTTGATGCTGAGCTGTTGAGGGATCAAACTTACTGAGGAAACAAGGACAGGAGATCCTACTTTCTTGGATATTTCTTTTGTGTTTACTTATTCCCAACTTGATCTGCTTCTTGGTATAAGGAAAACCCAAACTGCGTTCTTTTTATTATTAATGGTTTCTTGTGACTGGCCAGTCATATACTCGGTTAAAGCTGTGTGAGGCTTCCTTATGACCTGTTGTTAACCATACAATATTCATACTTAGGTTTGTGCTGGGCTTTCAACCCGCCTTCAAGAGTACAAGTCTGAAAATGCACAACTCGAGGAGCTTTTGATAGCAGAGGTGAAATGTTACATCTACTTCGTTTTCCTGATGGATGTACTGGTTATGAGAGTGAAGTTTCAAGATTTAGTGCTTTGGAAGACTTCTCTTGACAGATATTTTTCTTTAACAGAGAGAACTAAGCAAGTCATGTGAGGCTCGTATGAAGCAGCTACAGCAAGACTTATCTGTGTCAAAAATGGAAGTAACAAGAGTAGAGTCAAACATGGCTGAGGCATTGGCAGCAAAGAATGCTGAAATTGAGGCGCTTCTTGGTTCTATGGATGCACTTAAGAAACAAGCTGCATTGTCAGAAGGAAGCTTGGCTTCTTTACAGGTTTGCTAGAAATATTTTTAAAGATGGCAACAGATTCTGTAAAATGATCATATATGCACATAGGAGTCACTTGAAACTATCAATTTTCAATGCTCTGTGAACTTCCTATGACATTCGTACAAACAAGGATTTTATGGTTGTGTGAATAGTGGAGAAAGTCTTTTGCGAGTCAATTCCATTTTTCAGCATAATCCCCTCACCACAAGAAGCATGTGGCTGTTTCTCCTTTCTTGTTTCTTTTCTTTCATATATATGTCACAGCTTTTGCGGAAGATCTTTAGAAATGATTTTCAACCCTTCTGTTACTGCTCAGGCAAACATGGAGTCTCTTATGCGAAATAGGGAACTGACAGAGACAAGGATGATGCAGGTTAGCTGGTGCATATAACAGTTGGCATATTTGTTCCATCTAATTAATGTTATTTTTCCCCAACTTTAACCCTTAATACTCAAAAGTATTTTCATTAGTCTTTATTAATGAAATATTTCTTTCATCTCACTAACTACTTTTCTTTACCACGGAAAAGCTATCTCTCCCCCACATGACTCTACTTTCGCTAGCACCCTACCAAACACTATTCCTTCTTATGCTAAAACTTAAAATTTAAGAAGAGACTGAACAAATACGACAAATACCTGTCATAGTTCATAGCATAGCCATGTGTGTTCTTTCTCATAATGAAATTTGGAGCCTAATTAGTGCGCTTATACCAGGCTTTGCGAGAAGAGTTAGCCTCTGCAGAACGGAGAGCAGAAGAAGAGCGGGTGGCACACAACACTACTAAAAAGGTTTGGCTCTAATAGGGTTGTCATCTTTAGGACCCATGGAATTTGAAGTTGTTGCTGTTTGATAATTGTCTTATTCTTGATATAGGCAGCTATGGAGAGGGAAGTGGATCTAGAAAACAGAGCTGTGGAGGCTTCCACAGCTCTTGCTAGGACTCAGGTAGTACCCCAGAGGTCATTCATTGATGCATAACTAGGCTGTTATTGTTGTGTTTGGAATGGCTGGTCTATATCCTTGCAAGACTGGCTGATGTTAAATAACTTCAATCCCTTCTGTAATAGTTTCAAATTATGTTCTCTTCCAGAGACTTGCAGATGAAAGGACATCAAAGGCCTCAGAACTTGAGCAGAAAGTTGCACTGCTTGAGGTATTTATACACCTTAATTTGGTCATTTTTCTGCTGTCTGATCAGAGAGTGCTAACTTACTGCTGCTTCTCAATCAGGTTGAATGTGCAACATTAAATCAAGAGTTGCAAGATATGGAGGCCCGTGTTCGGCGAGGCCAAAAGAAGGCCCCGGAAGAGTTAAACCAGTCAATTCAGGTACCTTAGAACTATCCCTCAGGATCCTATTAAGTATCTCGATCAACAGCTTTTCCGCAAAACTCTGGTGTAATGAAACAACCCTTTGGATCAATCTGGTTGACATATTTTGTACTTGTAGCATTTTTTAATAAACTGTGCATTACTGTGATTGTTATGATACTTTTAATATTTCCTAAAATCCTCCCTCTTGATGTTCAAACTATCGAGTATTTGTAACTAGGGTTTGTCCCCTTCAATTTGATTGATGATGCACTGGAACTCTGCTGTAACTGCAACCTGAACCCCAATACCATCGTTCAAAATGTTAAGATGCAGGCATGGCAGGAAGAAGTAGAACGAGCACGCCAGGGTCAGAGAGAGGCTGAAAACAAGCTTTCTTCTGTTGAGGTAAGAGCTATGTGCATTCCCCTGTCAAAATTCTAGTTATGTTATTTGGAAGGGCTATTGAAGTGTGAAACTGGATCATTCCTTTCATTTCTAATTTGTTTAAGATTTACAAGTCAAAGTTAAGCATTTGTTTCTAGATACCAACCCTTTTCCCGATTACAGGCTGAATTGCAGAAACTGAGAGTTGAAATGGCAGCCATGAAAAGGGATGCTGAACACTATTCACGCCAGGTAGTCTGATGTTTGCAAGTAAACATCATCCAGTTCTCTAATTTCAAGCCAGCTTACCTTTTTCCTATCAAGAGAGTGAGATAGAGAGACATCGCTGTCTAGATTTGAATATGCTTTATTAGGAAGGCTAGGCAGTCAGTTAGATTTGGTCATGTTAGGGTTCTGAAGTTTTTCTTTGTGTTTTGTTCCCTCTGAAGAATAACTCGCTACTTCTCATATTTTGTGTGAAAAAATAAGTATCCCTTAACATTGTCAGAGCATATCCGCTGAAAATGCAACCTTCCAATGCTTTGCATCAGCAGGAATCTGAGGAATCCTGTTCACTGTTATCTTGTGCTTGTTTAAGACAATATTACCTGTTTAAGTGGTATTTGACACATTTTATTTCCTAAATTATCAATTCACTGGTTGAGCTGCTTTCAACAGGAGCATATGGAGCTTGAGAAACGCTATCGGGAACTAACTGATTTACTGGTAATAAAAAATCTGTAATTCATGTCTATTAACCATGATGAAGCACCAAAGAAAAAAAATCTGGAAAATGCTTTCTTGATGCAGTATTACAAGCAAACACAACTAGAAACAATGGCTAGTGACAAGGCAGCAGCAGAGTTTCAATTAGAGAAGGAATTGAAGCGTATTCAAGAAGTGCAGGTCTGTTCTGAAGGATTGTAACTCGTTTACAGGAATCATGTTCACTTGAGTCTGCTGTAATTTTTTTGTCCTGATGAAACATCTACCCCCTGCCATGCAGGTTGAGGCTGAAAGAGGCAGAGTTGCCCGCCGCCCATCTCCATCATGGGAAGAGGATTCCGAAATGAAAGCACTCGAGTATGTCCTTTCTTTTTCTGAACTAATAAAACACTTTCTTGATCCTGGCATCAGAACGGACCTATCCGGACTCAGAAACTATAACAACCTAGTACCATCTCGACAGTTTATCTTCTAGCTCATGCGTGAACTTTTAGAGGGGTGCTCTTAGATTTTCTTTAAAACGCTTCATACAATGCTTGCTATGACTGTCTATTATGCTAAAGCAAACGTTTTACCAACTTGGCTTGTCTGTGTTACAAGCAATTAGGTCTTCGATTGTGACCTTGTACCTGTGTTGTCTATTTCTTCCAATTTAGAATTTCAAGCAAGTTGTTTTGAATACATTTTGAAGCTTTCTCATGGCTTGAAAAATTGCAGGCCTCTCCCAGTGTACCACCGGCATTTGGTGGGCGCAAGCGTACAGGTATACAACTCTTCCACTCTTTTCATCTCAGTAGCGTCCCAATGCCTTGTTTTGGATTTTTTAAACACCGTGTTTGCGAACCTGCATGTTCTGCAGTTGCAGAAGGCAGCAAAGATATTGGACTCAGGAGCTGCCAGAGCCACGCGATTCTTGTGGCGGTACCCAACAGCTCGGCTAATCTTTTTATTCTATCTGGTAAGAATAGGCAGCAGGTGTTGCAATCGCCATGTTTCCAGACTCTTTTAAGGGTTGAGAAAAATCATGTAATGACCCATAACAGTAACACACATTGTGCTGCGCAGGTGTTCGTACATTTCTTCATGATGTATTTATTGCATCGCCTTCAGGTATCGACGTCGTGATTTTTTTAACTCCTCACCTCACTGATTTTCCATTGCTGTAAGCGTCGCCATTTGCTAACCGTGTGTCCCTCGCAATGCTAACAGGCGCAAGCTGACGATCTCTCGGCTAGAGAAGTCGCGGAGTCGATGGGCCTTACCGATCCCAACTTGCAGTTACATGCCCGGCGCTGACCACCACCCAACGCTGTGGACATGCCTGTGTATTGTGCCTCTGTATATCGTCCCAAAAGGAAAAGAAAGAAAAAACATTAGGATGGTAGAGTACAAGAGTTGGGTTGCCATTTTCAGACATATTTGCAGCAAAGCTGAAGCTTTGTTGTGGAATGGGCGACTTTCCATTTATTTCTTCTCGAACCATTTTCCTACCTTTTTCCCCTCTTGGTGGTGAAATCTAATTAGAGGTTTTTGCTGGGTGAAATACAGAGTACAGACTTGGTTTTGTGTACATGATGAGCTAGAAATAGATGTAATTGTACATCAAACATGCTGACAAAAGAGGTGGGGAAAGTGAAGAACAAATTTTATTTGAATAGATGAATGGACACAATTCATATTTTTTTTAATGATTTTTCATATGTTGTCACTCAAATTGAATGATCGAACAATCTTAACTTTGAATTGAGATAGTTTAACTTATATTTAATATGCAACTTAGATTTTTTTTTTCTTTTGGAAATGGTGTATAACTATAACGTGTGTATTAAAAATGTGTGCATACTAATACCATCTTCATCCCCGCAATTAATAAACAATTTCTAAAGTCGTCGTTACTGCCATATCACGACATTCGACATTTATCTCATTCAATATTTTTCAACCCCAAATATCCCGAAAATTAATAAGCAATTCCCAGCATTGGGTCTGATACAATTTCTCAATACATTATATTAGAATTGCTAAATCACAAACAAAGAAAAGATAATTGAAAAAGAAAAAGAAATCATAGGTGACAATGCAAAGATAATTGAAAAAGAAAAAGAAATCATAGGTGGCATTGCAAGTCAAGTTTTTAATTTAGCAATCTTGTCAATTGAGAAAGTTCTATTGCATCCTTTGCCATGCCCATGGCCAATCAAGATGCCACCTAACTTCAACAATTGCTACATGAGAGCAATGGATTAGTGATGGCAATAGGGGCAGGCATGTATCTCAATACTCATGCTATATCCCAGTCTATTGCGGGGCGGGGGAGTAATATTCGCACGGGTACGTGGCGGAGCGGGTCGCTCTACTCTTGTATGTTATTTGAAAAAAATGAACGCAAAATTTTACTTTTTACGATAAAACGAAGAGGAAAACACTTTATGAATGAAAAATAGTGATAATAGAATAGATAATTGAGTGTAACTTGTTGAAAGATCAAGTCTAATTAGTTGAAGAAAAGTCAAAGTAGGAGAAACATGAATAGCAACTTAAGAATTTGAGATATGATGAGCCAATAACTGGGCGGGCGCGGCATGACGAGTCAAAAGTAGATACTCATGCACTGTCCATGCTACTGCGGGTCGGGTAATATCAGGCCCATCGTGGACCAGGTCGGGTAATATCCGAAGGGACGGATTCAAATTGCCATCACTAATGGAGATGGTCTAACAATGTGTTGATTTTAAGAATTCATTGTTTGGAAAAAAAACATAAAAGAATGCATTAATTTTACATTTTCTTAAAGCTTTGATTAATCATTAAATTAACTATCAATACCAAATCACACAAAAAAGTGAATTTCAGTATGTATAATATTCTGTACATTAGTATTACATAATGTATTCTCTATACATACATTATGTGACTAAATCAAATTAAAAACATTGTATTCTGCAAGATACATGCATACTCTAGAATGCATACTCTAGAATACAACATTAGAAGAAGAAAAAAATTCGTACTAAATCTAACAACACGATAACATATATCAAATATTATATTTTACAATACAACAAATTATAACTGAACCACTAAATATCGCCCTAGTTTAACTTTCTCGTCCTAAGAAATTATTACATAATAACGATCCGACAACAAAATTTACACAACCTCCCTCTTTCAAAATGGTCGACATCCTCCCCCAACCACCGCAACCCAATCTGTCGCCGCACATATCCTTCCTTCAAACCCGTCGATATCCTCCGCTTGCCACCGTCCGTCAACCGTTTTGGCGGCCGCATCCACCGCCACCGATTATTCTACCCCAGGCCGACCGTGTTTAATTAGGCCCATTTGGAAAATAGAAACATCAAAGCCCAGAATTTGTTCGGTACCCAAACCGACTCGGCCCGGTTCGCCTGTCAAAGCCCAAAAGCCCAACAAACAAACGATTTGTTGTCTTCCTCCTCAAGCCATCGATTAATTCTCCAGCTTTCTTACCAAAGTTTCACAATCAATTTCTATTACCACGACCTTGCTTGCATCTCGCTACTCTCTGATTCTGCACTTTCAGGTAATCATGAACCCTAGCATGTAGCACTTTGGATTGATCTCGTCCTTCCTCCATCTGATTGTTATTGAAGCAGTGGTTATTTCGCTCCTTCCATAAAAAACCCTAAAAATTGCACTGAATCTCTGCAATTTGTCATCAGGGAATTCTTCAAAACAGTCGTCTTCTCTAGACTGCAGCCTCCAAATCCTGCTTCCCCAGCTGCACTCACGAAGAAGGGCTTGTTCAGGAGTCTCCAACAAAGGGGCAACCCGGTCCAGCTTTTTTTGGATTTACCTGCCAGCCGGCTTCCAACAGGTAAAAGCAATTCTGGCTAATTCTCCATAGAAAGTGCTTAACTTTGGGTTGGATCTTGAAGCTCCATAGCTTTCACCAGAACCGAGTCATGCTTGACGACGTGTGTTTTTTGAACTATTTTGTCTTGAATTGATGAGTACCTTGTAGAGTTTATACCCTGATTTAACTTTGTAGTCCCCTCTTGGGGTCAATGTCCAGATCCTTTCATCTTGTTTCAGAAGGATTATGCAATGGTATCTTAGGAATATAAGTTTGGTCTTCTTCTGAGAAGAGAGAGTGAATCAGATCATGATTCCATGAGCACTCTTCCCTGTTAATTAAGTCCGAAACACTTAGACTAAGACTAGGTTCACCCCCGATTGGATCTTGAACCGGGCAGAAACCCTCCCTGTTGGGGATCCATTTGTCTTCCCAAACTCTAATTTGAGACCCTCCATCTTAAACCTTCCTGTAACAAATATTTGGCTCCCATTAAGCTTCTCCAAACAAAGCTTGCAATGTATCCTATCTCTTCCTTTATATATGTACTTTGTAGTTTAATTATGGGAAATAAGAAGAATATTAAGAAAAGTCTCCCAACCCTAATCTCTCTATCCGCTCAATTCTCGTTCTCAATCCCTCTAAGGCCTAGGCTGATTACCTATCTTTCTCTTCTTCTTTCCCAAATTCCAATCTCAAATCCCTAATTCTGTTCGTATACTATAAACCCTAATCACCAAATATCAAACCCGATAGGAACTTTGTTCCTATCAGGTTAGCTCTGATTTTGTTAAATTAATCTGCTGCCCGGATTCTTCCTCATAGACTTTCAATATTTCCTTAAGTTTCACACTCTCTTCCCTTGATGATCCGACAAAAACAATGCTATCATCCGCAAAGTGGAGGTGTGGTACTTGCGGTGCTCTCTTGCTAATCTTGATCCCATGTATTTTCATGGTTACTTCGGCTGACTTAAGTAGAGCAGAGAAACCTTCTGTACATAGTAGAAACAAGTATGGCGACAAAGGGTCTCCCTGTCGGAGTCCCCTAGATGGAGCAAGTTCACAAGTTCTGTGTCCATTCACCATTACAGAATAAGATACAGTAGGTATACACATCATGATCAGCTCTATCCACCTCTCTTCAAACCTCATCTTCCAAGTCACTTTCTCAAGGAAACCCCATTCCACCTTGTCATAAGCTTTGGCCATATCTTATATCTAGCTTAGCTGCAAAAAATCCTCTTTTGACATTGCCATATCTTGTCATATGAACATTCAAACGCCATTATGATGTTATCCGTTATCATCCGCCCCGGCACGAATGCACTCTGTGTTTCTGAAATAATCTTTGGCAGCTTTCTTGATTGGCTTTAATTGCGTGAAAAAAAAATGTCTGGTTCTTCCCGGAGGAAATTATCAGTGGTTCTTGCTTTGCCTGATTGCTTTACTTTCTTCTGGTGGTTGCAACTTGAGAGTTCTCGAGTTATTGTTTATGAACACACTTACACTGGTTTGTTAGTGGTGGGAAATCTTATGTGCAACTTAAGTAGTCACTACACTTGAATTCAGCCTACTTATCGGGTTTTCACTAGTAGATTGCAAGTGAACATCATCTGTGTTGAGAATCAATGCGTTGAATAGGGCATTGCCTCTGTGGCTGGATAAGGCAGGTTAGAAACGCTGAAAGATTGTAATCGACGAAGGGGAATCAATTTTTTGATTGGTGATTGGATTGCTAAAAGGTGTATGGAATCGTTACTCTATTATGTACACTGCCTGGCTCTTTTGTAGCTTCAGTGAATCCCTTGCACTTAAAACAGCATTCAGTTAGTCAAGCTTACTCCATGTCATCAAAAGTCTTTAAGTGTTTATGATACTGCTATGGTTAAAAATTTGGTGCATTTTCATTTAGAATTGCTCAAACGTACCCGATTGCTTACCTGAAAATATGGCCTTTTAAAGTTAAATTTTCTGTGCAACCAGAAATTCCTCTTTTAGGACTTTCTATTCACCTATGTGCTTCTTTGACTATATTATAACTGAGAACACAGCATCCTGCAACTGCTAACTGGAATTTGTTGTTGATTTGGCTGACCACAAATTTGACAGGTTGTGATCAAGAAAATGGAGTCAACAAATTCTGAAGAAGAAAAGTACAATGAATTTATGAAAAAGGTGGAGCGGACTGTTTACATCGACACACTCCCACCACAAGCTAATGAATCAGTGCTGAAAACTGGGTTGGATCAGTTTGGCGATGTCGAGAATGTAAGCTTCATTCCGAACTACATGGATCCCATGAACAGCATGCGGTGTGCATTGGTCGAGATGAAAGACCCGAATCAAGCGAAAAACGTCATTCAAACGCTGACCAATTCCCCGTTCATGATTGCTGGCATGCCAAGGCCAGTGAGGGTGCTTCCTGCTGAGCTGGAGATGTTTGATGACCGTCCAAGAAAGCCCGGCAGGAAAATAACATTCAAGTGGTTGGAAGCAGACGACCCGGACTTTAAGGTCGCGAAAGACATGAAGCGTGCTGTCGTAAGGCATGCTACTGAAGCTGCATTAGCCCATAAGGTACAGCTTGTTGCACTTGGAAGAAGCCCTCGTTGTCTTTCCCTTCTTTTTCTTTTCATGGTCTAGTCTATAATAGGTCGATTTGATCTGTAGTTTTCCTAAATGCGGTTTTTTCTCTCTTTCTTTTTTTGCTTTCTCCAGCAACATCTGGAGGAAGAAGAGAAGCTGCACAAACAGCAAGTGGAGATCCTGAAAGCAAATTACAATAAGTACGAGGTGGCCGATGGTGTGATAAGCGACGGGACAGCTCAGCGTGTGGCGAAGAGATACGGTATGAGAGTTGCAGATGAGTGATATGGACAGGACAGGGATATTGAAAAAGAAAAACCACCTACAAAGTCAGTCATAAACCAAGACGATCAGATGACATTTCACTGTCCATTTTCACCAAGTGCCTGCAACGTTTCAACAGACAACAATAACTTTGCTTAAGCAAACAGACTCCGCCTAGCAGCAACCATCCTCTTCCCCACCATTTTCAATCCATATAATGCCCCGAACCAAAGGAGAGGAAACCCAATGTGAACCGAAGAAAGAAGAAGAAAATGAATCTCCAGTTCATGAATCCTGATGTGTTTCAGCCGGAACGGGGATCTGAAGGAAGCATCCATCTCACCTTCTTCAAGTGCCTCACATGGCAGGTGGAACAAACGCTCAATCCTTCCTCCTGCCTTTACCATTACTTCTGTGACAGCAAGTACCCCGGCAATTACCCGGTCTACGTCGATATCCTCGTCTTCCTGCTCGCAACAGCTTCCTTCCTGGTGACCCTAATCGTCATGACGATGGAGGTGCTGTCAGGAAGCAACAGCAACGAGGTATGTCGATCCAGAAGATACTTGCTGCCGTCTGGTCCAATCCTCCTTCCCGCCATCCTCCTGACGCTCGGCAAAGGCTACAGAATCCATACAATACTCCCCGTTTCGAGCATTGGCCCCGCGATCCTCCTCCTGCTCCAGGTTTCCTCCCTCACATTCGACACCGGAATCGACAGGGATGCAAGATACGCCTTCTTTGAAGCGTCCACGGTGTCTGGAATTCTGCACGCCAGTCTGTACTTGGATTCCGTCATCATGCCTTACTATACTGGGTTTGATGCCCTGGTGGGCTCCGAGTTCTCCGGTGGGTGTCCCTCCTGCATTTGTCGAGAGGAACCTCTGGTCGTCGGGGGAAGGCTTGTCAGCTACAGGGGTTGGTCGCCGACGACATTCCTCGTTGCTGGAGCTCTGTGTTGCAGGATCGTATGCAGGGTGAATGCCATGAGTGGCAAGAGCAAGACCATGGCGGTGAAGTCTTGGCTGGAATGGTTGAGTTGGGTTATGATAATGAGGGATTGTGTTGTGCTAGCGGTTAACAGTCCACCTGCTGCTGCAAGTTCGATTTCACCGGCTGTGGGAATCGGAGGTGTAGTTCTGTTGGTATGTCTTCATGTGGTGAAGAAGACTGCTGCGCTAATTAGGACGGGGGATCATTTCATTCATACAACCACAATTTCTTTGACTTCTGTGTAACGCCACAGACATATAGATCTGCAACTTTTTTTTGAAGTTGTTTCTTCCTCCCAACGTAGACAGCGAAATGTATAGAGTTGTTTCTGTGTTTCTCCATTGTACAACTTAAACGACGTCATTCGCTAATCTTAGATTCTAATTTTTATTTTTTTATATTTAATATTTTGGAATTTCTAATACTCTGGAGCAAGGTTGTGGAACCGCTCGTTGATCTCTTTTGATTTTGACCTGGCGAGAAAAAACGAGTCATAGACACTTGTAAATCGACCCGCTGCAAGGTTACTGTGTTGGAGATCACACAACATCATTTTTTTACCTTGGCTTTGTGAAATGGGATTCTTTTCTGGTTTTCTCATTCGTTTAACCCTATTTTTAAAATTCCGAGTCGAACATTTGTATACTAATGATATATATACCCGGTCAGAAAAAACGAGTTATACGATTCCCATAGGTTGACCTGTTGCAAGGTTACTGTGTTGGAGATCACACAACATCATTTTCCCTCTTGGCCATGTGAAATACGACTCTTTTCCGGTATTTGTTTCGTCTAATCCTAATCTTGAAAATTCGGAGGTGGGTCTTCTCTGTGCAGAGCTACGGGCCCAAGCCCAGTCTTTCCAACGGATTGGGTGGAAATATGCAGGCTGGGAAAAAACAAACTGGCCCATTTGATGGCCCATGTGGAATGAAAACCTTGCTCCTAACCCTGGTCTTGTTTTGTCAACACGTGTGACGTGACAGTTACTACTATTCACTATTCGGTATTCAAAAAGTAGGCTGGTAATTTGGTCCAGGACTGTTTGGTTTTACCCGAAACCGGACCGTATAACTTGGATCGGGATCGGACTGGGATCGGATAGCAAACAATCCAATCTCATATTAGTGATTAGATTTGAGGTAAAAAAATCCGGATAAAGACCCCAACACTCAAATCCCCACAAGCTCAATCTAAAATCAAAATCAAATTGGGACCTGAACTGGTCAAGACCGGACCGGATCAAGACCGGAGTGTATCCAATCCAATCTTTGGTCCTTATATTCCCGAAAAGACCGGACCGAAACCGAATCAATTTGGTCCAATTTAACCGGATCGGACCGTATAGCCACCCTACCAAAAAGGACGACACCGTCTAGTCACTTCAACTGATGCGCAGAGAGAGAATCCGCGCGCCGAGCAGAAAATCAAACTTTCCCCAAAATCCAAAAAGAAAAAAAGGGGAGAAATAGGGAATTGATCCATGAGATCATCACTCTTCTTCGCAGTAATTATTATGCAGCAATCTCAACTCCCTTCCTCCACCGCTCCAGAATCTCCCTCTCCCCCTCTTCCTCGCCATCGCCGCCGCAACCGCCGACTCTCCGATCAGCTTCGCCGCCGGATTCTATGGCGGACGCCCTGCCGCCCACCGTGGAGGCGCTCATCCACCTAATCTGCCTTGTGCACAAACAGCCTCCTCTCCCGTTCACGACGAGGCGGCAGCTCGCTCGGTTGGGCGAAATTGAGTCCATGGCCATCCTCCGCGAAATCGACACTCGGGGAGTTAGTAAGACTTTCGACGATTCCGTTCAGATGATCCTCCGAGGGAAGTCGCCGTCGCAGTCGCAGTCCCCGTCGACAGCTCCACTGTATTCTTCTTCCTCTTCTACATTTACATCCCCGCAGCGGCAGCAGCAGCAGCTCAGTGGTAGCCCTAAACCCACGTGGCTAATGATGCATACTCGAGGTAATTTTTTTTTTTTTTGTTTTCTTTCCCCTGAAGAAGGAAGCTACCTGGGTTAGTAGTTACGGCCTTTTTCTCTGAATTTCACTTGCTCTGATTGTGATGCCCAGTTGGTCACTTCAGTCAATCTTCTGCTTCTACGCCAGTGAAGCGCCTTCGTCTGTCTCCACCGACGTCACCGCCGCAGCAGCTTGCTCGTAGCCTTTCTCCCACGCTGCTAATGACGGATGCTCGAGGTATTTCCCCGACTGCTTCTCGTAGTTAACGGCCCTTTCTCTGAATGTTTTCTTTTCCCCCCTGATGGCCAGATGGTGACTTGGATCTTCAATGGGTCGTTCGTCGTAAACTGGAGGACGATTTCCGTGATCCTCCGGCCGCTACCATGGAGCATCTGAAGGAGCTTGAATTTAGGAAGGCATTTCTCATATTGAGCTACCTGAGAGGGTTAGTCGTTGGTGCATTGGCCTTTGTTTCTCTTTAAATGATAAAATCACATGTTGCTTGTTGAGTTAATGTAGAGTAGAGATTGTTTGTCTATTCGCATCCTCCTTGGACAGGAAGAAGTTGAAAGACTATATGAATATGACGGCCGATCAAATCAGAGAGCTACGGAGTTTACCGATGAGAAAATTCGAGGAACTAGTTTGGAGTGCCATTGGCATGCCATGTATCGGGGATGAAACACAACGGATAAAGGTAAACGACGGGGAGAGGAAAAGAAAACTCACAAGTGAGGTTGGGATGTGGTTGGAGATGGTTAGTTCTCTGTAAATGTTGGCTAATCAGTTTCCCTTGTTTCTATTACCTGTGTCGTGCAGAGTGATGATTGGAACCCCAGGCGGCCTCATGTGTACCAATGCACTGTGGACCATAACCACCATGACAATTATGATACTGGGTTGAGTTATGAGTTCAAGGTTGGAACTTTTTCCTGGAAATGTGCACAGGCAAATGTGATATCAACTGTCTTTTGCTGCATGTGATTTTGATTCAAGTGAGTAGCTGCCACACTTGGGTACAGCTACGAATGCCATGACTACTTTTACTCCGTAACAATATGCTATACTTTCTTGTTATATGTGTGTGCGCTACTTTTTGGGTAAAGTTAGAGGTACTTGGTCAAGGAATATTTACTGCTATAGGTTTATTTGTTTCTCTCAGGGTCCTTACTTTACCAACATGAGAAATTTCCTGCATGCTACTCTGGGGGATGAGAATGTTTTGCTGGTCAAGTTCAGTGACAAGGGGAACAAAGATAAAAGCATACCAAAGTGCAATGATCGTTGTTATGCCAAGTATGCGACAGATATCATTAAAGATGGGATTCATGTTGGTCCGCATCGTTTCCATTTTTTCGGTGGGTACATATATTTCATATTTGAGCAAGATTTCTCCTCTTGTTATGTCTACCTACAATGCTTAAGAGTGTGCTTAATGTTACCTTTTGGTGTAAACGGAAAATAGGTTGGTTGCCGACTTAGTTGCTTTTCTTGTGTTCCATTGATAAATACGGTATTCTAAAGAGTATGAATTCGATAATGACTGGGTGAACTGCAGCTATATGCCTATTGACTTCAGTACATAGTTCCTTGGCTTTTAAGTTTCACCTGATGTAAGAGATTTTGGTTTTCCTCTGCTGTGACAACCATATGGTAGATTTAGGATAAGCATTGTTGACATATATTTTGCGTTTCCACTTGATCTCTTTCCTCCCAACAACAGAATTGCTTACTGTGATATGCTTGGAAGTGAAATTAGTACAACGCTTTCTACCAGCAGTCAGCATTTCACACTTAATGGCTTATGTTTTTGTTCTTTTCTGTTAGACTGTTACTATTGCCTGCTGTTGGACTTAAATTTGGTGTCTCCTTGGTTGCTACCCAACTTCGTTTCTCCTTAACAGAATCTAGCTATTAAAATTCAACAGTGTTCAAAGACGGACAGAAAGAGGAAAAGAAGAAAGATTCAACTACATCACCAGTGAAGTGTTATTTTATCCGCTTAGATGGCAATATGAAATTCAAGTCGATTCGTGAAGCTAGATCTTTCTTTATGCATCTAGACTCTTTGCCAAATTTATCCAAGTACATGGCTCGGTTAGTACAGTCGAGCACGACCTCCCCTCCCCTCGTCATTCCCTTCTCTGATAGCGTTTTTTGAGAACCTATTGTTCACTGTTGCATGCAGGTTTTCTCTCATTTTGTCAAAGACCATAAAACTGGATGTGGATCTAGCAGATGTGTTTGTTGATAGGGCCGATGACATTCTTTGCAGCGTAGTGCCTGAAATTATGTTTTCTATCAGTTCGTTAGAGAATAAATGATTTAATAAGGATTATCGACCTCCTTTCGATGGAGCTCAGGACCATTCTGCCATTTATTTTAATGCAGGATGAAGAAGGTAAGATTGTGTATGATAAGAAAGGCAAGCCGCTCATATATACAGATGGAACTGGGTTCATATCAGAGGATTTAGCACGGTTGTGCCCAATTGTAACTCAAGGGAGGTGTCTGGACAGTGACATTGGGGAGGTTTGTACCTGATTGCTGTCAACAGTAGACCATGTATGCTATAATCAAAGCAACAGCCTGTATCTCAAGTTTGTGTTTGCTGAATAAAATTCTCTGTTTTTTATATTGATAATAAAGTAGAAACTATTGGTAATTTGATACGGTATTAAATTTCATTTTCAATTACAGATTTACTGGAGAAAAAACTCTAATCTAAAATTCAATGTTAATTTAGCTACAATGTGCATGACAATTGACTGCTGGGTTCCAGAACCTATTCTGTCCATGGTGCTATGCCTCTCATGATCCTATTTGTTTCCACATTTCATGTACTGACCTTGTTTTTGGGGATATTTTTGTTTGCATTATAATCGTGGATTTCTCTGGATCAGAATCGTGAAGTGAACTTCTTAGGATCTCGCCCCAGGGAACCTGTAAGCACCTTTTTAACTAGCTAGTTTTTATGTTTATGCACCAGTCCAAATGACACTTAATCATTCTCCGCATATGGTTGTTTTTTGTCTTGAAGCCCTTGCTTATGCAGCTGCGCCTTTTTCACAAAGGAAAAGCTATAAAGGGAACTCTGCTTCTTAATAAGAAGGTAATTTGGTAGTTATGGAAATTCATACAATTTTTTTCTTCTTCATTTGTGGCTAAATAGTGGCTGATTTTCATTTTTCAAGCAAAGGTTTAATCACTAAAATTTAAGCTGGAAAAACAACTCTAACAAACAAACTACCCAAATTTAATTTTTTGAATTGTTTATTGTGAACCTCACAAATTAAATGTTAAAAGAACATCACTTATAATATTTTCATTTCTAATTTTCGTCCCTCTAGCTATTTTGTGGTGGAATATTGATCAAATGTTGGTCTCATTGCTATCTTTTTTGTAGCTTTCTCCTAAAACCATTGTCTTTCGCCAATCCATGGTTAAAGTTGATGCGGATCTAAATCTGTCACATAAGGCTACTGCAAACTCAATGGAGATAGTTAACACAAGGTACTTTGGGAAGTTATTGCTGCTTTGCTTTAAAGTGTGTAGTATTTTTTTCTTCTTATAAGAGTGATATATGTTACTTTTTTAGCTAGGTACTATTGAAGGGATTTGAACCTGGGACCTCCAGGTTCAAAGCTAGTGGTATTACCACTAGAACAACCCTTGTTCGTTAGAGTGTGTAGTATTTTACCTACCAAACTTCCGTTGTAATTTCTTTTGGGTTGGAAGAAACAGGAGCAACCGGGAACTTATCACATTTAATTTGATACCCTAATGAGTCCTAGAGGAGCGAAAGGGAAAGTACCAGCATCAAGGTGGTCTATGAAGTGAAACTTCTGTTGTAGTTTAGCAGCTACTTAAGGTTGCTACTCCTGGTTTTGAATGTAGATGATTATTATTATCATTATTGATGAGAATATATTATTAGAGTCCCGACATGTAAGGACTGTATATGTCCAAATATGTGGATGTTTCTTGTAAAAAAATCAGTTGCCCAGAAATGGATAAGCTTGCCCTTGCTATTGATCTGGCCTAAAGTACTGCACAGTTTACTGTAAATGAAAGGAGAGTGATAAGTTAATATTGAGGTAATAATTTAAAGTGAGAAATTGACTTATCCAGGAAGTCTGGCAAGACAGAGAATGTCCTGGAACCACTGGTAATTTTTATATTCCTGGTCATATATTGGCTTTAGAAGGAAACTATCCTGGGAAATCTGTCTGAATATATTCTTTCTACTGATAAGTTTCTGTGGCTTAAGGTATATGACAGAATCTGATATTAAGACCTATTTTACAGCCGTCGCCCAAAGCCTGCAGAGCTTTCAAGAAACTTGATTGCCCTGCTCAGCTATGGAGGTGTTCCAAAGGACTTCTTCATGGATCTCGTGGGTAAAGCCTTAGATGATGCTCTTGTTTTCAAAAGGCGTGCTGCTGCTCGAGGTGGGTTTCCTCCTAAAGCATATTGCAGTGATAATTTACTAGTCCTGGAGCAGTGATGGTAAATCTGTTTACACAAATTGGCTTTCACTCATTATTATCCCATACTTTTGTATCTGGAACTATTTTCAGGAAGATTTTCGTGTCTCAAAATTTTGAATGACTTCTGTGCATATTCCTAAGGGGCAGCTAATAACTTTTATTGCTTCCCTTAGTGCCTGTTTTCCCAGTTGTTTGTTGGTAAATCAATTGACCGTCTTATTAACTCTGAAGTTTAATTTTCAACTAATTTTGTTTACCCAGCTGCAACTTTTCCTTATGAGAAGGAAATGCTTTTATCTGGGATTCCATTTGAAGAATCATACCTGAAGTTTCGTTTGCCCAACTTGATGACTGACGAGAAGAAAAGGTTGAGAGGAGGTAAAATTCCTTTGCCCGAGTCATATTATTTAATGGGGACAACTGATCCCTCCGGAGTTTTGAAGAATGGTGAAGTTTGCATAATCTTGTGAGTACACAATTTACTTCCTTTTCACTTCTATTATTGCTTTTAGTTTTGCTAAGTTTTCCGGTATGTGTTGACATGCAAGAGACATGGAGTCGGTTTCACAATGAGTTTGGGAATGCTGGTGCGACAGATGACAAAGAGGCTCCACTGATAAACAGTGTGAAGTCAAAAGTCGTTAACTCGTGAACTATACTATGATTCACTCAAGTTTGTGCAGTATGGCGATGGTAGTTTAGCTCTTATAGTTGATAGCTTGTTGCAGGTTTAGTCCTCAAATTATACCTCAAATACAAATTGAAGTTGCTGCAACACATGTTTGCCCGTTTTTCTATGATTCCCATGAAGGGTTTTTTGAACATGATGGCCATAAAGCTGGTTATGTGCTTGTTTACTTTCTACCATGTTACATTATATGCTACGCGGTATACTAAATTTTCAGAATGATTGGGTGTCACGTTGTAGTATTTGCTCAAATTTTTACAAAATAACAACTGGTTGATGAAGGATTTATCAAGTAATCTGCTAATTCTAGAATCCTTCATTTTTGTTTGTACAATGTAGAGATAATGGACAGGTTTCCGGAAAGGTGTTAGTATATAGGAACCCAGGATTGCATTTTGGTGATATCCATATTTTAGAGGCTGTCTATCTGAAGGAAATGGAAGGTTACGTGGGCAGTTCCAAATTTGCTATCTTCTTCCCTATTCATGGACCAAGGTCCTTGGCAGATGAGATGGCTGGTGGTGACTATGACGGTGACATGTTTTTTGTGTCGAGAAATCCTCAGGTTAGTTTTCTGCTTGACCTATGAAAAGTTTAATTTATTCAAATCAGTATCTTTTAAGGCAAAGCTGTAATTGTTGACTGGTGAGCGGCTTATGCCGAGAATGTTATGCTGTAGAGATGATAACGTGATTGTTGCTCGTGCATTGATTTTCATTATATGCCCCATAAGCTCCTATATTTGATCGTAAGTGTGTGCGATATATGTATCCATCCTATACTAAGCTGCTGGCTCATAGTCTGCCTTATGCTCTTACCCTAGAAAGAAGTTGTTTGTCCAGATATATGCTAAAATCTATGTTGATTCCATGCTACACTATATGATATCTCTTTTAACATCTCTATACGTGTCTTTGATTTGGGAGCCATTAGCAATGTGAGGGGTTATGTAAGATGACTCGTACGCTGCACTTTTGTTTCAGCTGCTGGAGAGTTTTCTTCAAAGTGAACCATGGGAAAGTTCTTCTCTGTCTGCGTCTCAATGTGAAAAGCCAAGCGAAATTCCGAGCAAAATGTCTGATGAGCTGTTGGAGACTGAGCTTTTCAAACTATTTTTAGCAACACGATTTAATGCAAGGTATCCATTTACTGTCAGTGTTCGATATGTGTTGCTCTTATCTCGTTTGAAGCTTTTTAGGTTTTCTCATCTTAGTTCTCCGCCGAAAGGTCACCTTTTGACGTCATGACCACTGAAACAATTGCCCTTCTGCAACGATTTTGTGGTTCAAGTGATGTGTCATTTCTAATCGACAATGGTGTCCTCAGATTTGATAAAGGAAAGGTGGTAATGTTTCTTCTCAGTTCCACTGCAGGGATGGCTGCTGAAAGCTGGCTGGCAATGATGGACCGGCTTTTAATAGCGGAATTTGATGGTACAATTGACGTGAACAAGTGTGCTTTGAAGAAGAATATCCTGAGCGTGATTGATATATATTACGACGCTCTAGATGCACCAAAAAGTGGAGCAAAGGTTAGTATATTCTTCATTCCCATTGGTCTTATTTGTGTGATAGTGTTGTTCTCCGAAAAAACAACAGTTTGTTACGTATCGTCGTTAAATGCCGCAATTGTGATCTTGACGTAAGGATATAACACTCCGAGGAAAAGTATTATCTATTTAGGGAACCAATGATTTTTGTTATGGAGTTGAACTCGGCATTTTCTCATTCACTTAGGTTGAACTTCCACCAAAGTTGAAGATGGATAGATTCCCGCACTACATGGAAAAGCCTGACTATAGGTCGTACAAGTCTACTTCGATACTGGGACTAATATATGATGAAGTGAGGAAGTTTGAAGCTAGGGATGACATGCCAATTAGTGGTAATAAGCTTTTACTTATTCTGCTAGTACCTTTCAAAGCTAAGGTCAACCAATTTTGTGCTGTTACCTGCATTCAACGATCTTTTTGACAACGTTATGGCGTAGAAATCGTGAAACTGCCTTGCTTCGCTGGACAAGTTCCTCCACATCTCATCGAGAAGTGGGAGAAAGAGTATAGCCTCTACAGGATTGAGATGGCAAGATGTTGCAGCAAAGAAGTTGGGAAAAATATAGCTGCCGATGAAATCAATGAGAAATACAGAAAGGTGATACAGTTTTGAGCTTTCATTTTTATCAATGATCGAAACTCTGTTTGTTCAAATTGATAAAAGTACTTTCCGTTCCTCCTTTCGATAGCCACATAATGGCTTTCCATTCCTCCTTGTTGCTATTGGCTAGACTCTTGTTTGTCCAAATTCTATGTTCTTTTCGATTCTGTTTTTACGTAAAATCACATTTTTTGACAACCATGCTATCATCTCAACTTCAGATCTTCTATGGCCCCACTGGGGACTTCTGTACGAGCGAGAAGAAGCAGGAAGAATTGTTCGACGAGGCTCGAGCAATATATCAGGTTGTTTACGAGTATGCCGAGCAAAGGAGACGCTCGGTGGCAAATGACCCCGAGAAGGTAAGGAAAGCCATTAACTTATGTGCCTTCGCATGGAAAGTAGCAGGCTCGGCTCTCTGTGCATTGTACATGTCGAGTCGCGGCGAGAAGCCCTTGCTGTGCTCCGAGTCCGCTTTCAAGGAAATGTTTGGACAAACCAACAACTCCGCCAAGTAAGTTGCCTATGCGCGGAGGCTCGTGTATGTATGTAGCTATGTATAATCGTTTAGAACTCTTGTAGAAGCACCGTATCTTGGCTGCACTAATGTATCTGCTAATGTAGTGCTGCTGAGCATGTCAACTGGTTCGTTCAAGTTTAGTTTTAGTGATTGATCAATCTAATCAAGAGAAACAGATGTTAGTTGTACGTGAGTTATTGCCGCAGCCTTAAGGCTGTGGGCGTATAATGTATTATACAAAGAACTCATGTATTTTACAGGTTGGATGTAAGAATCTATGGGGGTCTGGTTCACATGAACAACTTTTGTAACCTCATCATGGTATACTCATGGATTAGCCGGTTCCTATTTGGAAGGATGCAATATCTTAACTGTCGTAGTTTCTACTCCTGCTAATAGTTTAGCCCATTCTTTGTTGTTACTATGGGGTATAATTTGTTTGGTTTACAGGAATTTTGATATTGTCAAACGAGGACTCACATAATTGGATGATGGTTGGCACGTGGTACTTCGCGAGTAAAGCTAAACTACACTATTTTTCGTTCAACTCATGCATCACAATATTTTTCGCATCCATTACAATATTCATGTAAATACATCTACTACCACTACATATATGGTAATATTTTTTATTTTTACAATTTTATGTAGTAAATCACCCCACGGCCAAAGCATTTCAACCACATAACCAATGTAGTAAAAAAAACGTTGTCTTAAAATACAAACATGCATGTTTTATGACTCTAACTAGACAAAACGCTTTAGTTTTTACACAAAAACGTATTGCATGTAAAAAGTAAAAACGTTCAAAAAGTGGTAAAAACGCTAAAAACAGTAAACACGAGTTTCTAATCCGTTTTGTACGTTTCTAGTTGAAGGATTTTCAACCAATTTCACACCCTCTCTCCAGTATTGTCTACCAATAAGCCAGCGGTTACAACATTAATCCCTATGGTCAAATCGACCATCAAATAGTCTTGAACCTGTCCTTAAAGTTTGGGCCAATCCAACGGTTGATTTTTCCGAAATCCTCTCTAAAATGAACCGCCCAGCTACAGGATCACATCCTATCTGAACAACAATATTTCTCGACTAACCAAAGATCATAAAAATGATCCGAATGGTCAGAACAGATCGCATAAAGTATGGAACGCGTCCTCTAAATTTGAGGACGATCGAGCGGCTGGTGCTTTTGGAATCCCCCCCTCGAACTCACTGACTTGCTGCAAAACCAAAAATTATGCAAATCCTCTATTCTCTCATCATTTTTTCTTCTTCTTTCCTTCCCAATTCCCCGCACCAATTTCCCGTCAATTTTATGGTTCCTTCAAGGTTTGTTGTTAATTCATAATTTAAATCTCATTCAAATATTGGGATGATGTCACTTTTATGCGAGGATGACATATGCATTTTCAAAAGGGATTACTTTATTGTTTGATGTGCGGTTGAAGTGATTAACATTTACAAATAATTTGATTTCTCTCTTTCAATGGATGAAGAACCTCGTAATAAAATAAGTCTCAGTAATCTTGTTAATTTGACGTCTAGATTGAAACAAGGTGGCTGATAATGGGGTGTAGGTGTTAATTGATTATACTTTTTTATGAATGAATCATTATTTCCTTATTGCATTGTTGGTTTAGCTGTACGTTTGCTCCACCATTACAAATTTGTAGATTATTTGCATGAGTACTCACATTTTTAAATGAGACATTTAGTTTGCTGAAAATTAATTAGATCATACACAAAAACTTGATTTTGGTCCTCTAAATTAATTTTAGCATGAAAGAAAAGAAAATCGAAATCGAATTTGAACCGAACCGATTCTGTCTCAATTCGATCTTGTTTCGGAACGAATAGAGATGCCCACCCCTACCTAGCCTAGTTATTCTGCTAACTTGAAGATTCGTTAGTATATACTAACTAATATCCAAAATGTATGGACTAATATCCAAGTCTGCTGAGTATCTAGATAGCACAGACTAGTATTCAAAACATCACAAAATAGTATCCATATAGCAGATACCAACTAATATTCACAATCAACCAACTAGTATTCAATATGGACACTCTTATGTGTTATCTAGATACTCTTATGTGTTATCTGGATATTAATTATGTGATGTATGGATACTATTTTGTGTTGTCTAGATATTAGTTTGTGAATTTGGGATAATAGTAGTTGATTCATGGTGGATATCAGTTAGCAAACTTTGAATACTAGTCTGTGCTCTCTGATTACTTTAGTACTTGGATACTAATTCATATATTTTGAATATCAATTAGTATCTACTATCTACTAACAAATCTTCAGGTTAGCATATTAACTTTGGGAATTGATAAACGTCGTCTTTAAAATTACTATTGATCGTCTAAAAAATAACAAAGTTACACTTTAACCTTTTGTCATCTTTAGCAAATAAACATCACTTTAACTAAAAAAATGAAAAACACTCAATTTCCCACACTCTCGAATTCATTGTTGACATTCTCGAGTCGTAATCGTTGGGAATACGTCCGAATCATGAGTAGCGGCTCTGACGAGGTAAAAACTCGATATTTTTTCAAAAAAAACCCAAAATCCCTAAACCGAAGCCAATTTTCAGTTGTACCATGGCTCAACCTAAGGCAATTTTCGGTTGTACCATGGACCAACCGAAAATTGCCTTAGGTTGAGCCATGGTACAACTGAAAATTGGCTTCGTTGAGGGGTTTCGGAATTTTTTTGGATTTGTTTGGTTTATATCAATAATTTCCTATTCTTTTACTACGATTTATGGTTCGGTCCATAAGATAATTTGTTGGATTTTGGTTTATATTTTTTTAGATTTGTGGAAGGAGAGGGGTTGTTTGTTTTGTGTTTGATTTTGAAATTCAAAATGAACAATTCGGTAAATTACATATTAAGTTAGGACGATGGTTAGTAATTTTTAGGACGACCTTTAACCATTCAGTTAACTTTCCCCACCCCTACCAATCACCACTCCTCATCCGTCGGAGAAAGGGAGACAATGAGCGGGAGAATCAAACTTAAAATAAAAAAATATAAACAAATCGGGAAATTGCGCCGTGGAAATTAATTCCTGCCAAATGCCATCACTCTTCAGTCCAATCACCATTCCAGCAATAAAAGCGACGAGCCGGACAGTAAAACTCCAACTCTCCGATCACCTTCCATGGCGAGCTCTCCTCAGCAGCAAGTTCCCCTCCCCGAAGCCGTGGAGGCGCTCGTGGCCAAAATCCGCAACGAGCAGCACCAGCCTGCGCTCGGACTCGATACGAGGCGGCTGCTGGCCGGAGTCCCCGAACAAGTTTCCATCGAAGTTCTCAGCCAGATTCGCGGTCACGATATTAAGAAATCGTTCGACGGCTTCATCATCTACTTGCTCCGGCAAAAGTCGCAGTCGCCGTCGCCTACGAAACGCCTCTGCGTTCCTTCGTCGACGTTCCAAACCCCGACTCCGTCGCCGCCGCCGCCGCAGCAGCAGCAGTTCGCTAGCCCTACTCCGTCGGGGCGCATGACGGAATATCGAGGTAAATTTTGTCAGTACTGTGGAGAGTAGCTGTTGCTTGATTGATTCTGAATTTTTGCTCATACGCTGTCTGTTAAGAATCCTTTTTTGATTTTCTAATTGTGATTGCCAGTCGGTCAGTCGAGTCCTCAACCGTTCGTTCCTCGTGGAATGGAATGCCGATTACAGTATCCTCCGGCTTCGAATGGAGGATCAGCTGCGCCGATGGAGGTTCTGAGGGGGTTGGAATTTAGGCAGGCGTTTCTCATCTTGAGCTATCTCGGGGAGTGAGTTACCGGCGTGCTTTTATCTTCCTGTTTTTTCCCCTTCCAAATGTCGATTTCTGCATTTGCATGTCGGGTTTAATTAGCGAGTCTCCTCTCGTTCTGCGTCGTCTTTGGGCAGAGAAAAGCTGGACGAGAAAATGGCGGATCGAATCAGAGAGATGAGAGGTTGGGGTTTACCGACGACAATGAGAAGTTTCGAGGAGCTAGTTTGGAATGCTATTGGCAAGCACTGCCTTAGGGATGAGAAGCAATGCAGGATAAAGGTAAAACCGTTGGAAGTTAAGGAAAGGAAACTGTCTGTGACTGAGAAATGGCTACTTTCTCTGTCTTCCAAATTTGGCTAATTGGTTTGTCTCCCCTGGTTTCTATTCTATTTCCTCTTGTTGTGCAGAATGTTGATTGGGATCCCACCAAGCCTCATGTGTACCACTGCATTGTGGCCCATACCCATTTCGATAATCGGTTAACTATCACTTTCAAGGTTGGAACTTCTTCCTGGAATTGTACACATGCAAAACATGATATCAAATGGTTTTCAAAGACTATGAAGGATGATGTTCCTTAGCTATTTTAATTGCAATTTCGAAGTATGAACGGGTTCTTTTGGCTGCCAGATTGGCTTTACATGTTCATAAATCTTTGTGATTAGGAGACCTGCCTGAGACTGGATTGGCTGCATTGTTTGCTACGTTATTCTATAGTAGCTTTGTATATGTTTTGTTTTTCTTTTCCCTCAAATCTTAGAGGTGTGCTTCTTCAAGGATGTTTACCGTTGTATGCTTATACCTTGTACACACAGGGGCCGTACGTAACCAACACGAGAAACTTCCTGCAAACAACCATGGGCGATGACAGTGTTTTGGTGGTCAAGTTTAGTGATGGGCTTACAAGAGATGGCAAGACAGAAAAGTGCAGTGAGGATTGCTATAAAAAGTTGATGGGTATCGCTAGGGATGGGATTCAAGTTGGTCCGCACCATTTCCGGTTTTTTGGTGGGTATAGAGATTTCAGTGAAATTTCGATTTTGTGCAACAACTTCTAAGCATGTTTATTTGATATTATCTATGATGTCAATGCAACATAGAACTTAGTTGCCTTCATTTTGATTCATTAAGAAAGCGACTGTCCTCAGAGCATGAGTCTGCGTTCGAATCCCACAGATGCTGGAGCCTCACCAACATGCTTTTTCGTCAAAACAAAAATAAAGACTGCATGAATTTGATAAGGGTGAAATGAATTGTAGCTAGTTAACTTTGAGGCTTAAAGTTTCCTTAACAAATGAGTTACCTGATGCAAGAGGTTTTGGTGTTGTGACTTCTGTGGCAACCATGAATGATGAATGTAGTTCACTAGAATGGATTTTCGATAGGCATTGTTCACGTGGATAGGTGCATGCATTGAATTTTACCAAAATCAGAATTGCATACTTCACCTGACCTGCTAGAAAGTGAAATTAGTGCGATGATTTCTGCAGATATTTTTTCTTATTAACCCCATTTGACACTGACAATGGCTAGTATTCTGTTCTTTCTGGAACTGCCGCTGTTGAACTTCAATTGAGTGTCTCCTGGGTTGCAATGTATTTTAGTTATTCCTTGACTGAATATACCTATTAACAGTGTTCAAAGACGGAATGAAGGAAGAAAAGAAAAAAGATCCAGCTAATTCACCTGTGAAGTGCTATTTTATCCGCATGGATGGCTATAGAAATTTCAAGTCAACTCGTGAAGCTAGGTCTTTCTTTATGCATCTAGACACTTTGCCAGATCTATCCAAGTACATGGCAAGGTTAGTACAATCGAACACGACCATCCTCTCCTTTTCATTCTCCGCTCTGTTGGTTATGATTGAATACCTGCCAGTAGCTGTTGCAATGCAGGCTTTCTCTCGTTTTGTCAAAGACCATGAAACTGGACGTGCCACTGGCAGCTGTGGATGTTAGAGTGGAAGATGACATTTCTTGCAGGGTATTACATAAAAACTTTGCTTCTACATTTCATCAGAACAACTGTTTTAATCAGGATTGCTGACTTCCTGCCAGTGGAGCTCAAGAACATGCTGCCCTTCATTTTAACGCAGGATAAAAACAATAACGACGTGCAGGATAAGAAAGGGAACCTTCTCATACATACAGATGGTACAGGGTTCATATCAGAGGATTTAGCACGACTATGCCCCAATGTATCTCAAGGGAGGTGTCTTGAAAGTTGGTTTGGAGAGGTTTGTATTATAATGTGATTACTTTGACGTTAAATAGTCCCTCATGCTAGCAGATGAAATTACTTTTGTCAATGCAACAGCTCTATATCTTACGTGTACATATATTCTTTTGCATATGGTCCTTCTCTGAGTTTCTTTATGATGAATGGACTCTTTTTTGGTTCTGTTTACAACTTGCCTCGATTAGAAGTAGAAACAGTTGGTATGTTGCTAAATTTCATTTTTATCTAAATTCACTGTTAATTTAATTCAGTTGCCATGTTCTAGGACTAGTTTGTCCTCTCTATTCCCCTTCCTATCACGATCCCTCTAGCTCCTCGTATTTCATATAATGACCTTGTGTTTGGAGTTATTGTTGTGTAATACTCTTTCCTATTGACCAGAATCAGGAAGGGAACTTCTCAGGATCTCAATGCAGGGAACCAGTAAGAGTGGACAACCTCTTTCTGTTATTAGCTTACACATGTCTCATCGTGATGTCATTTAATCAATTTTTGCATTTTTTTTTATTTTGGTTTTCAAGCCTTTGCTTATGCAGCTGCGCCTTTTTCACTATGGAATGGCTGTAAAGGGAACTCTGCTTGTTAACAAGAAGGTAACTTGATATGTATACATGATACAACTTTATCTGGCTCACTTGTGTCTACTATTGTAGGTAGCTGGTTTTGCTGATTTTTTTTTACGTGCCTACAATTCCTACTGAGTAGCCGTCATTACTTTTCACGGGTTTCTTTCAAGTTATCACCATTCTTCAAACATTATGGTTTACTTTTGATTGCAAGCATTTTGTCTTATAAATTTTACTGCCATACCCTCAATTAGATTTGCTTTGTGAAAGAGCCAGTTAAATGTTATTGGATCACTTTATCATCAGTCCACTTCTTTTAATAAAATTTTCACAGGAAAATAGTTTTAGTAAATTACTAGAACTTCCTTCGATCAAACACACTTCAAGTTCTCTTGTTTGGTACTTTAGGCAACGTCTCCTATGTCTTTCCTAGCCAAGTAGCCGAAGAAACAAAAGAAGCCTATGCATTGGTTTCTTTCTTGTTGCTTCCTTTTATACCATTTTGGTAGCAAATTTTAGGCATGTTGGACCATCATTCTTGAAATGGGAATGGTGAAAGCAGTAAAGTTGGGCAGCATGTGCTTATACTCTAATTCTGTAGACTAGTTCTGAAGTCTTGTAAGGTTTCCCCCAAAAGTGAAGTCTTGGAAGCGTCTGAATGATGATTTGTTGATGCCTTTTAGTATTTTCTCTTTTCCAAGATCTCCTTTGCATCTTCCTGGATGCTAATGTTGTGAATTGTTATCTCAACTCTTTTTCTGTCTGAATAATGTTCTAGCAGTTACTACTACTGCAGATCTAAATATATACATGATAACAACTAGGTCCTTGATCTTCCTCTAGTCATTTTCTGGGTGGATCTTCCATCTGTTGTTGATTCCAATACTATCGTTTGCAGATTGGACATAACACTATTGTTGTTCGGAAATCCATGGTTAAAGTTTATAAGGATCAAAATCTGTCAGATAATCCTACTGCAAATTCACTGGAGATAGTTAACACGAGGTAATCTACAAAGTTGTTGCCAATTTGCTTTAGCTAGTGTAGTTTCTTACCTAGCAAAACTTGGGAATTCCTATTCCTATCAAAAGTGGCAGGAACGGGACCAATTCCAATTGAATTGGTGGACCCCACTTTAAATTAATTATTTTTTATATCCATTATATTTTATGTGCCTTTCTCTCATTTCATTTCCATTGTTGTGGGAATTGTTCAAAACACAGGATTTAGTAAGGGAATTCCAAAAAACAAATTGAGAAATAGAAATGGAAAAGGAAATCCCACTATGGTCAAATGGATACACTATTGTACCTGGTATTTGAGAGAGCTACATCTGGTTCCAAATATGTTCCATACAATGTGGATGTTTCTTGATAAAAATCAAATGCCAGCACATGAAACGGCATGCCCTTGTTATTGATGTGGCCTATAGGGGTACTGCACAGTCTACACATACTTAGAGTCCGCTTATAATAAGTTGAGATGGTAATTTAAATTTATAAGTTTGACTTATCTAAGAAGCCTGTGAGGTGGAGGATATCTTGGAAGCACTGGGGCTTGCTATAGAATGTTCTTGGCTATGGATTGGCATCTGGAAGATACTGATGATGATCAGTCCGGCTTTCTTACTCAACAATCAAACTGCTACAGCTTAAATGATATGATAGAAATTTTGATTTTAAGACCTTTTATTTTACAGCCGTCGGCCAAATCCTGCTCACCTTTCAAGAAATTTGATTGCACTACTAAGCTGTGGAGGTGTTCCACAAGACTTCTTCATGGACCTCTTGAATAAAGAATTGCAAGATGCACGATCTGATGGATTCAAAAGGAGCGCTGCAGCTCGAGGTGGTTTCCTGCTGAAGCATATCAAACTTAACATTTTGGTCATTCCTTGGTCAAACAGATACACTATTGTACCTGGAAGTTCCTTTGAAAGAGTGTCCTTGCCTTGTTCGATTCAGTGTTTGGGTCTTAGTTATCATGTTGGTAATCTAATTGGCATATACTTAGTTTAATTGTTTTAAACTGGTTTTATTTCACACAGCTGCCAGCTTTCATTATGAGAAGGAAATGATTGTATCTGGGATTCCCTTTGAAGAATCATACTTGAACTTTCGTCTTCCTGCATTGATGGGTGAAGAGAACAAAAGGCTGAAAGCGGGAAAATTTCTTTTGCCTGACTCGTACTACTTAATGGGGACAGCTGATCCATCTGGAGCTTTGAAGGAGGGTGAAGTTTGCATAATATTGTGAGTATTCAACTAATGATCTTTTTTTTTTCTTACTTCTCTTATTGTTTGTGTGAGTTTACTACTGAAGTATTTAGAACTCTTGAGTTTGACACACAGTTTCTTGTTTCTGTGATGCCCATGAAGTTGTTCTTTGATAGTTTTCTTCTATCTTTTCGTGGTTATGGTATAGGTCATTAGTTGAACTATCTTTCATAACTGCTGCATGGCACTGCTAGTAGTTGTTCTACGTTTGCAAATACTAAAAGTTGCTGGTTAATAGAGAATTTATCAAGTAATTTCATAAGTAATCTATTAATTTTCTAATTCTTGATCTTGTTGGGGGAAATGTAGAGACAATGGACAGGTTTCTGGAAAGGTGTTAGTATATCGGAATCCTGGCTTGCATTTTGGTGATGTCCATATTTTAGAGGCAGTCTATCTGAAGGAAATGGAAGATTACGTAGGCAGTTCCAGATTTGGAATCTTCTTCCCTACTGATGGGCCAAGATCCTTAGCCGACGAAATGGCTAATGGTGATTATGACGGGGACATGTTTTTAGTGTCAAAATATCCTCAGGTCAGTGCTTTCTTATCTTATCAAAAGTTTACTTCTAATCAGATCTTATTATCGCTCAGCACAAAGCAGTAATTGTTGGCTATGTGAGAGGCTGAGAGCCCGCGATGCAATGTAGCAGAAATCTGATATGATTATTGCTTATGCATTGAATTCCATTACATGTTTCGCCGTTCATATGATCCTCCTTATTTTATAGTCAACTGTTGATCTCAAATTCTGATGATAACTGTGTCGGATGTTTGCATCCATCCTTACGAGTTACGAATGGGTTGGCTCATAGGTCATCGTTTGGTTTTACCTTAGATATAAATTATTCCTCCAAGCCTTTGCCATCTTTTTTCAGATGTATATTGGTTTCATTGTGGCACTTTATCTCTCCTTGAACACGCTCGCACCTGTCTTTGATTTTTGGTGTCATCAGCTTTGTGAAAGGCTGTCTAGGGTTTGAGGAGTTTGTTTGTAAACTTGTGTAATTGATCTTTGAAGCACTGTTCACTTTTGCTACAGCTGCTGGAGAGTTTCAGACAGAGTGCACCGTGGGAAGCCAATTCTTCACTGACCAAGTCTCCGAGCAAAGCACCAAGGAGCATGTCTGATGAGGAGTTAGAGAATGTGCTTTTCCACAGTTTCTTAAAAACAAGATTTCAGCCAAGGTATTTCATATATCATGTCAGGTTGCTTCCATTATAGTTCAGCCAAAACTTATTTTGTTTTACATCTGAATCTCCGGTCAAAAGATCACATTTTGTTATCATGATTACGACATATGCCTACATTGGAAGGCCATCTGGTTAATAGGCTGAACGCACCCCTTGTTGCGCTGCCCATCAGCATGGGAACAAAGAGTAGGGGGGGTCTCAGCTGTTGGTTCGATGGTGATGACATTGTCTACAAAATTGCCACTGAACTGATCCAATGGCCGAGATCATAATCCTGTGACTGGATGGTGTCAGCCTGTGCTTAAGGAGGGCCTATTTGCATTTTTGCCAAATCTATTGGGAGGATTACCATTTTTGCATCTGTTTCATGGTTAAAAGTGTCACCATTTCTATAACAGTTTTGCAAGGTGAAGAAAAATGCGTGGTGATGTTTAGAGATTCAAATTTTTGTGTTCTCTCAGTGCCACTACAGGGATGGCGGCTGAAAGCTGGCTGGCAATGATGGACCGGTTCTTAACTCTGGGATGTGGAAGTACATTTGAAGCCGAAAAGCGTGAGCTGAGGAAGAATATCCTGCAAGTGATCGACATATACTACGATGCCCTGGATGCACCGAAAAGTGGAGCTAAGGTTGGTACATTGTTCATTGATGGAAGGTAGCTTGTGGATTTTTCTTAAATTATTATCTCATGTGACTGTTTACAATTCCTTGCATTTCTCTTTATGCGGACTTCAACTCGTCTTCACTCACTTGGGTTTATCCACTCCACTGAGTCTCTTCTTACTGTAGCTCTCGCGATGATAGCTACTGAAAACTCGGAGGTCTATGTATGGAGTTTTACATCAGCAGTTCCTTATTTTCTTTCAGGTCGTACTTCCACCAGAGTTGAGAGTGGACTTGTTCCCGAACTTCATGGAAAAGGGTGAAGATAAGTCTTACAAGTCGACGTCCATCCTGGGACTAATATACGATGAAGTGACGAAGTTCGAAGATAGGGATGATGTGCCAGTTAGCGGTAATAAGCCTCTACTATATCCCTCTAGGCACTGCCAAGCTATAACTTAATCATGTTTCATTGCATGAAACTTCTTTTGGTCAATGGTGTGTGTAGAAATCGTGAAGCTTCCATGCTTTGCGGAAGAAGCTCCGCGAGAACTCCTCGAGGAGTGGAAGATGCTCTACAATGAATACAGGAAAGATATGCAAATCACTTTACAGAATGAAGCTGACAAAAACGCGGCTGCTGATGAAGTCATCGAGAAATACAAACGGGTGAGGCGATCTTGGTTCCACATTTAGATCAACGATCTCTAGAGTCTAGATTACCCTCTATGTTCAAGTTCATGGACTACTGACAGCCCCTAATCCTGCTTCCATCATATTTAACTTCAGATCTTCTACGGCCAAACGAGGGACTACTATTCGAGTGAGGCTGGGGACGTCTACAAAAGCAGAAAGAAGGAAGATTTGCCGGTCATCGAGGCTGTGGACTTCCATACGACCAAAAAGAAGAAGGAACATCTGTTCGTCGGGGCTCGAGCGTTGTATCAGGTTGTTTACGATTACGCAGAGTCGCAGAGACGCAAGGCAAGTAGCATCAAGGAACAGCAGTCCGCCATCAGGTTATGTGGGTTTGCATGGAGGGTTGCAGGCACAGCTCTGTGTGCATTGTGCATATCGAGTCGCGCTGAGAAGCCCATGCTGTGCTCGGAGTCTGCTTTCAAGGAAATGTTTGGAAGAGCTTGAAGAGATCTCTGGCAAGTAAGTATGCTATAACCTATAACCTAAATGTATAGGCTTTTGTGTATGTAATGCCTGTATTTTGATGTATTGTAATGGTAGCAGGAAGTAGAACTGCTGTAGGAGTAGGGTATTTTGGCTTAGTAAACTGATGATGTGTCTAAGCTCTAATGACGTCTAATAGCGGTCTGACTACTGAATTCATGTAAGAACACTGTGGAAGAAGAATTCATGTAATGTTAGAATACCGTATGTGGTTTGCATACTATTCTTGTTTCTAGTTAGGTGCTATTTAAGTTATTGGAACCTCCCGCTGCAAGTAAGGGTGTGCAACGGTTCGGGATCGGAACAACTTATGAGAACTGCAGTCCATTATTAAAAAGACATTTTAGGATTAAGAACTAGAAACAATCATTGCATTCGGTCCATTTAGTTCGGTTCAAATATTAATTCGATTCATTTTTTTTTTCTTCGGTAATTATAAAGTTTGTAGAATCAAAGACTGGACTATACATTATACTTAATTCAGTACAGTCTGGTCAAACACTGATTTTATCCGGTGTGATCTAATACGAACTAGACCATTGCACACCCCAAACGCAAGGGACGGGATACGGTGACAACCCCTAAGGGTGTTGTCAAATTCACAACCCACTTCATAGCCCTTCGATACGTTCTCTCTCCTGTTTCTTTTTTCTTTTTTTAAATTAATAGTTAAGATTAATGGAAGGGTAAAAATTTACCACACCCAATCATTCACCCTACCATATAAAAAGAAAAAAACCCTAACTCCTCCATCCTCCCTCTCTCTCTCCTCCCTCTCTCCTCCCTCTCTCCCGTAGCCATCACTGTCTCTCCTCCCTCTCTCGCAGAGCCCTCCGCCATCTCCACCGCCGGTGTCGGCGCCCCTCCGCCTTCAGCCACCTGTCGAGTCTTCAACCGCCATCTCGTCACCGCCGGCTCGTTGCAACGTCCGCCTCCCACCACCGCGGCACAATCATCCTCTTCCCGTCGGAGCCCTCTCGCCGCCTTTCGTCCCCCACCACTGCCGCCGTCGCAAGGTCACCCTCTTCCCCTACCTCTCTCTCCCGTCACCGACTCCCCTTTTCTAGATCTGGTTTTTTAGTGGTACCATTTTTTCTGGTAGCGTACCAGTGATAGTGGTACCTACCACTACCATAAGGTAGATGATAGTGGTAGCGTACCACTATCATCTTTTTTTTTGTGTTATTCTCTACTGGTATCGCTACCAATGCTAGTGGTAGCGCTACCAGTGCTAGTGGTACATTTATTCTCTACTGGTAACGCTACCAATGGTAGTGGTAGCGTTGTACTGGTAGCGTACCACTAGTACTGGTACATTTTTTAACGCATTGGTAGCGTACCACTAGCACTGGTATATTAATTACCAGTAGACTAATGGATTGGTACACTTTTTAACGCACTGGTACATTTTTTCAGGTTGCCGGAGGGAGTCTGTCGGAGAGAATTCGCCGGAGAAAAAGTCTGTCCGTCGATGTGGAGTGGCCGTTGGAGAAAGGAAGAGAGAGATAGATAGAGATATTAATGTATAAGATTTAAATTTCAAAAAAAATTGTATTTAATATGGATTTTTAATTCCCAATATAATTAATACACAAAAGGTAATTAATATATTTATTTTTTTCCATACCCAAAATATCCTTGATTGTGAATCTGACAACCCCCTTAGGGGTTGTCACCGTATCCCGTCTCCAAACACAATGGTATCACTTTTTCTTCCAAACATAGGCTTTGTCTTGTTTGTCGGAGGGCAACTAGTCTTAATTCGTTTCACTTTTTCTTCGTTTTCCACGGTTTTACTTGGTAAAAAGTTGATTAGGGAAGCCAAAAGTCTTAAACCCCAAGTGGGTGCCCTAATCTGTTCATTACATCATGGATGTCTCAATCCTTAACCTGTGCCTAATTGTGCACTTCTACTGTTGATTACCACTTTACCTTGGAAAAATGGGAACGTTCTGATTGCTTTCGTTTTTAATCAGTCCCCTGCCAATATTATAACAGAGAAAGGAACAAACCCAATAAACATCAATCAATTTATCCACCACCACCTTCTTCCTATTCCTAAAATCCTAATTGAGGATAAGAATTCTTAGAAATGAATTATCGCTTTCTTTATTCCTATCCCAGTCCCAGCCATTTAAAACAGGAGAAAAAAAAGGGAGACATAAAGGACAGCTAACCAACTGGCCACTTCATTAGTGTTTTAGCCGTCGGGCATGTTCATTATAGTGCTTGGACCAAGGTTGTCAACTCGCAGGTCGATCCGCGGGTTGACCCACTTTGACCCTGACTCAGTGAAAAAAACGGGCCGCACGCATTCGTCGGGTCGACTGCCACAAGGTACTGAGTTGGAGGTCAAACTGTAACGTAAATGTAATCTTAATACGGATTCCAATCAGCTCAACTCCATTGTCTATTCACAATTCCACTTCCATAAAAAAAAATGATTAAAAAAAAAACAATCCCGTTATTTAATTACAGAAAAAAAATCCCATTATGTGGAGCCTCGCACATGCAGCCCACCGGAGGCGGCGCTTCGTCCCTTCTTCCATTTCCGTCCGCGTCAAATAAAATAAAATCAACGGCTAAAAAAGCAAACAAAAAAAAGCTATTTATATTCCCGTCGTGGTTGACGACTTGACGTTTTGACCAACGCGGCAGCACCGGCGACGACCGAGTCATTCTCCCCGGCGGCCGCCAACTTTCCCCGGTTCCCCCAACACACTGCCGATCCGTTTCCCATAACGTAGTAGTCTCGCATTCACAAAGCCAAAAGGTGGTCTTTACGTTATTATAGTTTAAAACTTGTTTTTTGAAACAGTCGGTCAATTTTCATAACGCTAACGTATGGAGGACATGTTCATGATCTTCTTCGTATGTACAAAAATACGTGAATATAAGTCGTCGGTCATATATGTTCTCGTGAAAATGTACATTAGATCGTCCGTCGACTAATTAACATCCTTTGTTATATCTTCAATATACATGCAATGACTCGTTTCATTTTTATTGTCAAAACTCGATAGCCTACGATTTAATTTATGGGTTATGTTGCTTGGCACAACGTTACACATTTAAAAAAAAAATCATGCGAGTTTATATAATTTTTGCACCCGAATTAAATTGTATTCACACACATTATCTATTGTTTTGCGCAATTTTATAAATCGATCAGCTATTTTTTTTTTTTTTTTGTACTGCAATCTCTTTAATCAATCATGCAATTTCATCAACCGCCGTTCATTACTAGGCGATTCGTGTGAATCAAATTTAATCAATCATGCAATTTCATCAACCGCCGTTCATTACTAGGCGATTCGTGTGAATCAAATTTACAGTGAGATAAAGTAACTTCTCCATTATTTTTAAATAAAAAAATAGAATTTTATGGTACAACTTCTACCAAGAATCTTTTGGCTTAATTATTACACACAATTATCATTTCAATTTTGTTATAAGGATAATAAAAAGTTATTTTTATAATTTATTTTCACTGATAGACTGCCTACATGCTTTTGATCTGTAACTCTTTTTTTTTTTTTTTAAGTACCTCCTTAACCTTCATTTTGGGTCTCCAGGTCAACATTTAAATTGTGTTCATTTCTGTTTTTATAATATACCAGTGGATCAAGTTGGAGATTTTAAAGTTCTACTGTGGTAAATATTGTATACAATTACTAGTACGTACGACTCTCACATGATTCGTATTTTAGATCGAGGTCACAATATTTTCAATTCCCACTAATCATATAAATTATTATTTAATATGATTAATTTAATAAATTATCATTCCAAAGATCCAATTCTTTATTTGGTGCTTTTTTGGACTAGCTCCCGACAACCTAGATCACGACTATCCTTTCGCCAGCTCGATTCTCATCCAAAGCTCACAAATCGTAAGTTTGAGTTTTGGTAATATATAAGGGTAGTTTGGAAGTTGCGATTGTTTTGTTGAGATTGTCATTATGCGTGTATTGTTTACAATGCATCATTTTTTTTTTTAGCGGAAACAATACATGGATTATTTCTATGATGTGACAGAAACTATCACTCATTTTGAGTGAATGTTATATCTCAACTTTTAGTTATGATTGTTGAGATCGTTTTGTCTCAACTTTTAGCTGATGCGACATACACAATCACACATACCAAACGTTGTATTCTACAATGCATCAAATTCGACAATACATGTATAATATTATACATGCATTCTCAACAATACATCTATTTAACAATCGCAACTTCCAAACGACCCCATACTTTTTCTTTCTAGAATAATAATGTAATTGTAGATAGATAGATAGATGATGCACGTCAAAGGTTAACGAAATGTTCGAGTTACACGTCAAAATACTATTATACGCTGTTTGATCAGCTGGTTCACGACATTGCCACGTACGTACACAAGCGGATTCGTTATTTAGATGTAGACGTCGTCGAAAAAGATGGTTAAATTCTAAGTTTCATTATGGATGAGGGTTCATAAGAAACCTTGCAAAAATTGTAAGCTGCTGCAATTGAAAGAGTCTACGCAGTAGAAAAAGAGAAAGAGGGAAAGAAGGGTCAAATTCGTGGAACCAAGTTGTTGGGTTTTCAAATTGATAATGACAGCAAGACATTTCTTTCTTTCTTTCCCTTTTGAATAATCTGCTTTTCCAATAATGCCGCGGGTGGGGACTGGAGGAGCTTGTGCTTATAAAAACCCCAACCCGTCTGCATGATTTCTTCCATCCAATCCCATTCCGTTTCGTCAAACAACTTCTTCCTTCCTGACTTGCTCTTTGACTCTTCCAACCTCCGATCGCCGCCACCTCCGTCAATCGTTTCCGCTGCATCAAATGGAGAGCACAATGAACGAGCTCGGCAGCAACGCCGCCTCCGTCCTCGACATCGACCCCAAGACCTCCGTCGGCGGCGGCGTTGAGGACGTCTACGGCGAGGACTTCGCCACCGAGGACCAGCTCATCACTCCCTGGACTGTCTCCGTCGCCAGGTTACTTCTTGCTCTCTCTGAAGCTTAACTTCGCTTAGTCCTGCTCGCTCTCTTTTGATTTCCTTTGTTCCCTGCAAGTTCGGGCTGATCGCCGGTTAGGTTACTGATCTGAAATATCAAATATATGCGCCTTTTGCTCCCTGCAAGTTGACGATCAGCTGTCGATCTCTGTTTTTTTTTTTTTTTTTTTTTTGCGCTTTCTTTTCGTGAATCGGAGTGTCGGCTCGTTAGTCGTTATTGAACCGGAGATTTAATTTCTTTCTCGCATATACGCCAAATTTGAATTCCTCCGTTGATTTCGGGAACACCTTTGATCTGTGATCTCGCAGCATGAAAATGGAGTTCAATTAATTAAGTTCTGTGGCGTGATGCTGGAGATTGTGTGGTTGCTGAAATTTTTTGTTGTTTGGATTTGTATGATTTTTGCAGTGGATACTCGCTACTGAGAGATCCTCGCCATAACAAGGGGCTGGCCTTCACCGAGAAGGAGAGAGATGCTCACTACTTGTCCGGCCTTCTGCCGCCGGTGGTTCTCTCGCAGCAGCTTCAGGAGAAGAAACTGATGAACTCTATTCGACAGTATCAGCTACCGATCCAGAAGTACATGGCTATGATGGAACTCGAGGTAGTTTTTTTTTTCTTTTCTGGTTGTTCTATTCCCTGTAGTGTGGCTTCAAATTGAAATACGCTCATACGGATTGGTATGCGCGATTAACAGGAGAGGAACGAAAGGCTGTTCTATAAGCTTTTGATCGACAATGTGGAGGAATTGCTTCCAGTTGTCTACACTCCGACAGTCGGGGAAGCTTGCCAGAAGTACGGCAGCATTTTCAGGCGCCCGCAGGGTTTATACATCAGCTTGAAAGAGAAGTATGGACATTATGATCCATTTGTGTGAATAAGTGATATGGTTATGCTAGTTGAATCTTTATGTTCCTTAACGAAAATGTGATTGATTGGCTTGTTCAGGGGGAGAGTTCTTGATGTGTTGAAGAACTGGCCTGAGAGGAGCATTCAAGTCATCGTCGTGACCGATGGTGAAAGGATTTTGGGGCTCGGAGATCTTGGATGTCAGGTTAGTTTCAGTACTGAGAATTAGCAGGTTGGAGCACATAAAAGCGTTTTGTTTAATTTGCTTTGTATGCAAGTGAAATCTGATGAATGGTGAACTTTGTGACAGGGGATGGGTATTCCTGTTGGAAAATTGTCTCTTTACACCGCGCTTGGAGGAATTCGCCCTTCTGCAGTAAGAATTTTTCAGAAATTATACCCTATTTATGGTTGATTGGAGCTGTGCTATTGTAAACACAAATGTACTATACTTCTTTGGTAGCTAATTGAGAATGTCTATTGTTTGTAGTGTTTACCTATTACCATTGATGTTGGAACAAACAATGAGAAATTGCTGAATGATGAATTCTACATTGGACTTAAACAGAGGAGGGCTACTGGCCAGGTACAGTACACTCCCTTGATTAGAATTCAAGTCTGGAGTTTCTTGGCTATGGATTAGCTAATGCCTCTGTGTAACTCTTGCTTTCAGGAATATTCTGAACTTCTTCATGAGTTCATGTCAGCCGTAAAGCAGTGCTACGGAGAAAAAGTTCTTATTCAGGTTTGTAACCATACCTTATTCGAAAATTGTCAGTCCAAATTTCTTATATATTTCCCTTGATGTATGCTAAATATCTGCAACATTCTTCAGTTTGAAGATTTTGCCAACCACAACGCTTTCGAACTGCTTGCAAAGTACAGGACAAGTCACCTTGTCTTCAATGATGATATCCAGGTTTGGCTTCTCCCAACAACTTTTCGGTTAATTTAGTATTGTCTTTACATTTTCTTATGCTGCAGCTTAACATCTTACCTCCTGATTGTTGCAGGGGACAGCCTCTGTGGTTCTTTCTGGAGTTGTTTCAGCATTGAAGGTGCTTGGTGGCTCCCTCGCTGATCACAAGTTCCTCTTCCTGGGTGCCGGAGAAGTAAGATTAATCAATGATTCTGAGAACCGGCATGCTTTTTATCAGTCCTAACCAGAAGTGCTTACCTGTTTTTACATTGTAATTTTGCAGGCTGGAACCGGCATAGCTGAGCTTATAGCTCTCGAGATGTCAAAGCGAGTATGTCACTACTGTTTATACCTTCCCGTGGTCTCTTTTTTGGTTATTATGCTATCTAACATTGCACTAGTGAAGTTTCACTCACTGGGATAATTGTGCCCTTTTCCAGACAAATACTCCTTTGGAAGAGTGCCGCAAAAGGATCTACTTGGTGGACTCAAAGGTGAGTTGGGAAATGCCAACTCTCAAGATTGCCTGCAACTTAATCAATCAGCAAACTGAGAATTTTGCTTAATCCAAATCCACTCTTTTTTTTCCTGACAGGGTTTAATCGTGAAATCCCGCTTCGAATCACTTCAACACTTCAAGCAGCCATGGGCACATGATCATGAGCCTGTCAAGACACTCTTGGAAGCTGTCAATGTATGAAAACGAATATCTTCGTTGAGAAAAAATCAGTTCAACTTTTTCATCCTTTTCCAGCAATTCTCAGATTTTATTTTCTGATTATCCAGGCACTCAAACCAACGGTTCTGATTGGAGCATCAGGAATGGGCAAAACATTCACAAAGGAAGTTGTTGAAGCCATGTCTTCCTTCAATGAGGTATTTTGATCTCTCATATTAGACTGCCTGTTGAATCTGCAACAATATGATCAATAATCAACCAGTACAAAATCCTTGACTGCTTCCATTTTGAACCATGTACAGAGACCTCTCATCATGGCTCTCTCCAACCCAACTTCACAAGCCGAGTGTACTGCTGAAGAAGCATACTCCTGGAGTAAGGTAAACAAATTATAAAAGAAGAAACAGGGGAAGTTATTACAGTTCTGCATCTTTGTTCAGCATGATAACTAACGTGCCTTCATGTTACTCAACAGGGCAAAGCCATTTTCGCTAGCGGGAGTCCATTCGATCCCGTCGAATACGAGGGCAAAGTTTTCGTCCCCGGCCAGGTTAGTTAATTACTACTTAGTTTGGTTCTTGATGTTCATAAAATCATCCAAAGTACCGAGCTGACGTTCTTCTTTTCGGTACGTGAATGTTCAGGGAAACAACGCATACATCTTCCCCGGATTCGGGCTGGGAGTGGTCATGTCCGGCGCCATTCGCGTCCACGACGACATGCTCCTCGCAGCTTGTAAGTAGTGCTTGACATATCTAACATACAAACATATGGGTTGATTGATGAGTCTTCCTATAAAAGCACTGACTGCTATGGTTTTGCTTATTCCTTTTTTGTGTGGTTACAGCCGAGGCATTGGCAGAGCAAGTGACTGATGCCGAGTACGAGAAGGGGCTGATCTACCCGCCTTTCTCCAAGATCAGGAAGATCTCGGCCGAGATCGCTGCTAAGGTCGCCGCCAAGGCTTACGAGCTTGGACTGGCCAGCAGGCTCCCCCGTCCCGCGAACCTGGTGAAGTATGCGGAGAGCTGCATGTACAGCCCTGTCTACAGGAACTACCGTTGAAAACCAAACACTCCCCCAGCCCCAGCGCTTGTTTTGAAAGCCACCAACGAATCCCTGCTCTGCTGCTGCTTCTGCCTTGTGGAGCACGCAATAAAATAATAAAGAGGAATTTCTTCCTCGTCTTCTTCTTCTCATAATTTATTTGGTTTTTGTTTCCTTGTTGTATCGATTAGTCTGCCTTTATTCATTGTGTATTAGGAGTCGTTTGCTTTTTCTTTTGTCTGTATATTCAGAATGAGAGAAATCCGAACTTATGAGTGCGTTTTTTCACCCCCACAATTACTGAAAGTCTGAGACCATATTCAAGCATCAAATTCTGCATAAACAAAGCTGAAATGAAATGATAGAACCAGCAAACCAACAAGATCGAAGCTTTTGAGGGATTTTCTAGCAATGACCTCGACGGAACAGGATCAATGTTCACCTTTCGAGATTCAGAATAGCGAGAAATGCATTCAGCTCAGTGAAAGAAAAATCCAGAAAGCCGATCATTTGTGTTAGTGTTGTGGTATATGATACAGGATTGAACCTCTTCCAATAACTCGAGTTATTGGGATCAACTGGTTTTTGACATGGTATCAGAGCTTTCTGTGACCGAGAGGTCTTGTGTTTGATTCCCGGTGACCCCCATTTGTTAAGCACATAGTATTCTTGTCTTCAGACTTGTGCAAACTTCAAGCCCTCGTGAGCAGTGGCGGAGCCAGAAAATTGGCCAAGGGAGTGCTTCTTCATGTCATGAAAAAGTCAACTATATAATAGAAAAGTCAACTCTAAACGAAAATATGAAAATCAACTTCATTATATGACTAATTCAGTCTATGTACTTAATTTGGAGATGAAATTGAGTATAACAAACACACAAACCTAACCCTAAATGAACACAAATAATAAAATTTTCAAGTAATTGAAATTAAAACTTAGATTTTACTTTGTTGTTAAAGATTGATGATGTCAAACAAAGTAATTTTGTGTTGCTGGCTTGTTGCTCCCCTACCCTGCTCACGATTGAAAAGAGAAGGATTTTTGGAGGTGAAGGACGGAGAACGAAAGTCTGGAGCCTAGAAATAGTTTGGATTTGTTGTGTAGGAGCCGGAAATATGGGTGGTGGGTGGAGGTTCGGCGAGCTTGGAGCCGGAGATGGAGAGCTTGGGGGCTGGAGGATGGATAGCTTGGAGGTTGGGCGAGCTCGGCTTGCAACTCGCAGCGCCTCTGCTACCGCTGGGTGGAGGAAGAACGAAATTGTAACTGGGGATTGCTGGGATAGACGATTAGAGTTTTGCGTTTTGATATTAGGACAGATAATTAACATTGATATAATTAAACATGTATGTATTACAAATGAAAAACTCTTAGTCGAGATGGTAAAGATTTCTCATTGTCAACCACTAGATTAGTTGTTCGATCCTTGCTTCCTACTACATATATTGGATTTTTTCCCGTCCCAAAGCCAAGGGGGGTGCATGCACCCCCCTCAAGTGTGCACAGCTCCGCCACTGCTCGTGAGTGGCTTTCGTTTGAGAGAGCATGTTAGTGTTGTGGTATATGATCCAGGATTAAATCTCTCCCAATAATTTGAAGTGATTGGAAGTTACAGGGAAAATGCAGCAGGGAGGGGAAGAACAGAGATGGCCCGTTCTCCGGAGAAGCTTTCTAGGTTCTGAATTCACATGCAGTCAAATATCATCGGACGCATCATCTCGTCAATTTATCTTTCTCGACAATTTATCGCGGATTAAAGGGAATATGCCGCTATCATGTTATCATCTTCTTTGTTCTTCCAAGTTCTCTGTACTCTTTTGAGTTTTGACTACCAACTAGGACGATAAAATGGACAATTCACTACCCTCTGGTTCTGCCGCTGCGCTGCGTTTTGTTGCCTGGGGCCTCCCAAACCCTAAAAACCCTACCCAGGCCAGCGACCCGCCCCCTCTGCTCTTTTCGTTTTTTACGAGACCCGCCGCGCCTGACCTCTCTCCAGCTCTCCTCTTCTCGTCTTCCTCTCCTTCTGCTGGCGGCGACGGCGACGACGAGCGCGCTTCCCCAGCCATCACCGACTCTCGTCTCGGCCTTCCCTCGCCGACGCCCGACGCGACGCAGTCGCCAGCATTCCCAGTTCCCATTCCTCTCCTCCGCGGCTCCGCCACATTCCGGCTTCCCCGCCGCCGCCAGGCCGCCCCGCCATCTCCTCGCCGTCCTGCCGTCCTCGCCTCTTGCCGTCTGCCGTCCTTGGAGCATTGAGGTAAGAATTGGTTTCCCGTTTCCCTGCTGTGGCCTGTGTGTTGAATTATGATTTTACCCACCCGAGCTGTGTGTTTGAGGAATAGGAATTTATGAATGTTGATATGTTGATTATGTGAATTATGATTTACGAGTGCTGTGTGTTTGCCTGTTTGATAATCAGAGCAAGAAAGGAAGGGCATTTTTTAATATGCTTGATGAGAGTTGATGTTGATTCATGAATCATTAGTGTTGACCCTTTGATGCAGTTTTGGTGCCATAATTCTCTGGCCGTTTCAATGAAATCAATATATGTCTGTTCGTTGCCATGTTGGTTGAAATCCATTCTGCTTGTTGCAGATACATGGCTCAATACGATTTCAAGAAGATCACTGTCGTCCCAACTGGGAACGACTTGATCGACATCGTTCTCTCTCGCACTCAGCGCCAGACCCCTACGGTGATCCACAAGGGGAATGCAATTTCCCGCGTCCGCCAGTTCTACATGCGAAAGGTGAAGTTCACCGAAACCAACTTCACTGATAAGCTCTCGAAAACCATTGAGGATTTCCCTCGGGTAGAAGATATCCATCCCTTTTACGGCGACCTCCTTCACGTCCTCTACAACAAGGATCACTACAAACTCGCACTTGGGCAGCTCAACACAGCAAGAAATCTCATCAAGAGGATACGCGAAGACTATGTGAAGCTCTTGAAATATGGCGACTCGCTCTACCGGTGCAAGTCATTGAAGCGTGCAGCACTTGGCCGAATGTGTACTGTGACCAAGCGCATTGGGCCGAGCTTGGCTTACCTCGAACATGTCAGGCAGCACATGGCGAGGCTTCCCTCGATCAACACGGGCGCTCCAACGATCTTGATTTGTGGGTGCCCCAATGTTGGGAAGAGCTCTTTCTTGAACAAGATCACCAGGGCTGATGTGGAGGTCCAGCCATATGCTTTCACCACGAAATCGCTCTTTGTGGGGCATACGGACTACAAGTACCTGAGGTATCAGGTGATCGATACACCGGGGCTCTTGGACAGGCCTCTTGAGGATAGGAACATCATCGAGATGTGCAGCGTTACAGCTCTCGTGAATCTCCATGCTGCTATCTTGTTCTTCTTGGACCTATCGGGCTCGTGTGGCTACAGCATCTCTCAACAAGCAGCATTATTCCACAGCATCAAGATGATGTTCAGGAACAACCCTGTGCTCATTGTCTGCAACAAAACAGATTTGCAGACCCTGGAAGGACTGAGTGGAGAAGACCTGAAGCTTGTCATGGAGATGAAATCCGCAGCACTGAAGACTATCCCTGGTCAAGGAGGTGAAGCTGCTAATGACCAGGATGTGCTCCTGACCATGAGCACGATAACCGACGAAGGCGTGATGGCAGTAAAGAATGCAGCTTGCCAGAGGCTGCTGGATCAGCGATCGGAGCGTAAGATGAAATCCAAGAAGATGCCTACCGTGTTGAATCGCTTCCATGTAGCAATGCCAAAGCCGCGTGACCAAAAGGAGAGGCCAGTCTGCATACCCCAAGCGGTTTTGGAAGCCAGAGCAGAAGAGGCAGCACACGAGGAGAGAAAAACCGAGAAGGATATCGAAAATGAGAATGGTGGTGCTGGTGTGTACTCTGCCAGCTTGAGGAAGCACTACATTCTAGCGGATGACGATTGGAAGCTGGACATATTGCCCGAGTTCCTCGATGGCCATAATGTGTATGATTTCATTGATCCGGATATCTTGCAGAGGGTTGAGGAGCTGGAACGTGAAGAAACAGCAGTAGAGGAAGATGGTGGTGACTTTGAGATGGAGGATGAAGATTTTACTGCCGAGGCTGAAAAAGACCTGCAAGAAATCAGGAAGAGGAAGAAGCTGTTGATCCAAAAGCATAGGATCAAGAAGAGCACTGCAGAAAGTCGGCCAACTGTGCCTAGGAAATTTGACAAGGACAGGAAGTTCACTACTGAGAGAATGGGAAGGCAGCTGTCAAGCTTGGGGATCGATCCTTCTCGTGCTATCGAACGTGCTAGGAGCAGGTCTGTCTCCAGGAAAGGAAGGAAGAGAGAGAGGTCTGTTGGTGGGGATGGTGAGGATGAAATGGAGATCGATGGTGGTTTGGATAACAAGAAGAAGATGAGGCTGAGATCGAGGTCGATGTCGAGGTCTAGATCAGTGTTGTCTCAGCGGTCTCTTGGGGAGGTTGTACCTGGAGAAGGGTTCAAGGACTCTGCTCAGAAGATGAAAGCTGTTACAATGGCCAGGAATGCTACCAAGAAGAGGAACAAGGATGCTCGGCGTGGTGAGGCAGATAGAGTTATCCCGACGCTTAGACCGAAGCACCTGTTCTCTGGGAAGCGCTCCATCGGGAAAACAGATCGAAGATAATAATAGGTATTTAGAGGTTTGCAGGCTGCACATTCTAGTTCCTAGAATGTTTTCTTCTTCTATCTGGTTAGCTTTTATGTTGCTGTTTTCTCTTGACCGATGATATATGTGCATGGCTTTTCTAATCTTGCAGGAAGGGTATGGATTCGGCTTGCTGTTTGAGTTTAACTATCATTTTGCTGCTGATTCTGGCCTGGCGTTATTAGGTGGTATATATAGAGGTGCTTATTCATTTTGTCTTCTCTTTTCTGCTGAGAAATTGTTCTGGGAGTGAGGCTCTATCTATTTAGATTAGACATGGTCCTGTTGGTATTACGTTAAAACTTTATGGGAAGCAGGGGAGATTTTGGGTAAACTATGTTCTCTGAATTAAAGAATTGTTCGTGGGTTATGTTATGAAGTCGTTCTTCTGTTTCCCCTTGGTTCACTATCTTTACTTGAACACTTTGAAGGCAATAACTTTCTATGTACACACTAAACCATTCGAATGCAATCCCAAAACTCCTCAATATATCTCTTCGATAATTACATGCAAAGAAAGTAGGCAGCGGATTGCTACACTCACTACTGCACCAAAACAAAGAAATGAAACAAAGCTGTTCCTTTTTCTTTCACATGACCAGTTGAGTACCGAGTAGAGATATCGAGCGAACGAATTAACTATGAAGAGCCAGAGGATTGATTTGGGAAGCTTATGGTTCAGCTTTAACTAAAGTGACTGCGTAGTATACACTTGTACAACAAGTAACATTGTCTGGTAGGGCATGACTCGGGAGCTTCTTCTGCAGCCGAGCTCTGGCCTACAGGCAACAAACTTGCCTTTCTTATTCTCCAGTAAGATGAGAGGGATATGACTATATGAGGAGTGCTAGTTTTATGGACAGAAAGCAAGTCAGGTATGTTGTTGCTTCTGGTTATAAACGCTCAAATCGGCATGAGTATCCTTGTACCGTTGGCTCAGGTATGTGCTGCATGTGATTGGCGGAAACCTGCATATCATCATCAGTTTGGTTTTCACAGCGTTAGAAGAACGAAACCCATCTAGAGCAGGGCACAAGTTTAATCGATGGTTGAAACGATGAAAATCTTGCTATCTTCAGACTACCCTAAACTTGATCCATTAAGGGATGCAGACATATCACTATCTACAGAGGAGGAACGGATTTTGTCTTCCGTTATCAAACCCCTTTGCATTGTTTTGTCTTGTAGAAAGATGGAGTTGTTAACTTACTTGGGAGGATTCTTCTCTGATTTACATGTAGGCAAGCATTCGACAAGACAATCATGACTTGGTTCGGCAAAGTATGCAATCTGCAATCACAGTGACCATTTCATGAATTTATTTAGAAGAGCAGCCAGAATGGCAGTATGTTTTTCACATACCATCAACCAAATTGCGAAAAGGGAAAGAAAAAACACTGAAGTACAACATATAAAGAGAAGGCTTACGGAATATCTCTCTTGACCATTTCCTAGAACTCTATGTAATGTGGATCTGCAGAGCCAAAAATGGTTAACAAAGGGCGAAAAGTTACGATTAGAATGCATCAACAAGATAATGTCAGGAAGTTATGAACTCCACTGGTTTGCTTCATGGATATACAAGCAATGTACGGTAGAAATATGCTCTCCATCAATTGATTGCCAAATCTATTTCAGTTTACACTCTACAGTTGTCACAGGGAATGCTATTGCGACTGACAAATTTATGAAATGCAGCAAAGCCTGAGATACAAGAATTTACTTGAAAATGCAGTTGCTCCACCTCTCCAACATGTCACCAAGATTCACAACGAAAGCTCTGTTCAACATGAAAGGAAAATATAGCAGTATCATCAACCAACTGCAAGTCCTACAATGTCATAACCAACCACAGAAGTAGGCTAGTCCAACAAACTATCAGCATCAATAAACAGACACGAACTCACCCTTGCATTGGTGCAACATATTCCCACACTTGAGGTTGAGCATCCTTATTCTTGCATATCTGCAGGAAGTTCAAATCAATACCGACTAACCTCACAAACCAGTTCGATTCACTGGTAAGGTATCTCAAATTAACTCGAATTCGTACTTGAAGGCCATAGACGTCATCTGTGGCTAGAAGGGTAATCAAACCATAGTCAGAATGGGCTCCAGCTCCATATAATCCCTTTGAGGGATCGGACACCTGACCTGAACCATCACGAGGCTAATAAGTGACAAAATAACATAAAAAAGGAAAGAAAAACTATTGAAGAATGTACGAATCAGTTAAGTGATCATCCAATGGTGGGATCAACACAGCAATAAGTAGCCATAAACCTCATTACCTCCATAATGCAGCAGTCTCATTACTGCAATGGGGTGACCAAGCATCTCGGGTTTATCAAAGAAATCAGCTTCTAGATCAAGCGCAAGAGCTATGATTCTCGCAACTGCTCTTGCTACCTCTCTATATCGGCAAACGAAAAACAAACCACAGCATATGAGAATCATATAGTCAGGCCCAAAAGTTCATTCCAACGAGCAAGATCTTCAGAGAAATGACAAAACTTACAGAGCTTGCTGGTGGAACTTCTCCATTGTTTCTCTCCAACCGGGCAAAACCTCTATTGACAAGACACCAGTTTAAAATTCAAAGGGGGAAACAAGAGGTAAACAATGGCAAGAACTTGGGTTGAAAAGAACCTGATGATGGCCAAACATTGGGCCCATAAAATGGTTTCTCTGCTTCAGGATCATCTTCAGGGACTTCTACTCCAATGTAATACCCTTCCTTATAATCTCCTACTAACAAATAATCCAAAACAGACATCATTTGCTTCCCCATCCTCAAATCATCATTCAAAACAGAATCTTTTTCAGGAAAACAACAAATCGAAGAGAACAAAACAAAACAACAAACAGCCTACTAACCATGAACTTGATTCTCAGGATCCAATAGCTCGTCCAGCTCCGGAGTGTACCCTCGATGCTTCTCGTTCCTCAACACCTTCATCTTTTCCTTGGCCGGCAATTCAAAGAACTTCTTGCTCTGAGCAAACACCTCCGCCATGAATTCCTGGCTTATCCCGTGATTCACCACGTAGAAAAACCCACAATCCAAGCACGCCTGTTTCAATTAAAAAAAAAAAGCACACCCATTGAAGGATGAACATAAACCCGAAAGAACCCAGAAAAGTCCCAACGCGATGCGGAAGAAGGAAAAAAAAAACACAAAAAAAGGAACCTGTTTGAGCAACGAAACCGAATTTTGAGTGTCCGGGCTGGAGAGATCGATGCAGTTCAACACGGAGAAGCGATTCTCGGCGGTAGGAGCGGCGGCGGCGCCATTTCTTCCCTGGTGCTGCTGATTCTCCATGGATGTGGAAAAGTTTGCGTTTTTCCTCCGTTTTCTATTCGATTTCTATTTTGTGGCGACTAATGAGAGCAGCCGTCGTTTAAATAGGGAAAATTCAGCGTCAGCAGTCAATAGATTCCCGACGTCGGTGTCGCTGCGCATAATAAAACAACAGCCATGCCCATTCACCATAAATGAAAAGGGAAAGGATATGTACCTGAAATTTTGCAGTCTTTCCCAATTAAGGACAGTCTTCTCAGCTGGATTGTTCGATGCTTTGAGGACCATCCATGCTGGAAATTTGTATTTGTGGCTATGTTTGTTCTTGGAATTTCTCCTGGCTGTGCTCTTACTGTCGCGTAAAGCAGCCCAGACCCGCTGATCGGCCCATTATTACCGGCCGCCGAATCGGGGCCCGTCTCTTGCAATTTCAGCCTGTCGTGCCTAAATCGAGAGCATCGGTTCCTGGCCCAGCGACTTAGCCATGAATTTGGGCATGTGCAATTGTTTAATCCATACCGGACGGTATTGGGACCAAATGTGCCTAATATAAAATGGTTTTGGTACCTGTCATATGAATTTTAAAAATACTGAAAAAAACGAGCAAAATTGACATTTGGAATCGACCGAATACATTGATGATCCATTCCTTAATTCTAAAATATGATTTACTATTCGATAACGGTTCTTGGTGATCTCGCCCGATCCGTTTTGTACTAGACCAGACCGTTGTATACGGCCCAGGTCATGGGTTTTACTTCGTAAACCTAGCACGAGAACATAATTAAGATCATGCTATGAGATAATTGCTCTAACCTGTGCAGTCTTTAGTAGTCGGCCTTAATGTTGTGGTGTTCAACCCTCTGTTATCTTGGTCACTGCCACCAGCATAGTTGTCATTTCCTTGATCTTGATTCGAAGGTGATAAGTATTTTTTAAACAGTTGAATTATTTTCACCCGAATATTATCATTTGAATGTGTCTGATATCCGCGATGTTTTTTCAAGTCGTACATTATGACATCATAAAATTTCATTTCGGTTCATCTTTGTCTGTATTTTCTATTTTAACCCCCCCCCCCCCCCCCCCCCCCCCCCCCCCCCCCCTCATTTTCTCAAGCTTTCCGATTTTGGTTAAGGCTACAAATTGAAATTCCTTTCTCCATTAGGAATTGGGCCTTTTTTTTTTTTTTTTTGCAACCCCATTATGATGCTCGGATGTAGTAACTAGTAAATAATGTTCAAATCCCATAACAGGTCAAGACTTTTCTACCAATTAAAAATATATTATATTGTTAGTTTAACTAGTTTTATGCTGGACTGATGGGTAGTATACTTCTTTTGTTTATTTTTATTAGAGTTATTATTTTTCAATGGTTATTGTCTTTTACTTCTTTTATATCTATTTATCTGTATATTATTCAAGTTTCGCCTAATAGGAGGCTCGTTCCACTTAATGTGTGTTTGACCAGGATCAACAATATTGTCGAAAAATATGAGTTGCAACTTCATTTTCAGTTGGAAGACCATATTCACGATCATCTTATCTTCGATTGACCAAGAGTTTTTACCTCATAGTTGTACATGAACTTTCATTATTTTAATCTTTAATACATTTAAATATTTAGACTAAATATTACAAGCATATAACATTTTCTTCAACTCGGCCACAACCACTTTGACTTGGTGAACTTTATGGAATCAAAAGGTAAACAAAACCACCAAAATCGAACACTTGGCCATCACTAAAACGTGAACCATAACTAGGGGTGGCATTTCGGTTATTTTGGTTATAACCGATAACCGATCGGCCGGTTATCGGTTAACCGAAATAATCACTCTCCCTACCGAAAACCGCCCGAAATAGGCTTCGGTTTCTCGGTTATCTCGGTTATCGGTTAACCGACCCACTTTTAAGACCAAAAACCATGTCATCGAGCCTCCGATAACCGTCCGAAGTTCGGTTACTTCAGTTACCGGTTAGTCGATAACCGGTCGGTTATCGGTTTAACCACCGGTAACCGGTAACCGAACGGCCACCCCTAACCATAACGAAACAAACTATGGCTCAGTTTGGCCCAGTTGTAACTTTTGCAGAAGCAACTTCTGACTTGAGTTTTTAGAGAAGTACTTAAAAAAAAACAGTTGAGTTTTTGGTTGAAAATGTATTAAAAGTACTTTTTAATATGAGAGGTTGTGTAAAATGACTATAAAGAACTTAAAATATAAGATATGAATAATAATTCTAAACAATAAAATGTAGTCAAAATGGATCTTGTTAGACTTCTTTTATATTAAATAATATGATTTTACACTTTATTTTATTTTTAAAATGATATAAATAAAAGAAAATTGTATTTTCTGAAATAAAATTAGATAATCTTGTATTTTCAAAACAGTTTTTTACAGAAGCTCCAAATCTGCTTTTATGTTATACAAAAGCGTTTTTAAACAAACTCTTAAAGGTGTTTGGCCATATTTCTGCTTTTAAATCCGAAAAACACGTCAAAAAGCTGGGTCAAACATAGGCTATATAGCGAGGCTGTAGCCCTAGGCCCTAGCCCAGCCCACCCCCTCTGACTTGTTGAGCAGGCTAACAAATTAATACGTGGGCTCATCTTTCGGTTGAATTAATTAATGCATGTGGCCCAAATTGTTAGGTTTTATCTTGACAAACAAACGAGGACAGTACTATTATAATTATTGTCAAGTCGGGTCGATTTGACGTTGACTTTCACTACCCTTTCTTTTAGCACAATCAACCTCGGGAAGCTAGCAACAACAGATGCAGTCAGAGTGAATGGTTGTCATCTCGCTGGCATACCGGTTGGTTGGATCTGATTTAACTTGTATCGGTCATGAAATGAAATTTGCGTGACACTATTGGTATGACAGGCATGATCGACTTACAAATTATAATCAAAATGACATCATTTTAATTAATTTTATTAATAAAAAGTTGATTTATTATTCATTTTATGAACTAAATAATCAAAAGTTGATGATATTTGTCAGACGGTAAGTAAATTGTCAACAAATATTTTTTATATATACGATTAAATACATTGGATATTAATTGTGTTCACATTTTTTTAAACCGATATGAACAAGCACAAACTGGTTATACCACCAATCGTACCATTCCACTTGCCAAAACCGGCACAACGACATAAACCGATTTGACAACCTCAGTAATCCCATTAATATCAAACCACTTATATTACATACGTTTTAATTTAAATTTCATATGTTTAAAAAAAATCAAATTAATCATGGTGTATATAATGACATAATTTTGATATTTTGAACAAAAAGTACTGAAACCAAAATATTTTTCACCACATTATACCATGATATACTATGTTGATACAAAATATTATGGTAGGAATATATCATATGAATAGGATGATGATGTACATTACACGAAGCTTATGTGTTGATACTTGATAGGAGGTTTTGGCTTCCTAATTTAGGGAGGTGCAACGGTTTAATCCGTACCGTAGTAAATTAACGTTTTGATCGGATCATACCAGATCGAATATACCGTAACATGGTTCATGATCTCATAAAATTTATAAATACTGAAGAAAAATACATCAAAATGACATTTAGATCAAACCATATATAAATGGAAATGTGCAAGATCCAAAAAGTAGAGTGTGGTGGGGACTCTAGATATTGGGGAACATGAATATGTTGTAAATTCCTCTGTTCTATTTATTGTACGTAGGAATGGCAATGGGCAGGTCCGAGGCGGGTTTCTTAGTATCCAGACCCGCCCCGTGGCAGGTCGGGTACAGGTCGGGTAATTTATCACGGGTAATGGGTCGGGACAGGTCGACTCAATGGGTAAGCAATTTATATGAAAAATATTAGAAATGTTCGTTATTTTTATTATAAGACCATGAAAACAAACAATATTATGATAAATATAGTTAAATTATTGGAGAAATTGAGGTTTTCGCTAATTTACAACTTTATTATAAAAATTTGATGTAATAAAAGGAAAATTTTAAGTAATTTGACTAAAATTACGTGTAATTTAGGCAAGAACGGGTCCAGAATGGGGCGGGTCAGGGCAGGTCGGGTCGATGAGAGCACCCCGCCCCGCCTACGAAGCGGGTCGGACCCGCCTCAAAACAGATCAAACATGTCGAATAAAACAAGTCAGGTCGAAATTGTCAATCCCTAAATTTGTACGTAATTAATCTCAACATTGGAAGGGGGGAAATCTTTATCTCCTTTATAATTTTTATTATTATTCATCCGATTCTCGCCGGAAACGGACACCCGGCGACGCCTAGCGGCCGGGAATTGGAGGGTGGCCTTATTAATATCTCTGATTAGATTTATAAAGTATTTGTTTCCAATTTTCTCACGTTAGTCCACCAAAACTCAATCGTCGGCCACCTTTCTACAACTTTAGAGTTTAGTGCTATAACGTTTAACACTAACACACGACATCGATTCCCATGCTCAACTTTTTTTTAGTTAGTGACGGTCCAACTTAATCTCATCCGGATATGATAAGATATTGTTTGTTTGTGAAATTTGAGTGATAGATTTGGCAACCAAATTTCAAGTATCAAGGACTTCACATAAATCTATTGTTTGCTAAGAGGCAAAAATCTATAAGGCCCGTGGATTTGGACCTTCTTTTAGATGCAAACCAGTGGACCACGAATTTGTAAATCCCGCATTTCATTTGGGATTTGATGATGGAGACACAAAAAATGCGATACAAATTCATCAAAAATTCATGATAAAAATTAACTAAACAAACAATGTATTCTTTCAAACCCATAAATGCAACAAATCTATCATAATTCCAAAGATTTTTAAATCTCAAAACCCTCGTTTTCAAATCTAACAAGCAAACGAGCTTAATGTTTGAGAAACCCCGGTGTACCGGCCTATCAAACCAAAAATATTAAATATCAGATTCAAATTGGTAGGCGGTTTTACCGGTAGGAAAGAGTATTAGACAATCACGATTTTAGTACAAAATACCTTATCACTAACGTTTCCAATATAACCTCTGGTACGATTTCACGACAGTTGACATAAATTTAAAAAAATATCTATATACTAGCAAATTAATGTGATGTTATGCAATATTACACTCAAACAAGGGACAATTTGGGCCGAAGAAAGAAAGGCAAGAAGCATTCTTATTCGATTTTATTAAACAATGTGCGGGCAACCCAATAATTAGTAATTAACAATCCAGAGCCCCCGACCAATTCACACGTCCCGATTACCAAATCCAGAGCTAATTAACGTATACTAATCATCAATTAATAGGAAGTAAGTAACATTAATTTAATTAATAACAACACAAACCGGCTCGCCGGCGGTGTGAGGATTTTACTGTAACCGCGAGATGGTGAAGCGGCAGAGCGGGCAGGAATCGCGGTGGTGAAGCCAGGCGGCGAGGCAATCGGCGTGGTACACGTGGCCGCAGCAGGGGACCCTCTTCCCCGGCGCGGCGGCGGTGGCCACCCCTTCCCTGCAGACCGGACAAATAATCCCCTCGTTGTCGCCGCCGTCGAAGGACACGGTCGGCATGCCGGCCACCAGGCTGTCGGCGTCCGCGATCTGGCGGTCCGAATTCCACGGCGCTTTCAGCGCCTCTTCGAGATCGAACCCGCCGGTAGCCGCCACCGCCCCCCAGCTGAGGAACGCCTCCGCAGCGGCGGCGGTAGAGGCGGCAGCGGCGGTGGTGCTATTCATCATCGTGGTAATTAGCTCCGACGTCGGCGATGTGGCAGATAGATTGGGGAAATTTTGGTGGGTGGGAAGGCAGAGAGGGAAATTAATTGGGTTTTTGGTTGATGTGGGTGAACTATGAATTTTGGATCTTGACTCTATAAATGGATGGAATTTGTGGGTCGAAAATTGGATGGTTTTTAGGTACAAATTAAGGGTCCCATTTCGGTGGCATTTTTATTTATTTATTTATATATATTGGTCGTTGTAATTATAATTTGCTTTGACGTAGGCTTTTATTTTGTTTTTGTTATAAAAAAGAAATTAGGGGTTGTTTGAAAGTTGCGATAGTTTTGTTGAGATTGTCATTATGCATGTATTGTTTACAATGCATTGTTTTTTGTTTTTTTAGCAGAAACAATACATGGATTGTTTCTATGATGTGACAGAAACTATCACTCATTTTCAGTGATTGTTATATCTCAACTTTTAGTTGTGATTGTTGAGATAGTTGAGTTGAGATTGTTTTGTCTAAACTTTTAGCTGATGCGACATACACAATCACACATACCAAACGTTGTATTCTACAATGCATCAAATTCGATAATACATGTATAATATTATACATGCATTTTCAACAATACATCTATTTAACAACCGCAACTTCCAAACGACCCCTTAGTTGCTTTAACTATTACGATCTTGGTTACTCAAGTCACTCAACTTCAAGCTGTAGTCATTTGGGTGCTTATACTCCTAGATTTTGGTTTAATTAGTGATAATTATGGGACTAAAATGTACGAAGGTTGATAATTTTGGGGTTAACGTAGATAGATTTGATAATTAATTTGTTTCATCATAGACTTAATGAAACCGACAAGTTTGTTGTCTTGTATGGAACCTGATCATAGTTTTTCTTTTTATAAGTTGGCTATTATTTATCTTTTTGGGTTAAACTATGGAAAACAAATTGGTTTCTTTTTTATATGTATTTTTACCGTGGGAAGAACTATTTCGCTATAGGTAACTTGAGTTGTTGGAAATGGTTCAAATATTGATCTTATACAGTCATTCGTTTACAATCATTTAGTCCCAACGACTCAAGTTGTTGGGGAGAAGTTTGATAATAAATCTTATATCATTTAATTTACTTATAAGCCTCTCTCAAACGAAAACTAGTTCATGGGCTTAAAGTTCGCGCACATGATTACCGTATATAGCAAAGTGCTTAATCAACTGTTCGTATTTGGGACCATCAGGATTCGAACACGAGATTACTAGGTCAAAAAGCCTCAAAGGCTACGCTGTCATATCCAAATCCAATTAGGTTAAATAATTCGAGTTGTTAAGAGATATACATGAATATATTTATACCATTTTCTTTCAATTACGAGACGCATACTTGCACGTTAATGGATTAAAACATACGCAAATCTTCGACGATAATTCAAAATATGAAAGTTGCGCTTGAGGTACTAGAAAGACATTTTAGCCATTATTTTCTGTAGCAAAATTTATGTTTGCACACATGTATGTAAGAAATTAACGTGTCCCTTAATGATTGAATTTTGCTTTCACAATCTTGATTTTTTTTTTCCTCTGTTAACTTTTGCGTTCTTTTATTTTGTCCAAATTCCATCGAGACCGTAATCCCATTTGGCTGAGTCAACAAGAAGAAGAAGAAAAGACCAAAATTGCCCTCTCTTTTGAATCTTATTTTGGGTTACTATCCCCAAGTGCCGGTGATTCGTGCTTGCATTTAGGAGTTGAAAAAACACCTAAAAAAAGAGAAGATTATACCTCCAAGCTACAATGTAATTCCTAAAAGGGATGTGGCTGAAGTTGTAGCTTTTGATTTCATCACTAGCTAGTTTAGGAAATCTTGGATCTTTTGAAATGTAAACTGTTGTATGCCTTCTTCTTCTTCGGATAGTTGATGAACCGTTAAGATTCATTGGTTTTTGACGTTGTTATAGTGGAATTTTTGGTTGAAAGATTATGCATTTGAATATTATGTACCATTTACTATTAATGGTTAATTGATGCGCACATGTATGATGAGATTGTGAAATCTTCAAAATCAATGGGTTTTCATTTGGGAGCATGTAATTGGACAGGTAAAATTCGCAGTTGCAAGCAATTGAACAAATGTATCGTTTCTCTCGTACACATTTTATGTATCTGAGTGCAATTACAAACTAACTCAATTGTATCAAAATATTTGAAATCTCAAATATGTGGAGGTACAAAGTATTTGGAAAATGTAATTACCACTACAAAAATTGCTTCTGGCGTAATTTTCAAACGTTGATAAAAAATGTCAAAACATATCGGTGTAGTCTTGCACCAACAATTATGAAAATGGCGTCTAATTGCATCGAAAATGTCGTTATTAATTTTGTCCCTTGAAGTTACAACAACATCTACAAAAATTATCTTTTTCACTTTAAATATATACCATTAAAATAAATACATCAATTTACAAATACACTGCAACCAAACCATCACTACAACAAATTTTGTCTATTGTGATAGCAACATATTTTGTCATAAAGTTCATCAAAACTACCTTGTCGAAACAAGTTTAGTATGATAAATTTTAACGTACTTTCACAATATTTTTCAATGGCACATCATTATAGACCCCTATTTTGAAAAATATTTTGTCAAAATCAAGATATTTTTTGTCACAATATTGTCAATTTTTTTTTTTTTTACGATAGTTGCATATTTTGATACAATGTTGTGACAAATTGTACCATTGTGACTCTCATTTTGGGTTACTACCCCAAGTGGCGGTGATTCGTGCTTGCAATTAGGAGTTGAAAAAAGCACCCAAAAAAGAAGTTTAGCTCCATCCATGCAAACACGACAAGCTAAGCAGCAATAAGCCAAATAGAAGGTTACCTCCAAGCTACAATAATATAAAGCCTAAAGTGGATGTGGCTAAAGTTGTAACTTTTGATTCTCAATTACTAGTTTAGGAAATTTTGGACCTAAACGTAAAATAATGTTGTGCATTATTCGAATAGTTGAATTATTGAGATTAATTGGTTTTTGACGTTGTTATATAAGATTTTTGGTTGAAAGATTACAATTTGAATCTTATATAGGCTTCATAAGTCATGTTCAATTGATGCGCACACATATACGATGAGACTGTGAAATCTTCAAATCGAATGGGTTTCATCGGAAGCATGTGATTGGGTGGGTAAACTTCGCAATTGCATGCAATTGAATAAATATTTCGTTTCTCTTGGACACGTTTGATGTATTTAAGTGCAATTACAACGACACGTGCTAACTAAATTGCATCAAACGTATGGAATCTCAAATATTTGGAGGTACAATATATTTTGATTCCCAACGTATCCTTCTCACTTTAAATATGTGGTATATAAATAACATCAGTTTTACAAATACACCACAACCAAACCATACTTATTATCATAGACTGTTTCGTCACGACTCCGAATAACACGAGTTGTTGGGAGAGGTTCATGTGCGGATTTTAATCGCTTCCTTAATCACACGCCCCTCGAATGAAAATCAACATATGGGCGTGAAGTTTGGTCAAATTCGTCATACCATGTGCTTTAAATGAACTGTTGATACTATGAGTCATGATGACTTATACACATGGCATCACGATCAAACCAGCAGCTCTAGCATCATATTATAAACCGTCTGATCTCAATAAATCTGATCGTGGGAAGAGATCCATGAATCGATGTTAGCCACTTCCTTACTCTTATCAAATTATAAAAGGTGGGACATTCCTGATAACTTGCAGAATGCATGCAAAAAAATGTTAGGCCTGGCTTATAAGTTATAACCGCATGAAAAGGAAATATGCTTTCGCTTGGAGATCGCCGGTGTCTGTGCTTTTCCAAATGATTGCGTTTCTGCGTTATAGATTATCCAATAAAAGAAAACGTGCTTTTGTTTGGCGCCGCATAATCGTGGCCTGTGTTATAATGACATGACAATTACAGGCAATTAGGAAATCCACGTTTTGGTTTATATATATAACAGATTGGTCATTACATTACGTACATGACGAACCAAAAGGGTTTTATATCGCTAACCAAAAAATTAGACCACATATTGAGTCTAAGAGCTAGCCTCTAAGTTACTACTAGCTGGTTATGTTCTTAGGTTGGCTGACAATGAAAACATATGCATGTTCCATAGTTAGATTGGTGCGTTTTAGACTGGTGCACCCTCATCGGTGTTCAGATCCGTAGCAAAGTCATAAATTTTACCTGTATTCCAAATCTGCGGTGATGCAAATATATAATGCCTACATTCAAATCCGTGCAAAAAAAAAATGTCCATCAAAAATTATTATGTCAAAGATCCAAGATATTATTACTAGATCAAGTTGTTATGATTGAAGATAACATGTTTTCAAAATAACTAATTAAGAAAAAAAATTACATTAGTGAAAACAACAAATCACACATTTAATTAGCTAGGCCTATTCAACTAATTAAGATGAGACTTCATAACCTGTATTATTATTATTAACGGGTCAGCATCCAGGTGGGGCCCATTTTCTATAAAGTCGTTCGGTCGGCCGCGCGCCCGCCGACTCATTTCTGGTCACGTCCGGCGGAGATGCTGGCGCGGCAGAGAGGGCACGAGCCGTCGCCGGAGTTAGAAAGCCAGGAGGAGATGCAAGCCGCATGATACACGTGGCCGCACGGCACTCTCTTACCGGTGTTCTCCTGGGACTGGAATATTCCTTCCCGGCAAATAGGACACGGATAATAACCGTCGGACGGAACGACGACGACGACAGCCGCCGGCAGGCTGTCGACCAAGGAGTCGGATTCGGCGACCTGTCGGGGGATGTCGGCGGGGAGGCACAAGGCTTCGTCTAGATCGAAGCAGTGATCTATCAGATACCGCGTCGTGAGGATCCCGCCGGACGACGTCGGAGGTGTGGTCTCGTCGGCGGCCATGGTGCGGATGGGATTTTCTTTTGTTGGGTTTCATTTGGGGATGAGGATGAGGGGATATTTATGGCGGAAGGTTGAGGTGACGCACACGATTAATACTCGGCGGTGCAACAACAACAATAATAATTTATGGTGGAAAGGTTGGTCTCAATCAGTCGAGTTGGGTCGTGTTTCTCAATTTTCGACTTAAGTTATTCGGTGTGTATATTCATCAATTAAATCCAGTAAATGTACCGGCGGAGTTTATAGGTATCGATGAGTTCGTGAATATATAGGAAAGGAGTTAGGTTGGAGCCATGAGGAGTTGTAGGTCCCTCTCGAATTTGAAATATAGATAAAATTACATGTAAAATTCGTAATGGATTTAGACAATAGATAGTAGTCGGTAAGGCCTTAACCCCCCTCCTCCAATTATCATAGTTCAATTCAGTCCGAGCTCACTTAGATTCTTGGCTCCCCCACCGTGAACATAATGGAAAATAGTTCATTCAAACAAACACATTCTTATGTTATAGATTTTTTTTACAAATATATTGTTATAAAGACTAATAATATCCATATATATTATGACCATAAATTGTCGTATAAACTAATAACATCTATAAGTTATTCATATTATTAATATAAAATACAAAACGAATTCGTTCTGCTTTTTGGGTGCAGATCGGGTAGAAATTGGGTTGAGTTTTGGAGAAACCCGCACTCGACCGACTCCTTTTTTTTTTTAAGGGCAAAATCCTCAACGACTCTCTAATACTGACTTTTCTTCAATTTGCCCCAAATCGACATGTCAAATTGGATACTCATAAATTCGAGTTCAGATCTACATATCGCATTGAATACCTATAGATTCCGGTTCAATTGTCATACACTCATACTTGATTATGTTTGTCCTCCTTCCATTTGGTACAAAATGGACTCAACCGGTTATTCCAAATACCGTCATACACCAGCGAATATTATGTGGTAAGAAGTTGGAGCCATGCATTAATTCCTGAATCTTGACCAGGAAGAAAATCAGCAACACATGCAATTCTTCCGTCAGTAGACTTGAACGAGACCAACATTTATACTAGCTAGCTAGTCCAAAAATAGTGACGAAAGTACAACGTAAATATGTGTGATCGAAATACCATATTATTATGATGACTATATTATCATAAAAATTAATAACATTTATATCTAGATATTCATATTATTAATATAAGATACAAATTAAAATGAATTTGCTTTCCTTTTTTGGGTGCAGGTCGGGTGAAAATTGGGTTGGATTTTGACAAAAAAATCCGCACTCGACCAACTCAGCAACTCCAAAAGTGCGCAAAATCCGAACCGATCCCAACATTGGATTTTCCCCCGATTTGACCCTGATCGACATGTCGAGCTGGGAACCCATAGCTTCGAGTTCAATTGTCATCCTTAGGTATGTTTGTTCTTCTTATTCCATTTGGTACACAATGGACTCAATCGGTTCTTTCATTTGTAAATATTATTGCCTCGAATCGGTAATGTAACCCTGGTTTCCCGGGGCTTCGGATGGAATAAAAGGTTGCTTTCCTATCAAAAATAAATAAATAAATATGTCGTACATCATAAAATATAGTAAGAAGTTGAAATCTTCATAACACATAAAGGGCAATATAATCTATCAGTAGAACTGGTGTTATTATTATTATTATTATTATTATTATTATTATATATATGAATATGACTGTACTTGGAACGTAGTCAGCCAAATCTTTGGTCAATCTTTCTTGAGAGAAAAGTCAACGCCAACATCTTGCCATCAGCTGATTTTGGAAGGGAAAATGAAAGAACGAACAGATTGATATATGATTGGCCCACCGGCATGTCAACTTGCTTGTGTTGTTATGTGTCGACAAAATAAATTATATGGATGGAAAAGATGGAGATCGTTAATGGAGACGGGTGCAAAGTCAGCGATGGTGCGTAGCTACAAGATCATCACTAGCTTGGGGTCGAATAGGTGAAGATATGCCTAGTTACTTAACCGATCGACAATCGATAATTTTTTAGTGGTTCGATTTTTCGGTTAATTGATTTTGTTAAGTGATTAATCAATGAAGTAGTGCCCATTGGTATAACCACATTGTATTGGGATTTGGTTAAGAAAAAAAAAATCTCGAGATTCAAAACCAACTGAAATCGTAATTCCAACTATCACAGTTAATTACCACCTATTTCAAACAAATCTCCACCCAATGTGTCAGAAGTTAGGACCCTAATTAAAATCATCCCTATTTAATTCCCCTTTGTAGTCGACAAAGCGAACCTCGCACACTAGCGGTCTATGATTTTGAAACAGGTTATCTGCGGTCGACTGAAAGTCACGAGGTCTCGCCACGACGTATGGGCTTATAAACATTTGTCTGTCTGTTTTGGGTATGGTCTATGACCTTTTCTTTTCCTTGTTGGATTAGGTTAGACCGTATGGAGAAGGTACTATATATACACCTTCTCAATCTTTGTAGTCTGTAATATGTATTTTCTTAAATTAATATAGTAAAACTGCTCTCTCCTACCCGTTGACATATATAACTAGTGCACATCTTGTCAGTGACCACGTAAATTTGTGTATCTTTTTTTTTAACTTCCTTGCAATGTCGATTTCCCTCTCCGTTCTAAAATTCATGTTTGTGAACGATGGTGATCTTGTGGCTGATGTCTTGTTGGTTGATACTTGCTAATTGGATGAATATGTTTGATTATTTTTAATTACATGTGTTTGAATTTGAGTTGTGAATTCACAACGGATATCGTATTATATTGATGTTATTTCTAATAATTATTATTTTATGTTAACAATATATATACAAGTATAGTTAAATTATTTTGAGTAATGTGTATGATTGTACTATATTGTTAAAATAGACAACAAATAAAACTTAAAATAACAAAAGAAAAACGTCAAGTATGGAGGTTGTTACTGGTCAATCGTTAAACTCCAAATCAGTGACGGAGGTAGGATTTGAAACTAATCTTGTCCTCTTTTCGTATAATAAATATGTAAATATTTAATAAATATAATTAAATTAATAATATATAAAAATTAACTACTAATTCAATCGGTATTCTCATAAACAACCATTACGAGTTTTCATCTTCTGAAAGAAAAAGTGTTACACATCATGTCTAAAACAACGAATTCTCTTGCCGAGAAAGAGAGGTGTATATAACAATAAAAAAAGTGTATAAGTATAAAATCTGTTTTATACCTGGGCGTCGGACCAACTAATGTCCGAAAACAATGTCGTCATAACCGAATTGGAGCATGACCCGGTAATGCGAACGACTGGTACTTTAGTGGTCCAATTGGCATTAACCCTTTAAAAACGTTAGAGAACCGGTATCTAATAAACGTTATCAGTATAAATAGTGGACATTTCTTAATCAAAGCTCGTCTCTTGCCTTCGAAATTGTGAAATGGAAATAAGGATTCAGTTTGAGAGCTCGACGTTTTTGGTGTATTTCAATTTTCAATTTTCTGCAATTTTTTTAATTAAATTTAATTGCTGAATGACAAAAACTGGACGAGCGGCTTGATCGACTCGAGTGGTTAACCGCCTCGGCCGCTCGTCAACCACTACATAAAACCGGAGCGGCTTTTAGACAATTCCGAGCCGGTTTTGTTACCAGGTGGCGGTTTTACCGGTCGGGCCGAGCGGCTCGGCGACTTTAATAACACTGCCGAAACAGTAGTGTAGTTCGGTTTGGGCTCAAAAACTTTCTGTCTCACGGCTTACAATATCTGGCTGGTTTTTGTAAAGACTAAGATAGGGTCCAACTTCCGCCATTTAGGCCTATGGGTCCAGTCTCGGCCTGCAATCTAGTTGGGCTGGACTCGCTCCTCCATACCTTGGTAATTTTGTTAATTTTGCTTTTAATGGTTCCATCCTTAAACTTTGCGAAAAGTTTAAAATGGTCCACTATTTAGATGTTATTTGAATTTATGAAATCAATCCACGAACTCACCAATCAAATCCATTTAATCCACTAATTCATAAATCAATCAATCCAATAATTCATAAATCAAATCAATTTGTCACCTCTACATATACCTCTAAATCGATTATGGTGCTTACATTGTTAGATTTTGTATAACATAACCCCCAATTTTTAGATATGCATGCAATTGATGATTGATTCTAGTAATGGCAATGGGCAGGTTCGGGGCGGGTATCTCGATACCCATACCCGCCCCATGGCAGGTCGGGTAATTTATCACGGGGCAGGTCAACCCAATGGGTATGTAATTTATGTGAAAAAACATTAGAAATATGTGTTCTTTTCATTGAAAGACCAAGAAAGAAACCATAATATGATAAAATGTAGTTAAATTATTGAAGAAATTGAGGTTTTCACTTATTTGCAACTTTAATATAGCTAAAATATAATGTAATAAGAGGAAAATTTTAAGTAATTTGACCAAGATTATATGTAATTTAGGCATAAACGGGTCGATAATGTGGCAGGTCAGGGCAGGTCGGGTCGATGAGAGGTACCCATGCCCGCCCCGCCTCAAAACAGACCAAACAAGTCACGTAAATCGGGTGAGACCAAAATTGCCATTCCTAATTGATTCACATCCATCAAACCTACGAATAGTACCGTATCCTAATCCATACCTCTTGACAAAGAAAAATTCTAAAAGGCCATTTGAAGGAAATGTATGGTGGTGGCTAGTCGTGCCGCACTCACTAATTTGCACACCCATTTTCGTCTCCATGAAAATGGCTTGCACCAAACTACAATGAGAGAGAGACAGACAGCACGTAAGAGGACATATAGGCGGCGCCCTCCCATTGATCCACAACTTCCATGTGTTTGGCTTCCATTACACCGGCACATGTCACTTTCTTCTTCGACGCGCGATGACTGCCCTTATTTCTCTTCTCATAAAAACACATCCAATTATTATCGTATTATTAATAAAATAGAGCCCCTATCAATATGATACTATTTACAATTTGCTTTCAGTTCTTAAAAATTTACTGATACTAAAGTTTGTGTATCTAATGAATTTTGAGTTGATTGTGATTCTTAGGTGAGCTAACATCGATCGACGAGAGTATGTGGTCCTAAACTTGAAGGACTGTACTAAATCCTATGTATCTAAAGGACTTTGTGTCACAATTTTTTACCCCCTTCCAAGTATGATTCTAGGTTCTCTCTTTTCAACACTCCCTTCCGCCACTGACGCCAGAATTATGTTTGATCCGAGTCATCCCTGTTGATCGTCTAATTGAAAAATGTAAGAAAGTGGTTAAGCACCATACACAGGCCTGTATAAAATCCAGCATAACCTTCTCCCAATAACTCTAGTTGTTGGGAGAAAGTTATACCGGATCTTATACCGGTCTGTGTATGATGCTTAACCACTTCTAAAAAAACGAGAAAGAATTGCTACTTATGTAGTCTTCCAGCTTAATTGGCTCTACTAGAGTCATTATGTCAACATCATATCCGCATCGTTTGTGAATTGTGATAATCGACAATTAACAATAACATATATGTTAAAATGGCAAAAACACAGATTTCTTGTTTACTAATTATAATTGTCACATCGTCAATTAAGCAATCCACACTACACCATTTCTTCTCTATGTATCGACACGTACGTTGTAATTAGGTTTGATTCCAAGGTCCCCACACCATTTCTTCTTTCCTTCCAATCCTCCATCATTTCTTTATTATATTATTACTACTGTGTTATAATTATACTTTTTCCTCTTTTGATCTGAATCGGCCCACCACCGCCGGCGAAAAAGAAGAAGAAAAAACAACCACTTTCCGTGCACCACCGTCTATTCCCCCAAAACGGCGAGCAAAGACGTGGCCGATTCCTGTCGTCGACCTCGAAATATAATTAAAACCACGTTTGGTCAGTCCGGTCAAACACTGCTCCGGTCGACCTTTTCCGGCCCATATCAACTGTGCACACAGTTTGTTTGCTTTCTCTTGTTGTCGACGGCCGAAATTCTGGTTCATGATTCTGCTGTGTGTACGTGGCGTGCGATCCCAATCGAAATGAAGTAAATAATAATAATAATAATAATAATAATAATAATAATAATAATACGGAAAAAGGGACAAATAGGATGCAAGGACAGATGTGGGACCACAATCCTTTTGCTACGTGCCACGTAATGGGTCTAGGGACAGGTGTAGGGTTGTCACTTGTCACTAGTCAGTTTGGTTTGGTTTGGTCTACCGTATTAATGGACCAAGTAGCAAGGTTGTCAACCCGATTTAGCCCATTGGTTCGATCGAGTAAAGTGGGTTGAGAGTCTGATCGCTTTACACCGCGTTTAGTCTGGATATATGAAAAAAGTCATTGTTCATATATTTATTTATTTATTATATAGACGAATCTAGTAGAAATATGATAACATATATCATTACACTAGAATTACGGTTCGCGTACTCGAATCCAATATATATATAATGAAAATTCAAGCACACTAATATCTTAAAAATTCCCAAAGCAGGATTAGGCGAAGGAAAATACTGTAAAAGAGCGCAATTTGTAAACCATAGAGAAAAATGACACCGCGTGACCTCCAATACGGGAATCTTGATACAGGGTTTGGGGTCCTCACCCAAACCATATTATGAAAAACAAAGCAAATATATGTAGCTTTTAAAGTAAGATAATATATTATTTGTTAAATTATTATTCGCGAACCTATCGGATTACATTATGGTTATTTAAATATTATAATTTATATGCATATAAAATTATATATCATGTAACAAACGTTTTAAACCGATTCGTGATCCGACCAATAAATTTCAAACCATGCGACACCAATCAACCCCAGGCTTAACCATGTCAACCTTGCTTTAAGTTTTTCTTTTTAATTGAAAATCTAAATTATTCCGAAAATCATTTGGGGAAAATGCTCGAGCTGCTGTCCACATCATTGTCAGCCACGTCATGTGTTCCATTTGAGAGCATAGAGACTTTCTCCGTGGGCGCTGCCGCAGAGGAGCTCTTTTACATTTTCCCTTTCCATACTTCAATTCTCAAAAAAAAAAAAAAAAAAAAAAGAGAGCTCGTCTGTCTTCCTCTCCGAGTCCACCACCGTGGAACCGCCAGATCGCCTCCCCCCGACGGCGACGTGGCGGCAGCGCGCGGCCATTCCCCTTTCTGATTTTCTCCCCGAAAGTGCTTGAATAATCACACTTTACCCCACTACACGTGTCACTCTGTCGTTGGCTACCGCCTCCCTTTTATCCCTCCGCTCCCTTCTCTCTCTCTCTCATCTCCTTTTCCCTCTTCTCTCTTAATTCCCCCTCATCTCTCTCTCCCTTCCGATTCCCCGATCCATGGACTCGGCGGACGAGGAAAAAGACCAGCAACTCGACCGAGACGACTCACTCTCCGATCTGGCCTCCTCCGCGAGCTCGTCGAGCGCTCTATCCGCTCTCTGGACGGAAGATTCCTCCCGCAGCGGCAGCGCCAGCTCCTTCGACATCGGGAGCTCCGGCGAGATTCCTCTCTCCGAGGTCGAATTCGCCGCGGCGGCGGCGACGATGGAGGTTTCGGCGGCGGCGAGGGAGAAGTGCGTCGGCCGGAAGAACAACAGAGCGGTGAGCTGGGGATCCACTTCCGTGATCGGGAGGCGGCGCGAGATGGAGGACGCCGTCGCCATTGTCCCCGGGTTCATTTCCCGGACCTGCAGCCGCGTCGGCGGGTGCGCTGCTCCAGGTTCCGCAACCTCCGCCGAGGTCTCTCCCGTCCACTTCTTCGGCGTTTACGACGGCCACGGCGGCTCTCAGGTTAGCTGCCTTACCAGACGGGCACTAGACTCTACTCAAAACTACTTCATACAATACAGTACGCTTCGTATTTTTTTTTAGTCAATTAAATTAGGTATTTAATAATTCCCCCTCTTTGCCAGCAAAATCTTTTCCGGATTTCTCCCAACTAATTTGTATTGTTTTTTCCCCAAATTAAAGTCGCAATTGAATTTTTTTTTAAAGAAAACTATTTTATTGGTCTTCTGATTATAAAGTAAACATGCATAAATAACTAAATCTAATGAAACTTGTATAGATCGGTTATTTACTAGATAATAATAAGAAAATTTATGGTCTGATCAATGGTAAAATACAGTATAATAATCCTTACAAAAATACTGTATAAAATTGAATAATTTTTTATTAGTAGATTTTGCCAATTTGGTGGCTACAAATGTTAATTTTGGAAAGGAAAGTTTCAGACAAAGAGAAGACACGCGTATGCGTAAGAGTGGTGCATAAATCTCGGGGATTTTAATATTTATTTATAGCGGGGGGCTTCTTTTCCCACAGTTCCCAGGACACGTGTCCCTGGGTTCCGTGCAATCTTGTTCTGCCTTTTCTTGGAGGGTTTCTTTTGTAATTGTGCTCAATCGGGGATAACGTCACCGGCATCTCCCGTTATCGTCACAGCACCCACGTCATCATCCCTTCCGTTTAATCGTGGATCTTTCCGTTTACTTTTTAACTTTCGGTTGTGGACGGAGACTCGGTGGCCGGCTAGAGTTTGGCTTTTAGGTCTTTCCGCCGTCAATTGGCCGGCGGTTCCACTTCCGATGAATATAATAGTATATATTATTTTATTTACATTCTGTTGTATTTTACTATTTTTTATAGCGTCTACTGAGAAATTGTTGTTAGAATGAGAAAATGAAGAAAAAAACGAAAAAAAGGAACAGGAGTGGGACCGAGAATGGTAAGGTCACTGTGCGCCACGTGTGGTGGGTTTGTGGGAAATGGAAGGAAGGTGTCCTCAACTTTCTTCTTTCCTAATTAGTGTGAAGGATTGTAAAATGATATCGAAAGTTTTATCGACAAAAGTTATGGGGTAACGTATTTTATGATGAATTGTGATTTAACTATAGTTCAATTGTTTTATACGGCAGAAATTACTTATAAGTTTAGACTCTATTAATACAGTTTTTACGGTCGAATTGCTGTAAACACAAGGTTAATTGTTGGATATGTATATCCGCATTCGGTAATCTCGTTCTTGTTGTTGTTCCGTTCCTAACATTAATTACGTTAAGATGTCACCTTCCAGGGAAGGTCTAAGGTGCAGTAGCAGTAGGTGGAGAGTTGGTTGGATAGAAGGCTCTGTGCATGAATAGAATACAGTTTGGCCTTTCCTCTTCCTTCCTTTTATATTCCACTATTTAAAAAAAACAGTAATCACGAGGGGAAAAAAAAGTTTAGGAATCTAATGAGGAAAGCTAATGACAGGTGGCGGATTTTTGCAAGGAGAGGATGCATCATGTGATAGCAGAGGAGTACTGGGATCGGGAAACTGCGGAGAAAACAGTACCGATGGCCGCCGCCGTCGGGTTTGATGTTGATGATGATCAGTGGCGGAGAAGGTGGGAAGCTACGTTCACCGGCGGGTTCGGGAAGGCCGACGACGAGATCCTGGCTGAAGCGGTGGCACCGGAGATCGTCGGGTCGACGGCTTTGGTTGTGGTGCTCTCCTGCTGCCAGATCATTACGTCCAACTGTGGGGATTCCCGTGCATTGCTCTGCCGTGGGACGCAAGCTATCCCATTGAGCGTTGATCAGAAGGTCCGTTGGTCTGGGCGGGTTAATCTTTTTCTCCTTTTCTAATGTTTCAATTGATGGATATACCAAGTTATTTCTTTTGGTTTGATTGGGGCTCTTTTTTTTTCCTTTTGCTGCTGGATTTTGGCAGCCGGACAGAGAAGATGAACTGAAGAGGATTGAAGATGCAGGAGGGAAGGTGTTTAACTGGAATGGTGCTCGAGTGCTTGGAGTCCTTGCCATGTCCAGAGCCATAGGTTCGTTTCTTTCTCTTTAAATCCTTCTGTTGCTATTGCACTAGGGGTACAAATGAGCCAGCTAAACTTATTCACGAGCGGATCGATATTTGGATGGGTAAAATCTCGTTTGACACCTGATTTCTTTACTAAAGAGTCAAGTTTGACCTACGCTTTGTTCTGCTCGCAAGCCAACTCAACTCGATGATTTGTTGAACTCAATTCACGAGTAAGCTCGCTTTAAACTATGAGCTCGCTTTACAGTGTGGCTAGCGAGCCACCTAATTAGCTTAACTTATGAGCGAATTGATTAATAATTTGCTTGTTGATAATTTATAGGTTTCATCATGCTTGGAATTGTATACCACTAATGAACTTTAATAAACTCAGTTGAACATGTGTGTGCTGTTTATTCTTCAGGCGACCGGCACCTGAGGCCGTATGTAATTCCGGTGCCGGAGATCACATTCACGGCAAGGAGGGAGGATGACGAGTGCTTGATCGCGGCAAGCGACGGGCTGTGGGATGTCATGACGAACGACGAGGTTGGGGAGGTAGCTCGGAGAGTGCTAAGAAGGTGGCGCCGAGCGCCGGCGTCGTCCAGCAACAGTAACATCACGGCGGCGCAAGCGGTGGCTGACAGCCTCACCGAGATGGCGTACGGCAGGAATAGCTCCGACAACATCTCCGTCGTTGTGGTCGATCTCAAACCCAAGAGACGGCGGGCGGTGCCTGCAAGGGCGCCCGAGCCGCCGCCATGAATACATCATTAATCACCGTTCCTATCACTCTAATTGGTAATCTTCTTCTTTAATTTCTTTCCAAAATTTGTTAATTGGGTGGAAGATTAATCAAGCTTCCAAGAAATTTGTGGAAGACGAGAGTAATAGCTAGTCAGCCGTATATAGTACATATATATACCATTGTTCCTTTTCATGTGTTATTACATGAAATGAAGAAGGAAGATGGTCTTCTCTTTGGCAAAGAGGGCCAAGCTAATTACTAGCTTGATCGAGATTTATGGCAAGAGGTTGTGAATCTCTCGACTAAGTACTTGATTTGGAGGAGGAGGCATGCAAATTGAATGTAATGTAAATGTGTGCATAAATAGGACAAATTCGATGTCGGCATCGTTCTAACATTTGGTTTACAGACTATCTCTAACGATTACTAATAAGAGCGCGTATTAATACTATCAGCAATTCTAGTTATTGAAAATTACAGGATGATAACTAAATTCTACTAACTACTTAGATATCTTGTAGGGGTGGCTATACGGTCCGGTCTAGTTAAATTGGATCAAATTGATCCGGTCTCAGTCCGGTCTTTTCGGGAATATAAGGACCAAAGATTGGATTGGATACACTCCGGTCTTTTCGGGAATATAAGGACCAAAGATTGGATTGGATACACTCCGGTCTTGACCCGGTCCGGTCCCAATTTGATTTTGATTTTAGATTGAGCTTGTGGGAATTTGAGTGTTGGGGTCTCTTATCTGGTCTTTATCCGGGTTTTTTACCTCAAATCTAAGCTCGAATATGAGATTGAATTGTTTGATATCCGGTCCCAATCCAATCCGGGTTATACGATCCGGTTTCGGGTAAAACCAAACAGTCCTGGACCAAATTGCCAGCCCTAATATCTTGTACATGTCAGAGGAGGAGGGTGAAGAGCGATGTCAGCATCATGCTGGTTGCTGCCTGTTAATATATTAGGGTTTCTTGTCATATGTGATACGGTGTTTTCTGGTTAATAAGAAGCAAATAACTTGTATTTACATAGATTGTAGGGATCCACGATCAAATTCAAAGGTGAAAATTTGGTATCCCAAAAGGCTTAATTGTGTGAGGAACATAATTGGGGGAAAATTATGAGTTTATAATAGTCAAATTTTCATTATTAACCAATCCCATCCCATGTTCATATACTGTGTTGGCATCATATTATTAATCAGTTTATAAATTTGGCCTAGTTCATATCATGTTATTAGTATCTAAGCAATTTATGATAGCATCATTTACTTTAAATTATAAATGAGACATATATATGTAACTCATATACCTAGAGTCTTAAACATTATATGGGGTGAGATATATAATTTAACAAAATTATGAATTATCAATAAGCCAACTCATAAAACATATATTGATTCGCTGATAAGCCGGTTATCAAGTTGGCTCACAAACCACAATATTGAGATCTCTCATGAGCTCAAAACAAACCAGCTTGTGAGTTGAGCTCAACAGGCCGTCAAAGCGAGTTGACTTGCGAGCCCGCAAACTGAGCAAGGCTTATCTCAATCTCGACTCGTTAGAAAAAAGAGGTGTGTTTCTAGCAAGATCTTCCTGAACCAAATGTCGAACCACTTTTGAACAACTGAACTCGCAGCCCCTATCGTTGAGTGTCCAGATTTTCAACCACATGATTTATTCATTCATGTCAAATAAGTATCCTAAACACTGTCCACAAAGAGGATCAAAATGGGCTCAATTAGTACAAAACAATTTTGTTTGTATTTCAGCAATACCTAACCTTTCCCGGATTTAGTTCCATGCATAATTGGCAACTTGGGTACCAAAATTTCACCTTTGATCAATCTCTCATTCATGGGAAAACACTAAATCCATCCACCAGAGTGTTGAAAATAATCGATGATTTGTCAGCAGTGATAATCTAATATAGTAGCTAATTGTATTGCTCATTCATTCCACATGGGATGACACCCAAGTGTGGACTACCTCCTCTCCTAGTAGAGTTGGATTTGCCCATTATCGGTCGATCGAAATCAATGTTGTCAGAACCGAATCGGAGCATGACTCGTTAATGCGAACGGCTCGTATTTTAGTGGCCAATCGACATTAGACCGTTTAAAAACTGTTAGAGAACCGGTACATAAGAAACGTTATCAGTATAAATAGATGACATTTCTTAATCAGAGCTCATCTCTTTTCTTCGAAATTGTGAAATGAAAATAAGGATTCAGTTTGAGAGCCCGACGTTTTTGGTTTATTTCAATTTTCTGCAATTTTTTTAATTAAATTTAACGGCTGAATGACAAAAACCGGACGATTGGCTCGAGCAGTTAACCGCCTCGGCCGCTCGCCAACCGCTATATAAAATCGGAGCGACTTTTAGACTGTTCCGAGCCGGTTTTTTGACCGGGTGGCGATTTTACCGGTCAGGCCGAGCGACTCTGCTCGACTTTAATAACACTGATCGAAATAAAAAGAGTTATCATCCTCTTACCGTTAAACAAAATCTAAAGTTTTTGCTATTGTTTCGTTGCGAATCATCTTTTGTGATGGTAAGATCAACATTTTATTGATTTTTTTTTTACAATTTTGAGAGTGAAATTTGTTACCGGAAATAAAAGCGTAAGAGAAGTTGTAAATATGCTATGACTGAATAGTATCACAAAAAATTGATAATTACAGTCCATGAGATATTGTTGCCATAGCTAATATCGAGCGAAAATGACTAAAAATCTAAAACTCACTAAGACTAAATTTAAAAAAAATATAATAGAAGGACGAAAGATTTGCTACCTTTTATTCTAAATCATCATCCTCGCGAATCCAACTTTTGACTTGTTATGCTATCTCCTAAACCGATAATTTCATTATGTATCATCCATTAGTAGTCCACACGATCCTAATTAGGAGGACAGTCAATCTAAGTGTAATATTACACAACAATCCAAAGTGCAGCTGATAGATCTTTATATTAGATTTTGCGAATCTAGTTTCTAAAACAAGTTAATGAATATCTTTACATGTTCAACCATGATGAATAATTTCTCAAGTTTTCTTTCGCTATATATTCTCCGTCCATCGAAGTTATAGACTCACCCAAGCAAACCTCCAAAGTTCTCCATCACTTGTTCTTCCAACAATGGAGATCACAAAGGCCACCACCACCACCACCACCAACTCTTCTTCATTGCAGCATAGGATTGCCACCATGAGGCAATCTTTCTTTGATGAGGTCAATACTCCTTCTTTTCCCTTAAATTCCTTGTCTAGATGTTCATATATTGGTTTGCACATATTTTCCCCTCATGCTCACGACTTATAGTGACGACATTTTGGTCGCCTTTGCCTCATGTATGAATGCAGGGACTTCTGGACAGCTTTTTTGTGCAAATGGAGGACCTAAAAGGGTTTGCTCCTCCTGACTTCGTCGAGGAAATGGTGACCACTTTCATCACTCACTCCGAACCCAAAATTGCTGACATCGAGGAGGCAATGGATGCTGTCATTCAAAATGGGTAATCACTAACAAGCTAGTAGTATGACTTTTAATCCTAAAATTCGTCTCGTGCAAATCGAATTTCATGTCAATTTTACGATGGCGTAGTCCGATGATAAAATGATGATGAGTGGATTCGACCATAAATGGTTGAATCCAACTTTATATGCTAATCTATCGCCTAATGTTTTATGAAACTGGGTGTTAATTGCAGAGAGGAGTCTGTTGATATGAACTCAGTGGATGTAAAGATTATCAAGTTGAGGTCAGGAGGAGCCACGTAAGTGATCAATTTTAATTTTTTTTCTATTAAATTAATATGTTGTTTAATTTGATCACCTAAGTTTTACGGTTAGAAACTTAGCATATCATCCCCTAAATTCTCCGGTTACCATTAAGTTTTCCAGTTCGGTTTGATAATCAAACCGTTACGCAAGAAAAATCATAATCCAAAACAGTCAGTCCCAAAAACCAAAACCAATAAGGGGTTATCCGTTTTGGTTCGACCTTAAAAGCCAAAAATCGCTACTATACGATTTTGATTTTTCAATTTCTTCTCGATTTTAGGGTTTAAACCCAAATCAAAACATGTAAATTACGAAACGGTTTGACACCGAAAAACAGAAACCGTTAACCTTCTTATCGGTTTGGTTTCAATGTAAACCGAAAGAACCGAAAGAGAATGGACATCCCTAATTATCATGCATTGTTTTTCAGTATTGGTGCAGCAAAGATCAGAGCAAAGGCTGGCGACGTCTGGAACTCGTGGAAAGACAGGGACTGGCTCAGGTGATTATGACTGAAAACCAAACAACTTTACCCATCTTGACATTTGCCTTCGGAAAAGTACACTTATGCATGCATAGTTTTACCTTCTTACAATTTGACCCCCCAAATTCTTAAAACAGAGCAAAGGCAGCCGTGGAGGAGGTGAAGACCGAGATCCATGACCTCAGGACCAAATTGGAACCCTACTTCCAGCTGCTGCGGGAAGCTGAGGCTGCTAAGCAGGTAGAGGCGAGCTTGAGGGCTCAGCCGCCATCTCCCAGAACCTCATCAGCCAACAACTAATGAAGAAGGTCGGATTCTGAGCTGTTGGGGATCGACCAGAAGTACTGTTGTTGTTGTTGTTGTTGTTGTTGTTGTTGTTTTTGGCTTTAATGGAGTTTAGTTCAGTGGTTAAATCAGTTGGTCAGAGTCGTGTCAGTTTGTTTGGTATGCTTGTTGTCGTTGTTAGTTTGTTACTAAAACTCTCAAGGGTCATTTATTCACCTATTAATGCAGTTTATTTACTAGAATTACTTCTTGGAAGTTCATCGCCTTTTTGATTGGATCATCGGTATTTCTGGTTTTGTGATTTTGATTGCCAATTCATACAGGGATCTTCCATATGGTTTGATATCCATGCTGATTGAACATGAATGTGTTAGTCAGCATGCCATTGATTTGACAATCATGATTTTTTTTTATAGCGGTAAACTAGTAATAAACTTATTGTTAGTAGTGATTTACTACTACCCATTCGTAACGATATGCACATCCATTGGTGGGGGATTGAGGGGTTCGTTAGTAGTGACTGATAAGTTGTTCCGTACCTACTTTTTATGTCACGAGTAGCTATTTTTGGTGATTGCGTTGGTAAAGATTCATCATGCTAATAAGATTCCTATCTATCGACTACATCATTACCAATGATATGCTTAGTAACTTTGAAAATCATTTCTTTCACCCGGTTCTCTCCATTTGCTAGTTTTTTCTGAAATTTCACATGTTTTTTTATCGTTAGTCATCTGTCATAAAAAAAATACAAAAATTAAAGTCCATCGAAACACCCGAATCAATCCACCTAAGCCATATGTGAATCATACCCGACCCGAAAAGAAATCTCACACTCGATAGTTTATTGGATATGGTTTCCGTTACACGTCGAGTATGATCAAACGTCTGTGAGTCTAATAAATCGGTTCGAGTGCCTAGCTGGACTTTCATGTATCTTCTGTTTAATTCAATGGATTGAAATGGATAGGATTTTTAATGATAATGATGAAAGGATCATTTTGTTAACATATTTTCAAAGTCAAACAAAACGACCGAAGTTAAACTATGACCAGTTTGGATAATTACCCGCCATTTTCGCGGTCCGCCCACCTTCCCTAGTTATTATATCTACTAATAATCCATCGCCATCTTGATTCTTGCCCCTTGGGGGAAGAGAAATGATGGCGATGAAGATAGTGATCGATACAGAGACCGGGCAAGAACCCATATCTCCCCTTCCTCTGATCCCGCCTGCTCAAAGTCCGACTCTTTTTCCTCTGCTTCCAGAGCTCCACAAAACCCGACGACATTCATGGCGGCGACCACAAGCTCCGACGAGTCGAATCCCCTCTTAGAAGGCCGCCGACAGGAAGCCGAGCAGAGGAGCGGATGGTGGCCGACTAGCATCAACGATGTGCTGGACATTGAAGAAGCCAAGACCCAGATCTTGTTTTCACTGCCCATGATCCTCACCAACGTTTTCTTCTACCTCATCCCTCTAGTCTCCGTCATGTTCGCCGGCCACCTCGGCGAGCTCCACCTCGCCGGCGCCACCCTTGCCAACTCCTGGGCCACCGTCACCGGTTTCGCTTTCATGGTACAAACCAATTCTCTCCTTTCCCCCCACCAATTTTGCCAAATCGGGTAGGGTTTTGTCTTTTGAAGCTTGCTCTGTTTCCCCCCCCCCCCCCCCCCCAAGTGTGGACTACCTCCTCTCCTAGTAGAGTTGGATTTGCCCATTATCGGTCGATCGAAATCAATGTTGTCAGAACCGAATCGGAGCATGACTCGTTAATGCGAACGGCTCGTATTTTAGTGGCCAATCGACATTAGACCGTTTAAAAACTGTTAGAGAACCGGTACATAAGAAACGTTATCAGTATAAATAGATGACATTTCTTAATCAGAGCTCATCTCTTTTCTTCGAAATTGTGAAATGAAAATAAGGATTCAGTTTGAGAGCCCGACGTTTTTGGTTTATTTCAATTTTCTGCAATTTTTTTAATTAAATTTAACGGCTGAATGACAAAAACCGGACGATTGGCTCGAGCAGTTAACCGCCTCGGCCGCTCGCCAACCGCTATATAAAATCGGAGCGACTTTTAGACTGTTCCGAGCCGGTTTTTTGACCGGGTGGCGATTTTACCGGTCAGGCCGAGCGACTCTGCTCGACTTTAATAACACTGATCGAAATAAAAAGAGTTATCATCCTCTTACCGTTAAACAAAATCTAAAGTTTTTGCTATTGTTTCGTTGCGAATCATCTTTTGTGATGGTAAGATCAACATTTTATTGATTTTTTTTTTACAATTTTGAGAGTGAAATTTGTTACCGGAAATAAAAGCGTAAGAGAAGTTGTAAATATGCTATGACTGAATAGTATCACAAAAAATTGATAATTACAGTCCATGAGATATTGTTGCCATAGCTAATATCGAGCGAAAATGACTAAAAATCTAAAACTCACTAAGACTAAATTTAAAAAAAATATAATAGAAGGACGAAAGATTTGCTACCTTTTATTCTAAATCATCATCCTCGCGAATCCAACTTTTGACTTGTTATGCTATCTCCTAAACCGATAATTTCATTATGTATCATCCATTAGTAGTCCACACGATCCTAATTAGGAGGACAGTCAATCTAAGTGTAATATTACACAACAATCCAAAGTGCAGCTGATAGATCTTTATATTAGATTTTGCGAATCTAGTTTCTAAAACAAGTTAATGAATATCTTTACATGTTCAACCATGATGAATAATTTCTCAAGTTTTCTTTCGCTATATATTCTCCGTCCATCGAAGTTATAGACTCACCCAAGCAAACCTCCAAAGTTCTCCATCACTTGTTCTTCCAACAATGGAGATCACAAAGGCCACCACCACCACCACCACCAACTCTTCTTCATTGCAGCATAGGATTGCCACCATGAGGCAATCTTTCTTTGATGAGGTCAATACTCCTTCTTTTCCCTTAAATTCCTTGTCTAGATGTTCATATATTGGTTTGCACATATTTTCCCCTCATGCTCACGACTTATAGTGACGACATTTTGGTCGCCTTTGCCTCATGTATGAATGCAGGGACTTCTGGACAGCTTTTTTGTGCAAATGGAGGACCTAAAAGGGTTTGCTCCTCCTGACTTCGTCGAGGAAATGGTGACCACTTTCATCACTCACTCCGAACCCAAAATTGCTGACATCGAGGAGGCAATGGATGCTGTCATTCAAAATGGGTAATCACTAACAAGCTAGTAGTATGACTTTTAATCCTAAAATTCGTCTCGTGCAAATCGAATTTCATGTCAATTTTACGATGGCGTAGTCCGATGATAAAATGATGATGAGTGGATTCGACCATAAATGGTTGAATCCAACTTTATATGCTAATCTATCGCCTAATGTTTTATGAAACTGGGTGTTAATTGCAGAGAGGAGTCTGTTGATATGAACTCAGTGGATGTAAAGATTATCAAGTTGAGGTCAGGAGGAGCCACGTAAGTGATCAATTTTAATTTTTTTTCTATTAAATTAATATGTTGTTTAATTTGATCACCTAAGTTTTACGGTTAGAAACTTAGCATATCATCCCCTAAATTCTCCGGTTACCATTAAGTTTTCCAGTTCGGTTTGATAATCAAACCGTTACGCAAGAAAAATCATAATCCAAAACAGTCAGTCCCAAAAACCAAAACCAATAAGGGGTTATCCGTTTTGGTTCGACCTTAAAAGCCAAAAATCGCTACTATACGATTTTGATTTTTCAATTTCTTCTCGATTTTAGGGTTTAAACCCAAATCAAAACATGTAAATTACGAAACGGTTTGACACCGAAAAACAGAAACCGTTAACCTTCTTATCGGTTTGGTTTCAATGTAAACCGAAAGAACCGAAAGAGAATGGACATCCCTAATTATCATGCATTGTTTTTCAGTATTGGTGCAGCAAAGATCAGAGCAAAGGCTGGCGACGTCTGGAACTCGTGGAAAGACAGGGACTGGCTCAGGTGATTATGACTGAAAACCAAACAACTTTACCCATCTTGACATTTGCCTTCGGAAAAGTACACTTATGCATGCATAGTTTTACCTTCTTACAATTTGACCCCCCAAATTCTTAAAACAGAGCAAAGGCAGCCGTGGAGGAGGTGAAGACCGAGATCCATGACCTCAGGACCAAATTGGAACCCTACTTCCAGCTGCTGCGGGAAGCTGAGGCTGCTGAGCAGGTAGAGGCGAGCTTGAGGGCTCAGCCGCCATCTCCCAGAACCTCATCAGCCAACAACTAATGAAGAAGGTCGGATTCTGAGCTGTTGGGGATCGACCAGAAGTACTGTTGTTGTTGTTGTTGTTGTTGTTGTTGTTGTTTTTGGCTTTAATGGAGTTTAGTTCAGTGGTTAAATCAGTTGGTCAGAGTCGTGTCAGTTTGTTTGGTATGCTTGTTGTCGTTGTTAGTTTGTTACTAAAACTCTCAAGGGTCATTTATTCACCTATTAATGCAGTTTATTTACTAGAATTACTTCTTGGAAGTTCATCGCCTTTTTGATTGGATCATCGGTATTTCTGGTTTTGTGATTTTGATTGCCAATTCATACAGGGATCTTCCATATGGTTTGATATCCATGCTGATTGAACATGAATGTGTTAGTCAGCATGCCATTGATTTGACAATCATGATTTTTTTTATAGCGGTAAACTAGTAATAAACTTATTGTTAGTAGTGATTTACTACTACCCATTCGTAACGATATGCACATCCATTGGTGGGGGATTGAGGGGTTCGTTAGTAGTGACTGATAAGTTGTTCCGTACCTACTTTTTATGTCACGAGTAGCTATTTTTGGTGATTGCGTTGGTAAAGATTCATCATGCTAATAAGATTCCTATCTATCGACTACATCATTACCAATGATATGCTTAGTAACTTTGAAAATCATTTCTTTCACCCGGTTCTCTCCATTTGCTAGTTTTTTCTGAAATTTCACATGTTTTTTTATCGTTAGTCATCTGTCATAAAAAAAATACAAAAATTAAAGTCCATCGAAACACCCGAATCAATCCACCTAAGCCATATGTGAATCATACCCGACCCGAAAAGAAATCTCACACTCGATAGTTTATTGGATATGGTTTCCGTTACACGTCGAGTATGATCAAACGTCTGTGAGTCTAATAAATCGGTTCGAGTGCCTAGCTGGACTTTCATGTATCTTCTGTTTAATTCAATGGATTGAAATGGATAGGATTTTTAATGATAATGATGAAAGGATCATTTTGTTAACATATTTTCAAAGTCAAACAAAACGACCGAAGTTAAACTATGACCAGTTTGGATAATTACCCGCCATTTTCGCGGTCCGCCCACCTTCCCTAGTTATTATATCTACTAATAATCCATCGCCATCTTGATTCTTGCCCCTTGGGGGAAGAGAAATGATGGCGATGAAGATAGTGATCGATACAGAGACCGGGCAAGAACCCATATCTCCCCTTCCTCTGATCCCGCCTGCTCAAAGTCCGACTCTTTTTCCTCTGCTTCCAGAGCTCCACAAAACCCGACGACATTCATGGCGGCGACCACAAGCTCCGACGAGTCGAATCCCCTCTTAGAAGGCCGCCGACAGGAAGCCGAGCAGAGGAGCGGATGGTGGCCGACTAGCATCAACGATGTGCTGGACATTGAAGAAGCCAAGACCCAGATCTTGTTTTCACTGCCCATGATCCTCACCAACGTTTTCTTCTACCTCATCCCTCTAGTCTCCGTCATGTTCGCCGGCCACCTCGGCGAGCTCCACCTCGCCGGCGCCACCCTTGCCAACTCCTGGGCCACCGTCACCGGTTTCGCTTTCATGGTACAAACCAATTCTCTCCTTTCCCCCCACCAATTTTGCCAAATCGGGTAGGGTTTTGTCTTTTGAAGCTTGCTCTGTTTCCCCCCCCCCCCCCCCGATTGTAGACAGGGCTAAGTGGAGCTTTGGAAACACTCTGCGGTCAAGATTTTGGAGCGAAGCTGTACAGAAAGTTGGGGATCCATCTCCAAGCTTCCTGCATCATATCATTCCTCTTCTCTGTCGCAATTTCTGTGATCTGGTTCTACACGGAGCCGATTTTGATCATTCTAGGGCAAGACCCCCAAATTTCATCCATGGCTGCTCTGTACATGAAGTACCTCATCCCAGGAGTGTTTGCATATGGGTTTCTGCAGAACATTCTAAGGTTCCTTCAGACGCAGTCTGTTGTTATGCCTCTTGTCCTGTTCTCGATGTTGCCAGCCTGCATTCATATAGGCCTTGCTTATGCTTTGGTTTACTTAACCCCGCTTGGTTTCATTGGGGCTCCATTGGCAGCTGCAATTTCCTTGTGGGTTAGTTTCGTTGCCTTGGCTTTGTATGTAGGGTTTGGGAAGAGATTTGAGCAGACCTGGAGTGGGTGTTCGTCGGAATCGTTCGATTATGTTGTGGTAGCACTCAAATTGGCTCTTCCTTCTGCTGCCATGGTATGGTAAGTGCTCCAGAATGTGATCAAGCTATGTTCTGCATATGGCCAGAAATGTTTGATTCCATGGTGTTTCCCCCCTTCTTCTGCAGCTTGGAATATTGGGCTTTTGAGATTCTGATTTTCTTAGCCGGGGTGATGCCGGATTCTGAAATATCAACATCTTTGCTTGCTATGTGGTAATGGTTGCTTCCGTTTCTCTTGAATCTCTGATAATGTCCAGCTCGTCATCTTCAAAACTTTGACTGTTTGGTGTTTGTCTGTTCAGCGTAAACACAGAAACCATTGCCTATATGCTCACATACGGTCTTAGTGCAGCAGCAAGGTTAGCAGCATTTCTGTTACCATGCTCTATTTACTATCACGATTGTTGTTTGTTCCTTCTTCGTCGTTCTAGGAGTCGATACATATGTTTATATCTCACTGTGGGTGGCAGCACGAGGGTGTCTAATGAGTTGGGAGCTGGTAACACGAGTCGCGCTAAGAATGCCATGGCAATGACTCTCAAGCTCTCTGTGCTGCTGGCCCTGGTGGTCGTTTTGGCTCTAGGGCTTGGCCGAAACGTCTGGGCTGGCTTCTTCAGCGACAGCAGTGAGATAGCTGCAAGGTTTTCATCCATGGTGCCATTGCTTGCCATCTCCATAACGCTCGATTCAGTGCAAGGCGTTTTATCAGGAGTGGCTAGAGGATGCGGATGGCAGAATATGGCGGTGGTTGCTAACTTAGCGACGTTCTACTTCATTGGCATGCCTATTGCATGTGTTCTTGGGTTCAAGTTGAAGTTATATGTGAAGGTAAAACAATTATGAGCTCAACACTAGAAACTTTATACTGCTATATGATCTTGTTCTGAACTTTTTGTTTTTGTTACAGGGATTGTGGATAGGCTTGATCTGCGGTCTTACCTGCCAAGCTAGCACACTTATGTTCATTACACTGCGAATGAAATGGACTAAGAGCGATTTTTCAACGCCCAGAGACCATGAAAATCAGATAGCAGCAGCTTAGTTATGTAGCTGCAGACTTTGATGTCAAAATAAAAGCTACCTACTATATAGATAGATACATGCTCTCACGTTGATTCATTGTTATCAGCCGTTTCCTATGAACACACATACGCACACCTAAATATCCAAATAAATGTCCACTAGACCTAGTTTTGGAGGCTGGCGAGGTTAAAGAAAGCACCTTTCTTGTTCTTTAACTGAGCATAGGTGCCACGCTCCACCACTTTCCCATCAGCAACAAAGGCAATCGAATCCAGGTTCTTGATCGTGTTCAGCCTATGAGCCACCACAATTGTTGTTCTTCCCACCATGATCCTGTCCAGTGCTTCTTGCACCAATTGCTCCGATTGCACATCAAGAGCGCTCGTTGCCTCGTCGAGAAGTAAGATTGTGGGGTTGCGAATGATGGCCCTTGCAATTGCTATTCTCTGCTTTTGACCTCCAGACAGTTGCACCCCTCTCTCGCCACATTCGGTCTCGTAGCCTTCTTTCAACGACCTGCAGTGGTTGAGGGGAAAATGTTAATGGTTAAGTATGTTCAAATGATTATCATGGTGATAACCGAATCAACTAGGCTGCGAATCTATCATTCTCACAAAGACAAAATAACGTAACGAATGCAAAGAGTATTGGCAGCAGATTTTACTAACAGCATAGGACTAACTGCAAAGATATGGAGAAGCTTACGAGATGAATTCGTGAGCATTGGCAGCTCTTGCAGCCTCCACCACCTCATTCTCGGATGCATCAGGCTTACCAAACACTATGTTATCTCGAATACTGCCCGAGTAGATCACTGGTTCTTGGCTCACAAGGGCGGTGTGCCTCCTGTACCATTGGATGTCCAGGACTCTAATGTCAACTCCATCGACCTTTACTGACCCTTTCTCGACATCATAGAACCTTTGGATCAATCCAATCACAGTCGATTTCCCACATCCACTCTTCCCTACTAGACCAATGCTAGTGCTAGGCTTTACTTCCAGGCTGAATTGGTTAAGCACCAATATCTCTGGCCTTCCTGGATATGCAAAATCAACCCTCTTCATCTCTATTCTTCCCGTGATCTTTTCCAGCTTGGTTCCGTCGCTCTCATTGCGAATCAAGGATTGCCTATCGAGTATCTTGAACACTGAAGCGACTGCTGCTGAACCCTTGGCTAGATCAGAGGTCATGCTTCCAGCTTCGGCTATGACTTTTCCAGTACTTACAAGGATGAAGAACGTTTTGAACACAGCTCCTGCTGATATCTCTCCCTTCTCCACCAGCGTCCCTCCATACCAGAAGTCAAGAGCCCAGGACATGAAAGTTAGACACTGAGCTGAACCCATTCCGAATCCAGCCATCCATGATTTCTTCCTTGCCTCCCTCCTCGGCTCCTCCTGAGCTTGATCAAAAAGTTCGAGCACCTTCCCCACACTTCCAAATGAGGTAACAATTCTGTGATTATAAACTGCTTCCACAGCAATTTGGGTGCTTTGATTCTGAGCCTTGACGAACTTTGTCGAGATGGTGGAGAGAAGAACTTTGCGGGTGTAGAAACATAGAATTGTGAGTGGCTGGACAGCAATCATCACGAGTGCAAGCTTCCAAGCCACAACTAGTCCCATGATCATGGCTATGGTGACAGCTGAAGTGGTTTGTACTAAGAGAGAGACTCTATCTGCAACTAGGGATTTAACAATGGAGGCCTCGTTGCTTAGTCGAGAACACAATGCTCCACTTGAGTTCTGCTCTTCATCGAACCAAGCAGCCTCAAAAGTCAGGATCTTTTCCAACATCCTCAGCCGGATTCTCTTTGTAAGCCTCTCTCCCATATACGCAAAATTGTAGTGCTGCACAAGGTTCAGGATGATGGAAACTAGAGAAAGTGAACAAAATATCAAGGAGTACGTTCGAATTCTAGCATTCACTTCCTCATGGCTTGGTGCAAAGAAAGCCGAAATCATTCCACCAACTATCAAGGCGTAGAAAGGCTGAACGCCTCCAAAGGCTACCGCCGAGAGGCTTCCCATCAGGGCTTGCTTCCATTCTGGCAAATTCAAACAGAGTAGCCGAGAGAATGAAGGTGGTGGGTGAGACAACACAGGTTTCGGACTGTCGATTGCTGGTAACGGCGAAGCAAAGAATGCCGGACTTGATTTCCCTGTGCTAAGCCGACCAGCGCTGCTTCTTGTGACTGAAGAAACACGAGTTTCGGGGTTCTGTTCATCGCAGCTGAATTGCCTCTGCATTTTGGCGAGTTTCGCATAGTGACCGTTTGTTGTGTTGATCAGGTCATTGTGTGAGCCTGTTTCAATTACAGAACCGTTGCTAACCACTGCAATGAGGTCTGCGTTCCTGATTGTAGAGAGCTTGTGAGCCACCACCTGATCATATGATCACCCAACAACATTTGCAGTTAATTCATCGTCAAAAGTGAAATCATACGCAGAAGGGAAAGGAACTGTAAAATGTCACCACTAACCAGTGTCGTTCTTCCCATGCAGGCTTGATCCAGAGCATCTTGAACCACTTTTTCGGACTCCGAATCGAGGGCGCTCGTCGCTTCATCGAGCAACAGAATCACCGGGTTCTTTATGATAGCTCTAGCAATTGCAATCCTCTGCTTCTGCCCACCTGAGAGAAGCGCCCCTCTCTCACCAACCTGTTCATTTTTTTTTTTAATTTCTTTCAGTCACACAATACGTCGAACAGTTTGAAGGCATTCTCTCACACACTTTTGAAACCTTCCTTACCTTGGTTTCGTATCCCTCAGGAAGCTGCCTGATGAAACCGTGAGCATTCGCCGCCGTGGCCGCGGCCACCACCTCGTTCATCGAAGCGTCGAGCTTCCCGAACATGATGTTCTCCTTGATCGACGTCCCGAACAGGGCGTGCTCCTGGCTGACCAGACCCATCTGCCCTCTCATCCATTTCAAGTTCTGCGTCCTGATGTCGACGCCGTCTACCTTCACCGCTCCGCCGGAGACGTCGTAGAAGCGCTGGAGCAGGGCGATCGCGGTGGATTTGCCGCTCCCGCTTGCACCGACGAGGGCGACGGTCCTCCCGGCGTCTACGCGGAGGTTGAAGTCGGTGAGTACGGCGGCGTCGGGGCGCGAAGGGTAAGTGAAGCTGACGCGGTCGAATTGAATCTCGCCGCGGATTCTGTCGAGGACGAGGCCCTTGGTGCCTTCGGAGTCGATCTCCGGAACTCGGTCGATCCGGCTGAAGATTCTCCCGGCGGCGACCGAAGCTTCGGTGAAGTACTTCAGATCGGGGAGCGCGATTCCCAGAGACCTGCGTAGTCAAATTGGGCCGGCCCACCAAAGATAAAAAAAGATTTGCATTTTTACTTTTTCTTTGGTAAAAGAACAATTTCCCCGACAGCAACGTACGTACGGGAGCAATCCTGAGAGATTGCGGAGTGCACATTTGTTGGTCATTTTAAATACGGAACACTCAACAAATTAATGATGAATCGTTTAAAATAAAGACCAAATAATTAATAAATAGCTTTAAAAATGAAACCTAAGTTAAAGAAAAAAATAATGCTAAGTTTATTTAAGCATTTGGGATTAATTAAGAGATTGTGTCGTATGATTATGTTAACAGATTGAATGAACCATAGATCAAAATACAGAAAGTAATTTTGAAAGACAGAAAATTAAGAGGAGTTTTTACCACGTCAAAATCCAGCTTCTTTCAAAGATAAATTCAGAGTAGTGAAGCATTACCGGTTGTTGCGTTTTTTATCGATATGCATTATAATGTCTTCGAACAGTGAAGTTATGGATTAATACGATACATTTTTTTTAGCAGTAACGCGAGGTGATTTCGATTGATTATTAGTTAAATGAACGAGATAAAAAGGAAAATCGAGAGCTCGTTTTGGCTGGCTGTATTGATTTTAATAGTCATACGCGTTACGTATACTTTCGCCTTCAACATATGTATCTATCTAAATATAAAATTATTTAAGTTACTAAATCGAATATTTTTAACTATCCACGCGTTATAGATAGAGATAGATTAATAAAACAACACAAAACACTTTTGACAGAAACCATATAAATTAAGAGTCGGGACTAGCTCTTAACTTTTTTTTTATAAAATTAAATTAGGACTACTAGGCTTAGATCAATTAATTAAACCCCATAATGACACGTTTACCGTATGATAAAGGTGCCAAAAACACTCTACAATATTCCCTAAATTTGTGTAATTAATGTTAGTACACTAATGGAATACACAGTGGTGGAATTTGGTATTAAACTATTCATCAAGTTGAAAAAAATGTGTTCTTTTTCTTCACTTTATCCTTTCTAATTTTGTCATTTCGTTACCGTTCAAACTTTACGGTCAACGACCATCTAAAGTAAAAATTGGTAGCTACTTACAGTCCGCTCAAGATGAAGGAAATGCCGGCGGCGTAAATCCGGCCGCCGCTCTCTCCTTTATACATCACCAGCCGGCTGCCGTACCAAGCGATGAACGCCCATATCGCGAAGGACAAGCCCATGCTGCCGACGGCGAGCCCTTTCGCGATCCCCTGCCGGATCCCGAGCCTCATGGTCCGCTCGAGGATGGCGGAGTAGCCGTCGGCGATCCGCCTCTCGGCGGTGAAGGAGTAGACGGTCTTGATGGATCCCAGGGCCTGCGCCACGACGCCGTTTGCCGCGGCGTACTCGGCGGTGGATTTTCGTGAGAGGAAGATGAGGTACTTGCCGTAGATGAGGCCCGGGATGATGAGGAGGAGGAGCGTCGGGAACGCGACGACGGCCAGCCGCCACGAGAAGTAGGCGGCGAAGGCGAGGCCGGAGATGAACACCGAAGTGTGCATCAGGAATGTTGGTACCTGCAAAAAAAAAAAGGTATAGAGTTTTGTGACTATTAGGTGATCCTCTTTTTTTACTTTTCGGTTGAGATGAACTGGTTGTTGATATGATATTGAAAGATGCGTCGCGCAATGTGTTAGTTAGATCTTGATAATGAAAGCCCGCCTGCCTGCGCCTGTTTGTTTAGGTTTGAAATTTGTATATGTATCCGTTGTGGTTTATGCTAATATA